TAACTAATCAAGGTAAAGCCACATACCAAAAATCAGCTCAATATCTACAAGCGTTTAGAAGAAAATTGCGGAAAACCCGTAAAAATTGAAAAGGGCGTAATTCCGTCAAAAATCAATGAAGCGGAACGAAATGCAAACTTGATCTGTAACTCATCAAGATACACTCACATAACAAAAATCAGCTCAATATCTACAAGCGTTTAGGGAAAAAGTGCGGAAAACCAAGTGGGACAGACTGACAGACAGACAGAGGGACAGACAGACAGCTAGACAGACGGACAGACAGACAGACAGACAGACGGACGGACGGACGGACAGACGGACGGACAGACTCAGAGGAAACCTATAGTCCCCTCCGGTTTCACCGGTAGGGCACTAATAAGGAATATTATTCAACACTACAACATAGTAAAGTATTAAAAGTAACAATTTTAATTTTTGTTAAAAAACCCGATAACTTCTATAGTACATGCACATGTATGTTCCTTAAAAAGACTTTAAACGCCAAATTTTGATATTTTTAAAAAAAAAATATTTTAATATCTTTTTTATGTTTCATCAGAGACAAGTCACTGGTTTCATGCACCACTCGTAATCAGTGAACTTAATTGACCTTAATGTGGACAATAACCATTATGTCCCCCAGATACAATTCAGCTGTACAATAGTTATGATTAAAGCAATTTGTTAATTCGTATTTCTACAGAATCTATTGGTAATTACTCGACAGATGCGACTATTATGCCATGCATAATAAATAATGCCATCCAAATGACGTACCTTTGTTCGAGCTCTCAGTGAGCGGTCTCGTTACTTGATTTGAAAATTTTAAGTGACCTCTGCGACAATTAGCACATACATGTATATCTTTTTTAAACGACTTTTTTTAAAAGACAAATCAAAAATGGGTATTGCTGTGTTCATTTACAAAAAAAAATATTGTTTAGAAAATAATTTATAAGGAACATTTTGTGTAATGTGGAATAGAGTTTGTCATATTTTCTATATACATGTATATAATTTTTTTTTTTCGAATGGGGATTTCTCCAGCATAATTGTTGACCTACGAACATGTATCATCCAACATGGCTTAAAACCAGAACATGTTCTTCAATTGTTTATTGTGTGCAATATTTTATAAAATATTTTTGAAAAATTAGTAAAACACGGTTATAGCAAACAGGCGAATTGATTTTTATTTCCCTTGGTTAAAAAGTTTATTGTGAACTTTTAACAGTTATATCGAATGACTTTTATAGCACATTAAAATGTAAGTTCCTTGCACTTCTCCATAAGCCTGTTTTTACTGTGCTGTAAATCTGTAATCATAAAAAAGAAATTAAGAACTTCCGTTTTCTGATTAAGATTGTTAATTCTGTTTCTAACTGTTAAAAGATTGTTACATTTTCATGAAATTAAAATTCAATATCCCGAGTTGGAATTTATCCAAAAAAAAAAAAATCAAAATTCTACTAGTTTTAATTAATTTATGGTGTTGTTACATTGTATTTTCATTCACTCCCCTTTTTTCAATTTGTTCTGCATCCTCTCACTAACACATAATATCTGCATCCTCCCACTAACACATAATGAAAATTAATTCATATATTTCCAACTGAAAAAAGTTTTGGTTGAAGTGCATGTATTTTCGTAATTCATGGTATGATTCCAAAATGTGCTTGGATACAGTAAGACAATAGATTTTACCTTCGTTTTCACATTCTTTTTTTTTAAGCTGTAAAATTGCTTTATACCTTTGTACAATTTCAGGATTGCATGTATTTTAAATAAATCTCATTCCTACGGTACAAGCTGTTGTTACACAAAAAAGTTACTATATATTGGAACAACAGAAAACAATACCTGTTCACACGGTACCACAAGAACTCTGTTAATCTCACTGGATACGATTTGTGAAAATGTATGCTTTCCTGTAATATATATCGAAAAGTGTTGGGATGTAGCAATGTCTTGCATACTTTAATGTTTATTAACTGAACGGAAAATTACGGCTGATGCCTTAATAGAATCAAGCATTAAAGAAAAACCAAGATCGTTTCTAAATGTCAAGAAATTGATAATAAAACTGGTATGTTAGAATGTTGAGAAGGCAAAGAATATTTGCTATGTGCGAAAAATTTGGTTCCACCATTTTTTGCTATGACTTGTCGGACGTTACTTGCAATCGTCTTTTGGGGAGGGCTTATTGTAGTCGATGAGAATTATTAATGTGCAATTAAACAAGTGACTAGCGATTAATGATAAAAAGTAATAAGGGTTTCAAAGTGGATACAGGTTGTGAAAAGGTACTAGTATTAGAAAGTGACCAGTGACCAATACGGGTTTCAAAGTGGATATAGTTTGTGACAAGGTATTAGAAAGTGACCAGTGACCAACACGGGTTTCAAAGTGGATATAGTTTGTGACAAGGTATTAGAAAGTAACCAGTGACCTAGTTTGTGAAACCAAGAGACAGCTCCTGAGTACGGATGGCTGAAATATACATGGTTAATAAAGATAATGATTTCTCTTTGTTAAGGCCCGTAGGAAATAATAAAAATGTAATGTAAAGACCCCCCCCCCTCCAAAAAAAAAAAAAATAAATAAATAAAACAACAGAGGTTATCACGGTTATTAGACGTAATTTTTGAAAGGACACAAGCATAAAGTTGCTATGTTTTCTATAGTATATATCGGTAAAAATATATGAGGAATGGGGGGGGGGGGGAGAGACACGTGCCCAGGGTCCTATGGCTATGTTGTTTATTTGATTACAGCGGTAAACAAATGTTCGGTTATCAACATTCAGTGTCAATCTTGTGATGCATGGGCAAAATAATTATATATTCGATAATTATTTATAAGGAAACCGCTCGGGTCTCGCAAGATACATAACCAATCAATACACAAGTTTCAATTCATGATGTAATGGCCATAAAGAAAAAAAATATAAAAGTGTTTAATAATGATAAAAAATTAATTATTTTAACAAACCAATGGACCCTCTATACACTTTTAGGACTTCGAAAAAATCGTATAGCCTAAAGGAGTTCTATTCAAATTATTTAGTTCATGTATGCCTTTTTAGTGTACAGTGTAGTAGTGTTTTAGTGTAGGAAATCTTGAAAGACATTGTAGTAGAGATGAAGAAAAATCGCGTTCGCTTTCTTAATGGTGTATATTCCATATAGGCAATATCATTTTCTTGATGTAAAAAAAAATGTATACATGTATTTGGTTGAAAAAAGAGGAGAAGTTGATCATAAATCTTATTTATTTACCAGTTACTAGAATATTTTTTCATCAAATGCAATAAAAGTATTTTTAGCAACCCACACTTTTATGCCTATACAATTTTTACAGTATGCAAAACCTTTGATTTTTATAGCTGGTTAAATCTAGAATTGAAATGTTATCTTGAAGTCGATATCAGACTATTAAAATTGACAGCAACAGGAGTCTACGATTAGGACAGGAAATAGAAATTAGGAAGTATGTTTGGAATAGTAGGATGTCAAACATAAAACATTTTAAAAATTATATTTAGATTATTCGGTAAAGAAGTTTCCGTAATTTCCGAGAACTGTGTAAGGATTTTAAAATTTCTCAATTTTATTAAGAGAGGTCATGAGGATTTTAATTTCTGTATCATAAATATATGTTTAAATGATTTATAATTATATTCACTGGAAAAAATGACAATGATAAATATATCCAAGATCGCAAAAAGTGGTCCTCCGACCCGACCCCCCCCCCCCTATTGAGAGGGGGCGACTCCCTCCTTGCCTATCCGCAATACGACAATGATGCGCTTTTGGTGAAATCTGTGACTTCACATTAGCCTACACATTAGCAGAAGGGAATATACACCACTGTTTCCCAATAGGAGAGATACAATGTACATAAAAATTAAGTTTTCAATTACTTATCTTGGTCTAAGGCTTTGAATACTCGAATTAATTAAAAATTATACACCGGTATACAATACAAACCGGAATTTATTTTATTTCCTATAAAATAGTAGATCAGTCTAACTGCACAAACGCACCTTTAAATGCAATTAAATGTATCCTTAATTAAATTATTGTGCAGTGTAAAGACGATCCTTAGTATTTCATATCAATAATAATTTTCCATCATCAATGTCCTTATTAAATAATTTATCGACCTACTAAATTCCCAATTCAAAGATAAGACCATATAATATTTTACATACGTATCGATTGTTTTGTTTAATGAGAAAAATAAGATTTTATATATATATTTTCAAAATGTTACCCCAAAATTCATTTTTATTTCGTTTTGATACATATAACATTTTTTCTTGCATTATTATTGAAGCAAATGACCCATTTTTTATAAATATATTCAGTGTTTTCTTGATGGTAAAAACTTAATAAAGGGGAGTAATCAAATATTGAATCCGCCTTTTGATTGGTTAGTTTGGATCTTGAATCTCGAAACTCGAATTTCGAATCTCGTATTTCGAAACTCGAATCTCGAATGAGCCTTCTGGGCTTTCGTAGTCTTCAGACTGAGATTAATTCGACAAGACCCAATGACAGAGTAAAGAGGACCCGCACAATTTCGCAGATCATATACAGAATTTGTTATTGTATTCAAAATCATGAAAACACTGTTAATAAATTTGAATGTCGTGTTTCATTCTGGTCTCAGTATTCAGCAAATGAATATTTAGCAACGTGTATACAATGTATATGGTCGATCTATTTTTAACACAGCTATAGGCACTGTTCACAAGACATCGTTCCCTTGGAATACCAGTACTGCATGTATCCGACCATGAACTGATTGGGTAACTGATTTTCCTTTCCTTTCAAGACCAATTAATATTGCTGGAAACATAGTTAATGTAGGAATCTGACGGGGAGGCAACCCATGAGTATGGCGTCATCTCTCTCATTTTTTTTTCAATCTGACATGATTGATCACTATTATAAAAATAGTTGAAATCCATTGACGATTTATAATAAACAAGATTTCATTCTAGTTTGTTTATTTTATTATAATAAAAATGTATATATTTCAAAAAAATAACCAATTAGTATTTGAAGGAGATAAGTTTAAGAGCCCGGTACCCGTTTACACATCAAGAAAGGGATTAAGATGAAAGGGAAAAAACATAAATCAGAGGAATACTCAAGTAAAATCACGCATATAATGCAGCAAAGCCATTAAACACACACATTTAGTCCACCAAGTGGAGACGGACATTAACCTTTGCCTTTCGTCTCGGAGCCTGTTGATGTTCTTGCTGCTGCTGCTGTTGCTCGTGTCCAGTGGTAGCCACTTCAAAGTTGCGATAGATAATTCTATCATTTAGAGGCTGAGTTGGGCGGAAGTTGTCCACGAGAAAATGGTCTCCCTGTAGTTCTTTATCCTCGTGAAGGTTTTGGAACATTTGTAACTATAATTGATTCAATTTCAATCTTTCAAAGAACATTTTAACAAAACAGTAACAATATGAAAGAGATATGATTTCAAAATCGGTTACATTAGACTTCATTCTCTTTCTCTCTTGAAATTTTTCATGCTATATACTTTAGTAATCATTTGGCATAAAGCAGCTGAATATTTTTTCTCTATCGTTGCTCATTGTTAAATTATTAATAAAAAATATTATACGTTTAAAATTTGTTTCCTACATAGAAATATACCAAAAGAAATCTAACATTTCCAATGTGTTTTTAAGCGGTCCAAAAAAATAAATAAATAAATAAATAAAATAAAATAATCGGTGTTGGACCAGTGGACGAGATACTGGACCTGTCGATAAGATATTGGACCTGTCGATGAGACATTGGACCGCTATGACATTTTTTTTTTACATTATACTGTAAGCGGGATCAACTGTATGTTATCAGTTATGGCAAACATGGAAGCCAGCGTAAGATATTTCAAAATAAAAAGTAAAAGGTATATAACAAAACACCTATTGACCGCATGGATTCGAGGGCAAAATGCGTTTTGTCGACCCTTCGAACTAAACTGGGTTTTTTTCCGTCGGCCTAACAGCCTCAGGCAAACAGTTTGGTTCTTAGTCCGACAAAACAGGTTGCTCTAGAATCCAGTCAATAAATGTTTATTGATACATTGGTATTGTTCTTCGAATTTTGTTTGTCAAAGTCATATATTTATACGGTACTCAAAGTGACTTCCAATCATTCAGAGCACATTTCCTAAGAACAAGTTGTAGCTGAAGCTAAACCGAATCAGTGTCCTCCGCTTATGCATTTACTAATATTTCACATTTTTTACTTATCGAGTACAATATGGTGTCACTTTCAACAAACTTCAAATTCGAAGATTCATTGCTGAAAAAGTTTCATAATATAAGGTTGATTCAATTTTTGTTGGAATCGTAACCGCCGATGCTTGAAGGGATTACATAATGGGATTTTATTTCTAAAAGCTGAAGGAGGATTATCTGAAGAACTCCCACAAAAACATAGGAATTTGCAGATTCAAATTCTCTGAAGATAAGAGTGGATGAAAATTACCAACCTGAGCACTGGAAATTGGCATTTTGTTATCAAACACTGTCCAAACAACGCTTTGGAAGCAAGGAGGGGTGGTCAAACTTCCGGAGTAACGGTAAAAGTGAGGATTGTATTCATCCATGTGGATTGGCAGCAAAAGACCAAGGTTCACTCCGGTCAGATTCAATTTTGAACCTATATATGTAAATCATATTATTAAGTTATGAATTACATTCCAAATTGTGCTTTTCAAACTTGATTAAGAATTAATTAATGTTGATTATTTACTCTCTCTCTCTCTCTCTCTCTTATCTCTCTCGGAATATCATGTAATAATTTGAAAAATACATGTAGTTATTTTACTTTACAAATAGATTAATTGTGAAAAGTAGTCTTTCACCATCTTTTCTAGCAAATATTTGTCATTTTTTCTAATTTCTGATTACATTTGATAAGCATGAATTTTCCTTTTTGCATCGTCAGTTAATTTTAAATGATTTTTTTTCATACAGATTTTGTTACCTTTTACTGGGACCTGGCCCAGTTCATTGATAAGAGGTGCCAGTGCATAGTTATCGTGGTCCGACACCTGTAAATTTTTTTTCATATCTACATTTATTCTTCGTCTTTTCCTTTTCTTATGTCAACATACAACATACAAGTGTATATGATACATGTATCTGGAATTTTAGAAATAAATTCAGCTATTGTAAATTGACGAAATCATTAACAGCAGACGTTACCTGGTACCAGAAACCCAGCACAGCTAGACCATCCCCGCCTTTTGTTGCAGCATTAGAAATGTTTCCATACTTCTCATTGTAGTTAACCACATGAAGCTGGAAAACGTTTGAAATACAGGTGTCTTGTCAGTAATTGATTGATCTATTGAATCTATTGACCTATTTTTCAGGTACGATAAGATTAAATAAATAATCTCTTGATTTTGATTTTTTAAAACTTCTTATCCTTTCGTTATATTTCTAGTGTGATCATACGTGCATTTTTTAAAGAAAGCTAGTAGCTTTTATTGCACATATATCATAGCAATTTTGAAACAAATATTTGTTAAAAAACAAAGTATTATGAATATCTGATAAATGATCCACAGAACAATGAACACAGTAGAAGAGTTTAACACCTCCATGGGGAAATTGTGACCATTAAAGGTGTGTTCTGAGCCCTCGTCACCACTATGGCCCCAGTGGAAGTGGAACTGCGCTGTCTTAAATCTTCCCGGAAGTCCTCCACCTTCCACGTATACGTCTCCACTTTCCACATTCACTTTGACTGAAGAATGGAATTATTAGTAATATGTATCAACATTTACATGGAGTGGATTACAAAATGACGAATTGATAGAATTAAGAATCATGGATGATTCAATGCTTAACCGGACTACATCATGCTGTAAAATTTAGTATGAATTTTTAAAAACTGAATTCCATAATGCATATCAAATCGTCAGTATTTAGTATTTATATGTTTGAGAGATCAAAAATCATAATGCATTCAAAGAGGCTCTGTGATAGGTAATACCCATATGAAGTATAAAAGCCATATCTTTTCTCATTCAAAAATTATTTCCAAAGTAAATATATTTGAAAAAAGGGTCATACTTTAAGCTCCAGATCATAAGATCAAAAATTAAAGTAGTTATCTGAAAGGTCTTGACACAGGTAATGCACGTGTGAAACATAAAAGACCTATCTTTTCTATTTCAAAAGTTATGACCAAGGTTAAAGTTTTGTGATAGACGGACAGACAGATGGACGAATTAGACTGTATTCCCCGCGCTTTCGCGAAAGCGGGGGATGATAAAATATACCTTTTTCCATTTCACACTCGTTATCAGCCACTAGGCCTCCGAATCTCGGGCTGATATTAGTGTCAGGCTGATAAAAGGCGTGATACGGAAAAGGGTAACAGCTCCAAAAAAAAAAAAAAAAAAAAAAAAAAAAAAACTGCGAACGATAGTATTGTTCTCTCGCCTACCTCCAAGTCATTTTTCAAAAGTTAACACATTTGAATGATTTTTCATATCTATATAGATATTTATATGGATTTTCATAAAACATTATTTTTGGGGGAAAACAAAGAGAGATAACTCTATAATTTTGGTAAAATTTGTGTTTTCACTATAGAAATCAACGGAAAACGGAAAATATTTTTAAAACATCCCCCCCCCCCCCGTGAAACAAAAATTTCTTTTTACAGGTAATATGGACTGTCATTTCGCAAATTCATACCAAAGGTTTCTGTGTTTCACGGGGGGGGGGGGGGCATATGTTTACAAACAAAAAACTACAATAATGCTTATTTTTCACCAATTTCAAAGGGGTTTACAACTAAAACATTGTATTTTATTAATAATATATGTTTAATTTTATATGAGTAAAACATAAGTAAAGATTTAAGAAACATTTATTCATATCCAAGAATATTTTAAGATGTGGTGATGCTTTAAAGCCCGATTTCAATGAAAAATATCGTCTACCCCCCTTATTTAAAGAGCTGGAATTAAGGGTAATTAACTATTTAACACTTGTATCAAAATGATTAGTCAATTACCATTGAACTGTTCTTTGCATTCAACAAAGATTTTACGGCCAAATTGCCATTAGTATTGAATTAAATGGGAGTAAAATGTAGGCGGGAATCGAGAGTTAGCGTGCGTAGTTCTTTGTGTCATGTTGGTTCTTTTCATTTTTTTTTTTTTTTTTGATACCAGTTTATGTTTTCATATTATTCTTATATGTTTACCTGTGTGTCCGTTGTTCTCTAGTTTTAAAAGATATTTGCTAGGGTCATCAAACCCGTGAAACTCAATTGGTGTCATCTTAGAGTAAGTCATGTCTTCAACTTTCGGAAAATCAATCGGGGACTGCCGCACCTCTCCGCAGTGTGGGAAGTCCTGCGGCCATTCGTATATCCCTGCGAAAATTGAAAAAAATATACCTACATTTTGTATAAAATCAGGATAACGTGTTTAAATATTTATGATTAATTTAGGATAGCTGTATAATTGTGTCTATTCCTTTTCCCCTGTGTTTTCTTTTAAATGCATGTACATAATGATATGCAGAACAATTATATTGAAGTTGGGTTTAAAATATTTAAAAATCTTGCATCTTCCTCGACATTCGTTTATTTTAAATTAATTTATGAATTAAGACAGACATGAAAATGGATGCTGTCAGCAGATTAGAAAGATGTCTCTTCACAAAGATTTACTTACAAATGTAATTTGCACTGACTATAATTGTATTTTTACAGACCCCTGTAAGTACAGTTGTACCAGGCCCGTAACAACAGTTTCAAAATTGGGGGGGTGGGCTTCCCCCAAAAAAATCTGTCTGGCAAAAAAAAAGAAGACTTAACTGACCAAAGAGGGGGTCAGCTTCCCAAAAATATCTGACAAGCAGAGAAAAAACTAATTCACTGTCTAAATAATCCTGGAATTTGCCAGTGCTCGATTGTACATCAAAAACTGGGGGGGGGGGGGGGGGGGGCAACCAGCATCTAAAGGAAAATTTGCTATAGCAAAGTACTTTACTCAGAAAAAAAGTGGGGAGCCTGGCCCCCCGCGTTCTACGAGCCTGTGTACATCAAATTTGTATACATATACCGCCTTACCATGATCTCCCGCGTAGTGCCATTCAGCTAGAATAAAAAAAAGAGAGAATTCCTGTTAGTAGATATACAAGTAATAAGAAATTATAGTCTGATCACTTTATCTGACTTGCCGCATACATGATCACATCTATATCAAATTACGTTCAGTAAGATGATTAGTGACAAACATATATGGATGCCAGAAGGTAGACACACAATATTGATTGATTTTTACGACATAAAACCTTCAGCTTCAATTTTATTCGTTGATAACTGTTCAATGAATTTCCAACGTACTGGTGACAGAGGAGTGAATATTTCAAAATAACTACCGATACATTGTTGAATTTATTGCAATAATATGAACCTATAGATTTTAAATAAAGAATATAAAGATTAAGAAAGAAAGAGAAGAAACGAAGAAGACACACAGCAAAAACCACGAATAAACATCTCTCATGCTTGTTGCAAGTTTAACATGCTAATCGGGATTAACTCCGATAGTAAGAACGTGCATCGCAATAATATCTGACATCTATTTTAATTCTTGTATCCGTGTACTTTTCATAATGTAAGTAGAAGATTCAAAATCTACACTTTTTGTGTTTATGTCACCTTAAATTTTGGAATTCATAGAATTAAATATATTTACCAATCCAGATTATTTCCTAACTATATTCCACAATCGGATGTACATCGGCATACATTTGTGAGCCCGGACTTCCCAATTCTATCACTGTTATCAGAAATCCTATTAAATCTTTTCATATGCATAAGGAATTTAAGTTTTTTTTTTTGTTTCAATTAATGAAGTGTTAGGCAAATCTTGTCGGCATTTGAACTAACGCCTCTATAGAAAAACACGATACACAGGGGATGCTAACTCCTAGGCACCTGATCCCGCCTCTGGAATTTCCAGGGATCTGTGTTTTATGCCCTGTTCACAGATTTGTCTTGTTTGTAGGTTTTTTGAGATCGATCACTTTCGCTATCTTCACTTATTTCACGATTCACAAAAGAACCGTCTAAATTTACAACTCTGGACTTAAACAGATTGTTTCATTTGATACTGTGCCACTGAACTATTTTGCAGGAACATAGTTTAAAAAAAGTTTTTAAAATGTTAAAAAAAAGTTCTGTTTTAAAAGCTGAAAATTTTTAAAAAATGTCGTTTTCATGACAATAAATAAACAAATAAAACAAAAGTAAAACTACCTGCATCCAGAGAAAAAACATAGACACTCACGAAGATCAATATCCACTCCGCCGTAGCCATAGTTTGCTTGAAAAACTGATTTACCCCTGAGCTTCTTAAAAGAACTCTTAATATGTTCCTAAAACAGTTTTTATATATTTTAAGTTAAGAGGCGGGGCGTCTACTATTACTCAGCTTTAAAAGATGTCAATTTATCGAATGTCACTCTTTCATTGATGTTTGGAAAACTACACAAAATGCTTATACAACAACATTTCCCCCCTCTTGTTGAGTATGACTTCTTGCTAAATAATAATTACAATATATCTGTATTATAATATTTGGAGAATTGATTTTTGTAAGATATTAATATAGATAGATAAAAATAGGAAGTAATAATAATGATAATATACTTTTTAAAAGTAAATTCCTGTTTGAGAATAAGAATTTTGTTTGCTTTTATTTCTTCGTAATTATTTTCCTCTCAGCAATCAATACCATATTATTTTCTCCGAGTAACAAAGGCTGAACATGTGACTTAATACAACTTAAGGTTGTATTTTAATGGATCATAAACAGGAAAAAAAGAAATATTTTAAAGTACAGGAATGTTGATAATTAATCTTATTACTTTTGATTTTTCACTATTTCCCTTCAAATAATTATTGTAATTGAATGAGGCATTGTGCACGTGAAATAGAAATACTTTTTTTCAGTTGTCACATTGTGCACATGAATCTACACTTGGCGCAATGTGCAAGGTTAAATTCAGAAGAATTTTGAAGTATATATGTCTGCGAAAGTTCAACATCCTTCAGACTCACTTAATGATGGGAAATGCATCAGCACATTTACTTTACTGTTTCTCAATGTCGTTGTAGCAGAAGTCAAGATAAACACTTTAGATTATCAGTTTGGATAAAATCAAAAGTATATCCATTTTTTTTTAAAATACTTTAAAAGGACATTAGAAATATCTCAATATGCGGGATTATTTTTTCGCTTTGAGCTCTTTCGATCAAGTGATTTCAATAATATGTATGAGGGTACTGCCCTCGCCCAATTCTTATAATCTATATATAAATACAATTTCGTTGCCAAAGATGCGTTGTATTTTTTTTTTTAAAAAGTTTACGTTTACATGACGTTTTATTGAAGTATCCTTTGATTTCGTGAACGTTTAACTTTATTGAATAAATCTAACCAGCTAGATCATCTTTGATGTATCACACATTACCTCTAAACTACCTCATTTAGCGCTTTACATCAAACTGTTGTAAAATGTTTTTGATTTTTGTTAATTGCTGATTTTTATCCCCTTTCTATAAATTTGAAAAGTATTTTAGTAATACAAATTTGTAAAGTTCACCGTAAGGTTTTCGTGTGAATGGTCAAATATATAATTGTCTAAAAACTGTAAAAAGGGTACATTGAATAAAAACTTGAAAAACTTGAAGCTTTGCAGTATAGAACATCGACCATCAAATTTTAGGCAAATTTACATCTCCCAAGCTTTTTACGTATATTTCTCAAAGCATTTTCATTGCATGTACCAGTTCTCTGCTGGTTACCAATAACAAGACAAGCATATTTTTGAAAGTTGGGGCGGGGGGGGGGGGGTCCCAGCCAGAAAAAAATTTGACAACTTACCTGAAAAAATTAACTTTTAAAAGCTAAAAAAAAATCTTTTCACGATCATTTTTAATTAATACATTACCAAATTACTACCATGCACCCCCCCCCCCCCCTATCCCTCCCTCCGCTACGTGCCTGCAAGATGCCCATAAGCCTCAACACTTGCAATTGCCAAAAAATAAATAAATAAATAAATAAATTTAAAAAAAATTAAAAAATTTCCGAATTGTTTTCCAAAATAAACCAAGGTTCATGATTAAACAGCCTAACCTAGAGAGTAATTTACTTACTGGTACGGTAATGTTCTCATAAAATTTTAAAATACCTTTACTGTACTTAAATATTTTTTTCTTTTACGAACCAACACAAACATGTGAGGTCTAATTGTTGAATGAGAAGTACATGAGATTAGTAGTTAAAATTTCGTTTAAATTATTATAGAGGGGGGTTGTGGTTCATCTTGTAAAATTATAATTTTTGTTCATGCAGAAAAAAATATTAAAATGAAAGCATGCTATTATGGCCCCACTTAGAGACTTGATTCTGACATACTTTTAATTAATTCTATGATTATGGTACGTCTTTTCGTTAATTTGACAGCACGTATTGTCTCGTTTTTATAAAATACCGACAACTAGTTTCAAACCTACCCCGATGTAATCATTATATCCATACATTATATTTCATTGTTAATTCTAAACTAACCAAGTCCTATTGGGTCTATATATTGACTACTTAAGAATAGAATGAATATCAATAACACAAGGATCATTTTGCTATGTTTTATAATTTCTAGTATTATATTGCTTGCATGTAAAAAATAACACTTTCTCCTAAAATTATTTGCATAGTAAAAGAACTGTTTCCTTTCTATGAAACAAACCTGATTCTTTCTTTACGCTAGGATTCTCTTTGGCAAACGGATCACAGATGAACATGACTAAACAAAACCGGACATCTGATAATTACGGCAGCTGCCGTTATAATACATGGAGTTTCAAACAAAATTTGATACTTTTTATTGATATGCACTATTCATATAGTCTATATAGACATTTATATTGGCAAACAGGTTTTCCCTTTAAGTAAACAAGGCCAATTTATCTGTTATGTCCTATATCTCACATTGCACATACACGAAAATGTCTACTTTGCAAATATATTTACATGCTTCTTGTAAGTATGAAATCGTACAACCTGCCCTGCAATTTAAAGGTTATACATGGCGATTTAATTCTGTGAATAAATTACTTAATGAACACAATTCATGAACATAAAATCCTTGGATATTTCTCCCTATAGACGTTCATGGGCAACTAACAACTAAACTATATGACAAACGAAATAACTTAGCTTTTCAATCGTCAGCTTTCCCTTTCTATGTAGTAATATTCCACCATCATGCATGCACCTGCATATGGAGTTTAGGTATCTCAACTGATACGATACTAAGAGCATGTTCGTTTTTAAAAAGATGCCATATACTGACAAATAAGTTGATATTATTGGTTTTTCAACTATTATTAAAAGTCAACATTTCGCAAATTCCAAGGTCGTGTCATGTTCTAAAGTTTGAATTTTATGGGTGGGAGGGAGTAAATACAAAATTTAAAACATGTTTTGTATTTTATACCATCCAGTAAATTCAAATTTTAGAACATGACAGCCGTTATACAGTCATTCTACAAAAACATGACCAATTAAGAATTTTTTATGTCGCTTACAAATTTACCATTTTAATATCTAAACTATAAATTTAAAGATCGATTTCAACTCTAAGACTTAATACACACATGGTTTTGTAATTATTTACCGATATATATGCTGTTAAAGTTTTAATATGAACATAATGTAATGTTGAAAAACGTATTCCACTGTAAATCTTAATGTCGCTTCATTTATTTACAAATTTCAAAATGAAATTTTCAGCCGTAAAAGCGTTTCGAATAAATTGTTATGAATGTTAAAGAAAGTTTTTTTTATCCCATATATAAAAAGAAATCAAACCACTTCTCGCAAAGAAATGCTTGGATCTTCTTTCGTGCGAAATTATAGCATGTCGCTAAATATCGATTAACTTCCGTAACAATTTTGTTTTAAATTTCACGCACAGAATGCAGATTTCAAAAGAACTGAAACTTATCTGAAAGTGACAACGGAACCTAATATCATCTATTCTAGCTGCGAGTCAGCTATTTTAGTAGATTACATTTTCGACATAACAAAATGAATTAGAGAAAAACATTTGTCTCTCTTAAAAATTTAAAATCCGTAACGGTAATTCAGGAAAGTTTTTGCATTAAAGGTATAAAGATTTTTTATTATTTTGGGAGCGAAATGCTTCACATTTTTGTTTAATATCCTAAAACAAACTTTGATTTAAACTATTGCCGAGAATTTTAACTTTTATTGCTGGGAATTAACTTCCGTAACGATATTTTTCCTGAAATTTTAACTTTATTTCGGATTCATGCGAGACTTCATGAATCATACTTTAGCGTTCTATACTGAACATCAGAAACGAATAATTGGTCAAAGTCAGCTTTATTTAAAAAATAATAAGACTTGTTCAAGCCTTAACTTCCGTAACATTACCTTAAAATCAATGGTAAATTAAATTGTTGTAAAAAGTTAACGATATACCAGATTTGTGGACAATTCTTTTTTTTTTTTCAAGTTTACTGATATGTACTTTAGAGAATTATGATGTTCATTTTGGTATTGGAAACAATTATTTTTTCATGTTAACCTGAATTGGTCCATTTATCGTAGAATGACTGTATAATGACCTTCATTGCACATACAACCTACCGATAGGTCGTATTTTGACTGACGTGTTTTCAACCAACTGTTGAGACATTTTAATATCATTTTAACCAATATTACTTCCTTTATCTGATTAATACATAGGGCTCACAGCGGGTGTGACCGATCGACAGGGGATGCTCACTCCTCTTAGGCACCTGATCCTACCTGTAATATTTCCAGGGGTCCGTGTTTTTACCCTGTTCACGATTCGTATTTATTTTTACTGGATTTATGAGACCAATCACCGTTCGTTATCTTCGCCTTTTTACATTCTACTAATGTAAGAGCACTTTTTTGCATGCCAATTCCATGTTTATCTTTAATATATAACATACATGTACGTGTAGGTATTGACATCATTTATTTTCACCGAACCCGTGCAAGATACCTTGCGAAGTACATGTACAATACTGTATATTTGTATTAACGTCATAGTTCATTTATATACAGTATTCAAAAACAAGTCTGAAAGAAAGAATACTGGCATTGCCAAGAATGGTAAATTGTACATATTTTTAAAGCTTTTGAAAGTTGTTTTTTTTAATTTAATGTGTTATGTCAAGCTTAAAATTACTTCTGTATGGCATTTTGATGTTTCAGTGGTTCATATTGCTGAAATATTATTACTTCAATAACTTCAAGGTCAGTCAGCTAAGTTCGGTACAAAAGTGAGGACCAAGGGGGCACTGAGACTATTAGTACTCCTGTATTTCCCCTACATCTTGACTTTGCATCCTGTCTACGAAACAGATCCACGACGGAGGCCCTTGACCTGATGCTTTAGTGATCCCCAAAGAGTTAATTAAAAAAAATTGCCAAATACGGCTACAATCGCCATAGGTGTAGTTAACGTTCGTGCACTTTACTGGGATATTACATCATGTGTTTGGTTCAAGGTCTTCAGGTTTCTCTGTGTTGTCCTCTCCATTTACAATGTATTCGCTCTGAGCAATTAAGCTCAAACAAAAGGTACCACAAAAAAAATATCCAGTTTTTTTTCTGTTTTACTTCAGATAAGCAAAATAATGATGATAATTATACCTAGTAGTTTTGTATATACATGCTTGTAAACTCAAGGACATTTATAAATCATAACTGATATAAGAACCTAGATAGAACGTACGTTCTATTGTTAAAATGATATTGTCCTACGGACCTAGTTTAAGCTTGTTAGATTATTCTAATAAGAACCATGCAAATACTAGACTGATGGCAGTTGCAACAGTTTGTGAGAGGGTGTGTGTGCGTGTGAAGGGGGGGGGGGGGTTGGTGTCCAAACAGTACTCAAAAAATACCGGTATACAAATCGATATTTAAAACATTTTTTCTGCTCTTTTAACCCTGAAAAGTGTTTAAAACTTTTTGCTCAACTATTCACTATAGCTTTCTGGTTATTGTGGTAATCATGAAATAAAACTAAAACATTTTATGACGTAGTTTTTGGAATTTAATAAACTATACAGCAGGACAAGTATCTCAATATATATTTGACTCTTCTTTCTACCTACAGGGAATTAGTATTTCGAGAGGGGGGGGGGTACTAGTATTCCCTTTAGAGAAGGTGACAGGCTTTCCCTATGTGGATGTAGGCGAAAGACTGTCCACTTCTCTAGAGAGAATAGGAGGGGGTTAGGATATTTTGCTACATAAAAACATACATTTTTTAATAGAGTTAATGTGGAACCCCCCCCCCCCCACACACCTGGAAAAAATTCATGGATCCGTGCCTGCATGGAAGCCTGTTAAATACTTTAGTCTGGTCCAAGAATTGCCACTCCAGGATCACTTTTCTTTTCACGAAATGGCAAGAAGGGGAGTCTAGTGTATAATTATACCTAAAAACTGTATTGTGTACACACAGACCAAAAGCACTTATTTCTATTATAATTTTTTTTTCATCATAGTAGCATAACAAGGTTAGCTTTTAAAAAAAAGCTGAGAGTCAGCCACTGGAATACAGAAAGTTTCTTTCTTGTTTTGTGATGGTATATGATTTGTTTTATCCATCATGTTGTGTTCATTAAAAGTCATTGTCGTCTAAGTTAAAATTCGCCCAGCCGTTTTGTTATTTGTAACATAATGCTGTACATAATAAATAATAAAGCATAGAATAAATTTTAGTTAGGCTACATCGTGATCTTTATGATGACCTCCAATTAATTTCTCTTGGGCGCGGACATCAGGGGGTCGTAACATAAAGGGTACTTAAGTCTAAGACCATTCTTAAGTAGGACTTAAGTACAGTTTTAAACTTAAGACCGTAACTAGAAACATGCTAAGATTTGACAATCTTAGCAAAACTTAGGCGGCCTGTAGAGGTGACTTAAGTCTGTCTTAACTTTCTTATACATATATTTAGTACTATTTAAGGTAGACTTACTGTGTTTAAACATTCCTCTAGTTATATTATGCATTAAAAAATAATTTTCTCTATTTAATATACTGGTATAAGAATTTTACTTTTTCGTCGGGGGGGGGGGGGGGTATGCATCACTTATTCCAATATCACTCTCTAAATGACATACATGTAAATGCAAAATATTATTTTTGGGATACGTTTGAAATATTAGTGGGACCTAGGTTATCAACACTAATCATTATAAGTAAATTGTATACAGTAATCATGGATTTGTTTGTTTACTGTGAAAAATGAGATGAAATGATTTTAAAAGTTGTAGGTGAATTAAAGGATGATGACTAGAAAACTAATTAAGATTTTCTGTAAATTAGATTGAATGTAGAACGCAACAAGCAAGGATCCAGACAGGGTTCACTACCGTTAACGTACGAGAGAGAGAGAGAGAGAGAGAGAGAGAGAGAGAGAGAGTTGTTACATGTAAGTTGGAGATATACGAAAAATTGTTTTCTGAAAACAATTCTTTTCCATCCTTCATTAAATTGTAAATAAGTATATCATAAAACGTCTGCACTCTGCAGTCTCTGCTTGCTGATATGGGAGGAACAAAATTCAAATATCCCTATTGTTTTTTTTTTTTTTACTTTTTTATTAAGAGTTTCAATTTCAAGTACATACGCTCGGTTATCGTGCCATGTCTGCGAGAAAGACAATTTGAAAGCAAGTGAACATTTTTCAAACGAAAGAATAACAACAAACGGTAAACTGAAAACATCGCAGTATCGAGTGATTAACAATATTCACGCATTTTCAATGAACCACTAGTGCCACTTTGTAAGCGTGCAATATTTGTTTTCAAATATTCAGATTTATTTAAACAGAATTAATTTTAATTAATTATGAAATCTAATCTAACCTAGCTAAAACCGATATGTAAGGACGTCAACTTTAATTTACATGTGCTAAAAAAATGTAACTAAATCATATTTACAAATACATATATAAATAAATTGAAAAACTAGGATGATTCATAAAAATATTTTGAGCATAAGTTTGACTCAGCTAAGACCTAGCTAAGTCCGTTTTATGTTACGGTTTAAGACATACTTAAGTAGTACTTAGGCAGGTCTTAAGATTGCACCTAAAACATACTTATGACCCTACTTAAGTCAAAAACTTAGCAAGCTTTATGTTACGACCCCCAGATACAGTTCGTCTCAGAAATGAACAAAGCCATTGTGATCCCAATCATTGAACGTTGAAGAATGTATACATTTTCAATTTTACTGTTAAATTCTATAAATGATATAGATTATGATGCTTAAAAAGAAGGTAGACCTTGGGTTAGATTGTGTTAATTATTAGGTAAAAGTTTTTAATCGTGCAGGTTAGAGGCAATGCATGATAAGGGGAGGGGTGCATACTGAATGTATATTTAATTCAATTTCTAAATTTAAGCATTCATTTAGTGTTATTAGGAAAGAAAAGAATTGCTTCCAAAATAAAGTAATAAACTGGAAATTCAAAATATTTTATACATACAGTACGTATACCCTAAAAGATACTGGATTCCATCTCGCTCACTCTCTCTAATTGGGGGGGGGGGGGTGTCTATAAATCCGCGCAGTTTCTCTCATCTATCACAGTTCTACTGTGGTCAGTTTCTCACCTGTGGGCGCGGTTCACGTGCACAAGCGGCACTTACATGTCTATCATCGTGTAAATTATAAGACTTTACACATCTTAAGTGATCTTCTGGCGTTTTCATAGCTTTCATCATTAAAGTGAAAAGAGATTCTTTTTTTTTCACTGTTTTGGGACCTTTGTGCAAGTGGATTATTGTGTGAATTCCGACCCGTACATGTCTTATGCAAGGTATTGATCGAGGGAGTCTTGCATCAGGCATTCAGAGGAATACACACAAATCCGTGAACTTGCAACGGCGATTGAGGGTATATATATATATCAAGTGTTAAATGTGCTCTGCATATAAACTTCTCATCTTCTATAAGAAGCACTGAAATATATTTCCCACTTAGAACAATCTCTTCTTTAATTTTTCGTCGAGAACGACGAACAATGCAGTCTATAAATAGATCGAGGTCGCGTCGTTGTTTAGAGGGTGTTTGTGAAGAATCACGCCCTCTGGTTGGAGCAAATAGCACGAGTTTCTTCAGAACAAGTCGTGTACATCTTTTCCCCAGAATTCCAAATTACGCAAGCGCACTTGCAGTTTCATCCCACCGTAACTAGTCAGCCCGTGGGCTGACTAATAACACAGAAAGATCAATGTGGCGAAACAGTTTCGGAGCGATTTGATTTACACCGTTATTAAAAAGGGGAACTACTCTTACACGCATCGACGACATGAATTTTAAGTGACCTCAATAAACAACACCATGAATATCTTGCAGAAAATTCCACGCCTGTTTATTAAAGCTTCGAAGCATCATGCTTGTGTGTCTAGATCTTTCTACCTATATTCACCAGAGCCTTTGCATCCAATTTTAGACAAGGTGCCAAAATGGACAACTGCAGAGGAGGCAGTGGAAGTCATCGAATCGGGTACGATTTGGGAAGCACTAATTAAATTAATGAACTGCCTAAATAAATGGCGTGGTTAGCAGATATGGCTATTGTTTAATATTGTGACATTTACGCAAATTGGTAATTGGTATAATTGCAATATCGGTTTTAATACTACAGTAATTCAGGTGCAGAAGATAAATGTGATAGATGATAACTGACCAGCTGACACATTATACAAATTCAAAATTTGTCCCATAAATGGCATAATTGCCATCATTTTTTAGGAGAAGGACTAACATTTATCAGTCTACCTGTAACGCAAAGTATTAACAGTTTTAAGATGAGGTATTTGGTGGTTAAAAAAGAAATACAGGTTGTTTTTCTCCGCTTGACTCTTGGATGACCTGCTAAGGGAAGTAACTCAAAGAGACCAACTAGTCCATGTGGAGATTGTACAATAAATATCTTGCAGAAAATTCCAAATTGTAAATTTTGTTTTGAATACAATTGCATGACATAGTGATATTTTTTCTGCACTTACATTTATCCAGGGTTTCAGTGCGTAAAAAGTTTGTACATCCGTTTTCAGACATTCATAATTATTAAAGCAATATGAGCTGCATAATTAAGAAGTTAATTTTTTGTTAAAATGTGCTCTTATGATAAATCTGTATGTAACTTAAACCTTTATGATCAATATTAAACTAAAATAAAGTATTAATTTTTTCAGAAAAAGGATTTTTGTTCAACGGAATGTATATAAGTATTATATAAGAAATCAATATTGTACAGGACGACAATTATGTAATTTTGCTTCAATCAAGGCTTATTAATAGTTCTTCCATCGCAAGTATGAACAACAGAAGTTTATAAACAATCTTTTTTCTGTCATTGAAATAGTTACATGTACTTACAATATTGCAACAAAAATTTCCAACATCTGCAGTTGCAGGTCATATTGCTTTAATTTTGGATCAATATTTATGTTATATATTTGTCTCCTGTCTTCATCTTGAAACAAATAATTTGATGATGATTCATTCCTATCCATTATCTCCAATTTTCATATCAGGAATTAATTTATAAAAATCCACCAAAGTAAAAAAAAATTAAAGTGTTAAACATGTTAAAAATTTAAAGAAAGGTAAGATGAGGGTACAGTTTTGTAATAAGAATCATAAAAAAAATGTATCACATACCTTTTCTACTTTGAAAATTTTTTTTTGACTCCTTCTTGTGGAGATACTATTTGATAAGAGGATGTAAATGCTAAACATAAAACATTTTTGCTGCTTATTTGATGCTTTACATAAATTTAACTTGTTATTTAAATGAAATGAAACTAAGGCATCCAGTACATCTTATTAACAAAACCCAAAATACAAAGCCCCCCCCCCCCCCCCCTTGAATAAAAAAAGAGTTGATAAGAAATCAGGATAAATTGTGTTATTCTTTATAGGTCACAGAATTTATATCCAGGGTGGAGCCTCCAGTCCTCTGTCTCTGGTGGATGCAATGTGTGCTCATGGTGAAAAGGCTAAGCTTAAGGATGTAGAAGTTATAGAGGCACCCATCCAGGCCAGGGCTCCTTACACAGATCCCAAATATGAAGGTTAGTTTGTGAATTCAGTTTATTTCTTTTATGGAACAGAACCTGTATAACAGAATATAATTATATTTTTCACAAGGTATTCAAATGGTCACAAACTTTTTTTCATTTTTAAAATTGGCAAATTCATCTAAAAATGACTGAGTTCTGAACAAGTAAGAATTATTTTGTGTATTCTTTACAGGAATCTTTCGACCCAATTCCTTTTTCATAAGTGCTTCATTAAGGAATGCAGTAGCAGAGGGAAGGGCTGACACCATTCCTATATTCCTGAGTGAGATTCCTCTGTTGTTTCGGCGTAGACTTCTTAGTCTGGATGTAGCTCTGATATCACTCAGTCCTCCAGACAAACATGGATTCTGTTCGCTTGGGCCAGGCATAGACTGCACTAGGGCAGCTGTTCAGAATGCTCAGTTCATTATTGGTTTGTTCTTCCTGCAAAATATGGCTTTCATTAATTTGAAACTATTACAGGGCCATATATACTGCAGGATAGGCAACTCCTTTATTTGCCCAAAACATCACACACAACACTATGATTTTTTTAAACTACATTTATTCCCAGTAAATTAGTTTGTGTTCTGATAAATGTAATGTTTTTTTTTGTTTTGTTTATTGGAAGGGATTTTTAATAAATTTCAAAGCATACAGTGTAAAATAATTTAAATATAAAGCAAACAACCATCAAATTTGGTGAATTCTTGTATAAATATACATGCACTACCGATCAGGGGAATGTGTTAATTTTGAATATATAATGTAATTATACTAAGATAAGGAGTAAAAGCAGTGCTAAATGAAATCTTGAATAATTTTTTGATAGATAAATAAAGGTTTTGTGCATAGATATTTTATAGCTTTAGAGATATATTATTTTTGAAATGGACTTATGAAATCCTACAACTTACAAGGTATCATGAGACTAGCAAAGTTGCCTATCATATATATGTCTCTGATTATTATAATTGGTATATGAAAAATGTTGATTATCTTTCTTCAGACCCTTTTGTTTTTAGCTTGTCTGTTGTGTGTCTTTTGTAAATTTTTCACATTTTCAACTTTTTACATTTACTTCACCTAACAGAACTCTTTTGCAGTGGAGGTAGGAAACATTCCTCAGCTGGGGACAGTGTGCTGTTGAATACGCTGTGAGATCTGATCACTATAATTTTATTTAATAGAATGTTTTTCCAACTTCCAAAAGTAATGATTATCAGAAAGAATTGGTTGAATTCAATCAGAGAAGTTGACTTAGCAGAAATTGTCAACAAAAATGTAACAAAAAGGGACTAAATTTTCTAAAATTTTATTAGTGTGGTTCATCAAATGTTCAGCAAAATATTTAAACAAAACTGGTTTCTTATGTGTCCTTAAGCATTCCAAATTACATGCCCTACTAAATGAAGATATACTGTACACCCTCATTCAAGGGGAGATAATTAAGAAATATTGAGTGGCCCAGAAAAGACAAAACTTAATTGTAAGCTTTTTCATCGAGTTTAGATTGAGATTTGGTCAAAACCTACTCCCCTTCCTCTGGGCTAACTTGGGGCCACAAAAGAGAATCAAACTTTTAACAAAGAAATATTTTGGAAAATGTATAAAAATACTCTCAAGACTAGCAGGGTCACTATTAACACTGCATGTGTTGTAATGCAAGCATCCCAAAGCATATTGAAGATTCAAATTTTTGAGATCATAGTCACCAGATTAAGGTTGGGCCACTAAAGAGATTAAATATTTACATGGGAAAAAATATTTTAAAAGTCTTCTTAAGAACAGCAGAACCAATACAATGTTATAATGTAAGCATCCTCATGTAGTACATGTACCTTTTTAAAATTTTTTTTTTCCAATCATGACCCCTAGTGGTAGGATGGGACCACAGGAGGGGTTCAGAGTTTTAAATACCTGGTGTATTCTCCAGAATGGCAAGGTATATTGATATTGTGCATGTTGTGTGTCACAGTGGATTTAAGTTTGCTTACCGTAAGTGATAGGCCCTTGAGTCTAGAGTGAGATCACAAAGGGGTGTCAAATTCTTATATATATAGGAAACATATATAGGAATGTAAAGGGGGAAAAAAAGCTGAAAAAGAGCAGAAGGGCCAAAGTAACTGAGGTGAGCTTTGTTGCCCATGGGCCTCATGTTTTTCTATTAAGAAGTTAATTGTTAATGTTTTTAATAAATGATTTCAACCTTTTTTCATGCTGATTTACTGAGTAATCATCATTGTTCATGGGGGACTAATGTTCATGGATTTTGTCGGTCACTATTATCCATGAATTCACAACCCCATGAACATTGACTTCGTCAATGTATACATGTATAAACATTTAATCTTTTCATGTAGGAGTTACCCACATATTACATCTCCACAAACCAGTAAAAGTTTGGCTACCCACAAACATTGACCCCCACGAATAAAAAATGATTCCACAGTACTTACCGTACACAAATAATTTGCAGGTCTTGTAAATAAGCAAATGCCTCGTACATTTGGGGATGGACTTGTACATAGCTCTCACATTGATATATTGGTGGAGGCTGATGAACCACTCACAGAAATAGCACCTACAACTTTGTCCCCAGAAATATTGGAGGTGGCCAGATTGATTGCTGACAATCTTGTAGAGGATGGGGCTACCATTCAGACAGGTATGAACAGACTAAATATTACTGTTAAATTTAACAAATTTGAAAGCTTCGATCAAATTTGGTCAACTTAATTTAATTTAAGCTTGCAGAGAGTGTAAAAAGAAATAGAAATCATAACTTCATTCAAAATGTGTTGGAGGAGGTAACTCAGATTGAATGGAGAAGATACATGGAAATGTTATCTTACTTTGCAGGTATTGGTAATCTACCAGCAGCTGTGCTGCATAAACTTCAAAACCACAAGGATCTAGGAATTCACTCAGAAATGTTTAGTGATTCTGTGGTGGATCTAGTGGAGTGTGGAGCTATTACTAATGCTAAAAAGGCTATTCAAACAGGAAAAATTGTTAGCTCATTTGCAATTGGATCAAAGAGATTATATGATTTCATGGATGATAATTCCTTTGTTGGTAAGAATGCGAAATTATGAAATTCATTTGACATTGTATCAAGTATATAGGTAGGAAAAATTGTGATTTTAAACAAATATGCATTAGTAATTGAATGGATTTTCTCCTATTCCCACAGCTATGTGTGACTGCAGTTTTACGAATAACCAATCTGTGATCTGCCAGAATCCTCGTGTGACAGCTATCAATACCTGCCTGGAAATCGATATCACTGGACAGGTGTGCTCAGATTCATTAGGAACCTATATGTACTCAGGTAAGAAATTGAATATGAATTATAGTAATCTTTGGAAAGAGTGTGATTGTGAGATCATTGGTCAAATCCATTGAAGAGATAGCTGTAATTTTTAAATAGCAATTAGGACAAATATAATGTATATTTTATCGCGTTTAATCCTTTATACAGTGGATATAGCTCATAGGACATCGTTTTCATATTCATGGTTGTGACGTCACGATGGTTTTTGTGTGAATTTTATCAAGTCAAATATTGGGGATTTGTAAATGTGTATAAAACAGCACTAAACATGAAAAAGATATGTGTAAAACATGCGATAAAAAGAATCTACCATGGTTTGTGGTTAGATATGATTTTTTTTATCCAGCATGTGTTTTTATCCCCAAGCCTTGGTGACACATAACTCATTCGATAAAACATAAGTCTAGTCAGTTTAGCGAAAATGTGGGCTCAACGTCAAACCAAATGCAACACAAATTATTTTGTCAATAATTAAATCTAACTTGTACAAAATATTTGTAGTAAAAATTCTAAGAAAATCTGAATGTGCCAAAAGCATAAATTTGGCATGATTTAATTAGCTATGGGAATTACTATAGAAAAGGGACATAACTGTAAATTCATCCAATATTTTGCTGAAGTAATCAAAAGAAAATTCCTGTTTTTCTTGAAAGCATAATCTGATTTAACTTTTTTGATACTCTTTAATAGATCATTATTTCAAATAAAAGATATAAAATTGAAATGGATATTTTTAATTTAATTCCATACTTTTATAAAATTTGGAAATATAAGCATTTTTTAATAAATAGTAAAATATATAGACCTTAAAAAGAATAAAAATAAATAAATTTATTACAGGGTTTGGTGGACAGATTGATTTTATTAGAGGAGCAGCAGTGAGCTTGGATGGGGAGGGTAAACCAATCATTGCCTGTACCTCCACAGTTCATAGAAAAAACAGTGGTAACAAAGGTGTAGAAGAATCAAGAATTGTTACAAATCTCAAACCAGGTGAGTAGTGCATGCTCGGTTCAGCTTTACACCTCTACCTTTTTAAAAAAATTTATTTACACTAATATATGTACTTTTCTAGCAATATTTATTTTCATAATCTGCAAATTTAACTATGAAAATGATAAATGTGTTGTGTTCCCTTGAAGGTGCTGGCGTTGTAACAACAAGAGCCCATGTACACTACATCGTGACTGAATATGGCATTGCATACCTTTTTGGAAAGAATCTGAGACAGAGGGCATATGAGTTGATCAAAGTGGCTCATCCTAATCACAGAGAGACACTGGAAAAGGCTGCTTATGAGAGATTAAAATGCATGCCTTCTCCATAATGAACCAGACTGTAGACAAGTATAAATCTCTACTTGGGGTATTTAGTCCAAGCATTTCTGCTTTACATACATGTATATATATGACAGTCTAGTGAAGGGTTGTATTATGGTACATGTATTGCATTTTCTGTCTGTGTGTTAACCTAGCTCTTTGTTTCTTAATTCTTTATTTCACACTATGTGGCCCTAAAACCATCAGAAATTGCCAGTGGATGCATGTAAGGGGGAAGAGTGTGTTTTGATCCAAAAATAATCATTGTGACATCATTTTAGAAATATCACTTTTGCTTACTCAATTGATGTCAAGATCTTATTTTGTACACAGAACACCACTCCTTGTATGTAGATACATTAGGAAGAAGAGGTAAATAAAACCATATATGAAGCCCCCCCCCCCCCCAAAAAAAAAAAAAAACACACACACACACACAAACACACATACTTTCTTGTTATTATGTATGTAAACACTGCTATTTGATTCTTGATTGATGGTGAATGGTGCAGACTTGATTTTTTTTTTTTAAATGTTATACTGTGTTGCAGCAGTATTGAACAAGTACCTCTGTAACTGATATTCTTTGTACTGTTTGTTTTTTTAACCATGCGATTCAATTTAATATATAGCTTAGCCTTAATGGTTGTTAAATGTTTTTTTCAATAAACATTTGACAAGATTTATAAATATAGTTTTATGGCATATTTCTTTTACAGGCATAGCCTTTTCAAAATGATATGGTATATTGTTTAAATTGTTGACGGAGTCTGACTCTGAAATTCTGTATGTTTATTATTTATCCGTATGTCTATTATTTAGCTTGATTTTACTTTTCTTATCTAAAAATTACCTGTGATGCAATATTTCATGGATTTTTTTGCACAATTTATAATAGATAAGCACTTTCAGGGTTTTTGTTTAACAAAGACATTAGTTTAACACATGAATTCAGCTTTATATGCTAGTACATGCATCAAAAATTCATTTTCCGTTTGAATTGAAGATCTACATCAGATGAAAGAAAACAAGTATAAATTTGTGCCATATTTCTGTTCAATGATATTGTTAAGTTTAAATGCATGACATACATTTATTAAACAGGTATCAAATTAATTGCTTCTTTGTTGACTTTGTTTATCTTTTGGTGTGTTCATAAACATCTTTTACAGCTTATGATATTTTCTAGTTGGCTGTCATTTATTAAGGAAGTTGGATGGTCAACAAATTACCCAGTACATGTAGATACAATTGAAAATATGAAATATGGTTTTCTGGCCATTAACTTTTATTTAATAAAGAAAAAAAATATTGTATTCTACCTTCAGAGTTTAATGCACTTTTCTGTAATTTTATACAGAGCTTTTTGAGGAGGTTTAAAGCTAAAATGACCATAACCACCCATCCTTCTTGAGATTTCTTTATGAAACCAATAGTCTAATTTTAGTCCAATAGTCTAAATTTTAGAAAAATCTAAAATTCCAGAGATAATGAAATTGAGAGACAGAATGAAAATGCTTTAAAGTCCATTAAGTATCAAAGTTTGTAAATCCTTCACCATGTTCAAAGTTTATTTCAATGTTATTGAGTAGCAGGATACCAGTTTTGTTAAATGAAACATACTTTCAGTGGTACAGTGTATGTAGTCAAAATGACTAATGTTCTATGGAAAACCTGCCCCAGCTTTCAGTTTTAAGTACCTAATAGCTGGATTAGCTCAGCTGGAGTGTTGCTGCATACATAATAATGGTTGCTAAAACTTCCTTTGCCCGTTATATGGTATGAACTTATATGTGGTGGTGTAGAACAAGAAAACAGCTGACTTTATACTTACGAGTCTTATAAAATTGATTCTTTGCCTAAATTTTTGACCCCCATTTTCACTGCAAGCCGGGGATACTAATTTGGGTCTGTCTGTCTGTATTTCTGTCTGTGTTTAACACTTACATTTTTGGATGATATCTCAAGAAGCCTTTGAGCTTTTGCAATGAATTTTTTTTATCACAACTCTCTATGGCCTAAAGAAGAAACCTATTGATTTTGAGGTCAAAAGGTCAAGTCATAAATTTATACATTCTGTCTGTGTGTAACACTTGTTTCCAGGGGATATCTCAATAAGCCTTTGAGCTTTTGCAGTGAAATTTTACACCACAACTCCCTATTGCCTAAAGAAGAACCTATTGATTTTGAGGTCAAAAGGTCAATGGTCTAGGTCATAAATTTATTCATTTTGTTTGTGTGTAACACTTTCATTTCTGGGCAATATCTTTAAAAGTATTTAAGCTTTTGCAATGAAATTTTATATCAACTCCTTATGGCCTTAGGAAGATCCTTTTTTTATTTTTAAGTCAAATGGTCAAAGGTCAAGGTCCAAAGTCATACATTACAAATAACATTTTCCAGATGATAACTTTAGTTTTTTAGCTTTCTTCAATAAAATTTAATATCACAACTGGCTATGGTATAAAGAAGACCCCTATTGATTCTGAGGTCAAAAGGTCAAGGTCATAAATTAATACATTCTGTTTGTGTGTAACACTGATATCTTAAAAAATTATTTGATCTTTTGCAATGAAATTATATATCGCAACTCTTTATGACCTAAAGAAGACCCCTTTTGATTTTGAGGTCCAAATCTCCAGGTTATAAATTCATACATTCTGTCTGTGTAACATTTTTTTTCCAAACTATACCTTAAAAAGACTTTGAGATTTTGCAATGAAATTTTATATCACAACTCACCATGGCCTTTAAAAAAACATATTAATTTTGAAGTCCAAAGGTCAAGATCATAAAAATGTATATTGCATATATAGTTTTCAGATAATAATTTTATTTTCTCTGTGGGCTTTTGTGATGAAATTTTGGTCATGAAAAAAGCTGAAAGGTCAAGGTTGACCTTTTTTAGGTCACCTGAGTCACTCAGGGGCTCTATTGATAACATAGTGAAAATGCATTCAGGCATTGTTTCTTTGAAAATCTTCTCTGCTCCTGGGCATATTGGAGGCAAACAGAGTAAAAGTTTTAATAAATAAAGGTATTTTTACAAGATTTTTGAACATCTGGAACATTTGGTCAAGTGTTCTGGTCCTGGCCAGGGCTCTATAAATTTGTATTCTGAGAGAAGTTATTCCCCTTTGCCATTCACCTTTGATAATTAATCACTGTAAGTAATGTATTTGGAAGGTTAATAGAATAAGAGAATTATGCAAGAATTTTTATTGTATAATACAAAAAGTACATTCATAGTTTTGATGATCAGGTAGACTTGTAAATAATAGATAAATAAAAATGAGACAAAAATAACTTATCTTATGAAATGTTCTTCAAAGACCAAGAGAGGCCAATGTGAGAGGTTACAATGAGAGGTTAAAAATGGTATGGAAGCACAAAAATTTTGTTAATAGTCTGCATGGTTATAGTGATAAATGGGGGACAGATTAGAACTTACTTTATGAGTTGTTACTGAATTTCATTGATCCCAAACATCCTATTTCTCTTGCTTTTGGGCAACAAAGCTTCATCTATCAGTTTATTTTATACTCTATGGATCCTCAAAATTGTTGTATTATACTCAGGTGACTGTTAAGGCCCTTGGGCCTCTTGTTCTTTCTCCATCTGCAATATTTTTCCGTTCTTCCACCCTCTTCCTTAAGAGGGGGGCACAAATTCTCTGAATTAGCTTGTCGGTTTTATTATGTTATAAAGTCATTTTCAGTTTGTTATCTCATCTGAGCTGAAAGCTCAAGTGACCTTTTCTGGTCTCATTTTTTCTGGCATCCATCATTCTGTCCAACTGATTCAATTTGTAACTTCTTAACATTCTCAACCTTCTCCAGTACTGCAGGGCCAATTTTATCCAAATTTGTCACAACACATCCTTGAGAGAAGGAGATTCAAGTTTCCTCAAATGAAGAGCCACACCTTTTTCAGGCTCTTGCAAGGGTAGATAAGTAAAAACTAGTGAAAAGTGGAAAAAAAAGAACAGGGAATGAGTCTATAAGGGAATTTGTAGGAACAGTCTTTGTGTTAGGGTGGTGCTACAATTGGAGATCAGATATTTTTCCTAATTAATGCCTGGGTCCGGGAAAAAAAATTAAAAAAATCCTCTCTTGGTGACTCTAGAACAGCAAGGCCATTTTAGTCATATTGGAGCATACTCAAGTTGTGTTGATTTAAGTTTGCAGGTTAAACATTACCTCTTGAGATTAGGTTTGGGACAAAATATGGGGTCAAAATTTTCATGGGACTAAAGAGGGGAAAATCAGAAGAACAGTAGGGCCAAGTGAGCATGGCTCATGGGTCAAGGATGCTTAAAAGTGACAAGGAAATAAGAACATTCCTACTAAAAAACTGGAGTATATAAGTATTAATACAATGCCTTAAATTTTACCATGTACTTTATCTACTGACCATCGAGGGAAAATGGGATCAAAGACAAACATACAACTTCTTCCAGTAGAAAGACAAAAAAAGTTCTGAAACAATCAAATCATTTAATTCATTCATTCATCATAATCATACTTTTCATGTAAATTATGCATCTATTAATTTAAACATTTATATAACATCACAAGGTCACTATATACTTTCCATTAGTCTTTAAATCAATTCCTGTCCCTGACAGTACCATACTCAATTTGTGTTTACACATGAAAATCTCTAAGGTATAGATTAGCATGCATTATTCATTTACCTGCAACTACATGTACTTCAATATTGTAATATAATGTTATTTATGATTTTATATATGTAACAAGCTTGGTACTCAATATCCTCACATCTAGGTAAACAACCTTAAACACTTATTTAAAATGACAACTAAGAATGACCAGACTGGTTGTACTGTTACTTGACACTTCTGCAGGTACATGTAATTACATATACATGTACTAGTACATTTACAAATACTAGTACCGGTACATACATTTGCAACTCGACAGGAAACTTCACTTGCTACCAAACTCGTACTGTTAGCTATACTGATCCAAAACAAATGAATGAAAGATAATATATTTTCTTAGGTACATGTATCAATTTTTTTAGACCAAAAACTTGTTTAGGAGAATAAGATGACAACAATTCCTAATCCTTCTTGCCTTTAAACTCCTAAATAAATACAGCTACAAGGTAGACCTACTGTCCACAACTTACTTATTACAAAACCTTTCATAATCAGGAGAAACATTTAGATAAGACAAAAAAAAAAATCACGCTAATGCAGTATCAGTCCTACTCTGTTGAAAAAAAATTCATTAATGAATTCTACAGCTTTGATACAGACAACACAAATTTTCGTTTCATCAACATTATGTATGAAAGTATATAACTACAGACTACTCCTATATACAATTAATATTCATACTTTCCACTCACTATATGAAAACATTTATTCCAACTATTCATTTATAAATAAATAAAAATCATTTGTTCATTATATTTCGTCTTTGTTGTGTACAAAAATTTCAATGCTGGACATACTAATTAGTGTATAATGAAATCCTATTTTGCAAACTACAATAATATTAACTGCTAATCATTAAAGCATAATTCAGGGTGCAATTTATAGCATAAAAAAATCTAGAAATTACAGACACTATAAAATGAGTTACCAAGAACATTTTTTACTTACAATTTTTTTTTATTTTGTCATATAGATTAATATTTCTCCACCCTCCTTTTTCTTTTGTACAGAAGAATTTAATATGTAAAATGTAAATACTTTATGTTAAAAAAAAACATCTTTAAAGGCAAAGGTCTAATAAAAAAAAATACAAGTATTTGAGACAGGTATAGTTTATCCTTTCTTTTCTTTTTTCTTTTGTTTTATGTATTTCAGTTGAACATGTATTGATACAACTTAAAAATGAATACATGTAATATGACCTGAGAATGTATTCATGTGTTCATGCATGTACATGTATATATTTTCAAACTGATTGCACATATTAATTAGTGGAGAAATGTTTGACAGATCAAAAATACCTCAATTTCTACAGAATACATATCTTGTGGGGAAAATTACATTGTCATATGTTGATATACTGAAAATAACAATGAAGGGGAAGAATTTCAACAGGAATTTTTTTCATAAAGCAGCATCAATCATATAATGACAATACATTCATAAAATATTTGGGGAAAACACAACACTTTAAGGTAATGAATGAGGAATGTAGGAATCTCCCATACAAAACACAAACAGCATGCAACGTCTAGAAAAATACAAAATTGACTATTTGCTAGTTGAACTTTCAGAATTCAGTCTGAAAATTTCAAACATCACCTTCAAAGATGTACAGTTGGTTTTAAGCTACAACTGAACACACAAGATCAAAAGACAAGTGCAAATATAATAATAATCTCATTGAAACACACATTTTTACACTCAATCATTAGTCAGCATGTAAAATTTTCATTCATTAAGGAGAATGTACATTAGATCTTCAAATTAACAACAAATAAATGAACAAATACATGTAGTAGCTCTTGCAATGATTTCTATAATCTACAGAAAACAGATAGCTACATATTTCTAGATGTAAGCTTTTTTTCAGTGCAATTTCATTTATATGAAGCCACTGCAATGTTATAATATGTTGCTAACTTGCTATCATTTCATCGTTGTCAACAGTGCAAAAAGTAGAAACATTCTCTACTTGTATTAGACTCAACAAAAGTATTAAAAGGGCCGCTGCTCTTCATACTCAGGTATATTGATTATATCAATAAATTAAAAGGGAAAATTACATTCAGTTCTGCAGATGTGACAGAAATAGTTGAGTAGCATGCAACAGATGATTCAAACTGTGGAATATACTCCTGACCAATCCACAAAAATCAGAAAAGTTCAATATCCATGTACATGTATCTTTCACATCAGCAAAATGGAATAATGACTTCATTCAATGTACCAGCAACCATCTTCTTTAAACATAAAATATCTTCACTTTGGACTTGCTGACTAGAAGATCCCCATCATAAAAAAGTGTTTCTATGATAACATTCCCCCTAAAATAAAGTAGTTAGTATTTTAACAGTAAATGTCAACTAAATAGAAAATATATCCATCAATACCTCATAAAGGCATGTTAAGTGATATTGCACTGCCTGCACACTTCCCTAGGACTTACGTAAGAACATTTGCTGGCATCATTTGACTTTCAGGGGCTGCTTCTATCACTGACTGCCAGGTGTTCGTAGAACTAGGAATCACAAAACCAAATTCAAAGAACCACTCTGGAATGGAGAAAAAAGTAAAATTTTACTTCTTTACACAAAAACACTAAACAAATTGCTAACACACCACTCAGTATTTTCAACTGCCAATTCAACATCTGCCTCAAAAGCAGAGTAAATCTATGTTACTGTCTTGTCTATTGAAGTCAAATGTTTCAACACAACACCCTCAAATGACTTCTTGCTCGCAAACTAATTTCCCAAAGCCGATTACACAGCTTTTGTTTTATATGATTGGCAGTTATTGATAGTGGTCAGAGAGGTTGCAACAGCAATAGTGACTCAACAGTGACTCTGTCTCTCAAACAATATAAAGCAAAATGTCTAACATGTTGGCTTAAGTAGTTACTTAGTGCTTTGGCATCTGTACCTAGTCCATCACACTTCTGGTTGCCACAATTTTATGGTACAATCTTGAAAAAGTCATGTGGTGTCTATTAAATGTTGTGTTTACGTCTTACACAACTTTTCAAAAGGTTAAAATTAATTTTCTGTGATGGTGCGTTGGCAATTTTGTCTAGTGTATATTTCTTCTTAATCAAATTATGATTTATTACAATTACAAGCAATTTACTTCTGTTTTGTTTTTTATATGTACATTTACTTTCTTTTAAATTGGCAGATTTAAATCCTTTACTCCATCATTTTAAGTTCTATAGAAAGAAATAATTTAACCCAAAGTGACCATGGTGAAAGTATTAAATACAAATATCTGGTGATTTTTTTCTTACCTTCTAAGCATTTCCCTTTAAATAAAACTCTTTGTTCTAATCTAAATTTGTCCATAGCCTCTTTTGATGAAAAATTTATTTCTCTTGATACTGCACGACATTTTAAAATTTTCTTTGGAACCCTTGCTACAAAAAAGAAAAAAAAAAATTAAATATTAATAATATTAATATATACAGCAAAATTTTGAAATATATGCACACTGACTTTTAGAAGAGCATGATAAATATACCACAAAAAGAAAGATTTTAATTTTCTATCAATTTTTTTTTTTTGAGAAAGGAGATAACCTGCAAATTTCCATGTTTTGGTACTCTTTTAATAATAGCAAGCAACTCTTAAAGTAACAACTGGGCTAAGAGAAAATTTGGACTGTCTGCACATTGATCCAATAGAATTTTTTTGCTGTTAACTCTGTACAGGGATTTTCCACTCCATTTTTGGAATTGGGCCCATGCAGGTCCTTGGAATTGGGAATTTAACGACATTTTATCACTTATTGGGAAATTTTACTGCATGATGAGACAGGACATGTCACATGACTCGATTGACTACGTCATAGTCACTGTTAATGTAGGTGTTAAACGTTAATTGTTATAATCACCTGTATTTGTATAATTTTTGTTCAACTTGTTAAGCTTAAACATTTTATGTAAAATATTTAAGAATTTTAAAAGATCATGTAAATATTAAAAAATTGTGAAATCAATTGATCCACCCCTCTGTTTCTTTACGCTGCAGTCTAACAAATCTGTGACGTCATATATGATCTCTCAGTGCAGTGAGATCAAGTACACGTTGATTACCTGGTCAGTTTTAAAACATTAAAACAGATTACAGTCAATGCATTATGATAAATATTTTGAAGCAGGAATTACAATGATAATTTTTACGTGTTTGATAGCAGAGATTATCTGAATTTAATATTCCATTTCACTTGTGTAAGTTTTCGTGTGACGTCACAGTAGTTTTCCCGTACTCGGAAAATGTAAACATGAAGCGCTTTTACCACGCTTATGTCTTGTTCAACTATGTCCTGAGTGATAATGAGGTAAGCTTCACCTTACGATATTGCTACAATTAATTACTACGAAGAAGGACTTCAGTTCAATTGTAAATTTTAAAATACTTTAATATTGACAGAATTTTTTCCCAAGTGCGTTTTTTGTCATTGAAGTTGTCTTGAAAAGTGTGTAAATACGAAGAACCAAAACTTAATACAGACACCGTACAGAGCGATATTTGTATGGCGATATCTCTTAAACAAGTCAAGAAATCTGATGACAGAATTGCTTTAAGATATGTAGAACATACTAAATTAAAAATATACAAAATATGAAAAAAAATTATTGACTAGATTTTTTTCAGCTCAAGGTCCTGTTGCACCTTAAACATACAAAATCATGTGATGTTATATTATAGATCTTAAAAATGTCTCGTGCTGTTTGAAGAGACAGATCTAAGTTAGTGAATAGATAGGCTATCCAATAATACACAACTGCACTTGCCCCAACGGTGGCACCGTCAACATACTAATTAAGAATGGTGGATTAAAACATTTAATTACCTTCATGATCAAGACCAGGTGCTGAACTGCAAATGAAATAGACACTTTATAATTCACTCATTCTTTCCTATATATGTGGTTACAAATACTCTACACACACACGTGATGTCATGTGGGAATATTTTCTCAAACTTATGACATTGAAATTAACTAAATCCTTATTTAATAAATGTCTAGAAATATCAAACACTCACAGGTCCTCGCTTGACTGCCACAATATTTTACCACTGTCTGCATCTCTCAGATTCATCCAGTTTCTTAATTTTGTTAAGCAATAACGAAAGATTAAACACTTGTCATTGCTTGTAATGAATTATCTTGTTACTATTTAATAGAGGTGAGACGATATACCGATGCATACCAATATTTTCTGCTAAGATATGGTTTACGATACATGCATTGAAATATCGGCATGAAACGATACACAAAGGACCTATCAGAAAATTGATAATGAAAGTAATTGCCTTGGAAAATGGTGATGTGTATACGAACTCTAGGAAGCAAAGAGATTATATTGATACAGAAAACACGCTTTAGCACTAATAAGTTGTATATATGGGGGGAACATTTTCACATTTAACATCCTTGGAAGATGGAACAAGAAAACTTTATAATGTACATGTGGTATTGTTTTATTTTTTGATGAATTTTTAGTCAATTTTATTGATAAACTACATAATTTTTTGAAGACTAAAGTTGTTTTTGTGAAATTTTAGTCAATGAAATTGATGAACTACATGTATTAATTTTAAAACACATGTGATTTGATTTAAGTTTTATGGATTTACTATCAAGAAGACTAATAAAATACTAAGTATATTAAAGTTTTCTAATTTATGATAACATCTAGATGTATACATGTATTGTTTTGTGTTATACATTGTATCACAAGACCTGTGTATCGTCCCACCCCTACTATTTAATTTTCAGATCAGTGGAGACACTATATTCATATATGCCTAATTAAAATCAGGAGATTTCCGATTTAATCTGGAGACTTGGAAATGTTTATTTGTGCAACAGAACAAAAATTATAGCAAGCGCAGCGAGCGGCGCAAAGCGCCGCTCGACACTGCGAGCTCTTAAAGCAATGCCTGGGCGAAGAGAAAATTTGGACTTTACACATTGATCCAAATGAATTTTTTTCCGCAGTTACCTGTGGTCCCATAATGCTTAGCAAATTGCATCTCGCCGCAAACAACATTCTCGCGGCAGCAACAAAAATTCGACAAAAAATAAAATCACCTTGATATAATGGATATAAAGTAAATAAATAGTAGATCAAAAGTTCTTGATTAAAATTAGCACTGTTCAGACTTCGTTTTGGTAATGCAACATATACATGATACATACGACGTCATATGACGTCAGAGTCTAGACGTAGCAAATGTCACGTGCTTTTTGACGACTCGAGCCCGATCTAAATTAAAACTGAAAGGTATCTGCGCTCGCCCTAACGGTTGCACCGTCAACATATTACATTTCCTTTTAAGTAATCGCCTGGCATTTCATACTAAATATCCCTAAGTTTAAAGCCAACAGATATAAATTAAACTGTGACCTCTATGAAATGTTTCACAAAAATCCAAGTTTTTTCATTGTTCAACTATTTCACAATACATCAAAATCAACGAGTTTGATTATGAACTTTAACTATATATCTCTTTTTATGCATGTCATCAATGCTTGATTCTTTACTATAATTAAAGGATACAGTTTAAACCCTTTCATGATATCTTCTGCTTTAGCTGGCATCGTGGTTCCTTACTGGTCAAATCAACGAGTTTTGGAGGCGAGACTCTTCCTCACCAATGTCAACAAAAACCAATATGGAGATATACTTACTTCCGGTGAGTAAACCAATAAGAGGGATAAGTATAAATACCACGTAAATTCTCCTCAGTCAACGCGAAAATAATAAGATATGTGAATTTGTAATTTTTTCCAGTTTCAGACTAATTTCTCCAAAAATGAATGTTATTTTCTATACACTATGTATTAAAAACAGGTTGAAATATTTAGATAAAATGTGAAATGATTTTACATTGTTACATTTTTTTTGTAAAAATCGAGAAATTTGATTATTTAATCATTTTAAGCGCAAAATTAAAGCCAAATATTATTCTTTATTACAAATACTCCAGAAAAGTTGAGTTTAGCAAATAAATGACACGTTTTCGGGCTTATCTGTATTTAGCCTCCCCTTCTAGAAGATTCCCGATAGCACTGGTTCTCTGCCCTTGATTCCAGTCGCTGCCGCTAGGAATTACAAGGTCGTTGGTTTTTTAGGGCGCTTGCGCCCGTTAACCAATGTCAGGGTACCAGTCTAGATTCCCGAGGGAATCCGCAAGATCTAACAGGTGTGTGACACGTCGTACGTAAAACAGTCACGTACAACATGTCTGTTTTGCGAGTTGTGCTGCTCTTGGGTGTCATAGCCCATAGCATATTTGCAACAAATGAGGAACCGAAAGAGTTTTATAGGGCAGTCGTCGAGGTAAGGAAAACTTTCTTTTTTGTCATTTCGAATTTCCTCTAAGATCTATGTTTGCATGCTCAGATTTATTTTTAAACAAAGAAATGTCGTTTATCTTTGTCATGACAGAGCTGTGGTGGATGACGTTTGAACAGATTACCAGAGGTGAAGAAGTTCATTTATGAAGATCTCCCTCTGTTGTATCCTTTTGAATATTTTACTTTAAAATCTACTGACCCGGGTTAACATGGTTAATGGTGAGGACCTGTCCCGAGACACAGTTCAAACATTCTTGGAACCATGGAAACTGATATTTTTTTCTGGAGTATTAATTTGCACAGAAATATTTTTGCTATATATGTTATTAGGCATTAAAATTGTATCCACATTAAAAGTTATGAAAGCTGCCATAATCTCTATTCTAAATAATAAAGGTTCTTTAACAAACAAGATTGGAAGGTTATACACATTCATTCTTTAAAAAAAAAAATCCATATTCTTTTACCATACAAGACTGCATCATATATAAATTGTCAGCTATATTAATAAGACCCCAAAGGCAATCTATAGGGGAAAAAAATCTGATAAAGATTTTCAGTATATCTCCCCAGGGCAGGAATGAGACAACAAAGAGGGTTCTATGTACAAATAAAATCTAAGTTTGGGCTCTGCTGGGTAAAAATTTCACGATACTAGAAACAAGATATTTTATTGCCCAGAATGTATTGTAACAAACGAAAGCTGGATAGGCTCATTTTTGACAAGACAAAAAAAATATTTAACTCGTTATAATGAGATAATTATCTCGTCATAACGAGTTAGTATCTCGTCATAACGAGTTAGTATCTCATTATAACGAGTTAGTTATCTCGTTATAACGAGTCAGTTATCTAGTTATAACCAGTTAGTATCTCGTTATAACGAGATAATTATCTCGTTATAACGAGATAGCTAACTCATTGAGATAACTTACTCATTATAACGAGATACTAACCCGTTATAACAAGATAGCTAACTCGTTATAATGAGATAACTAACTCATTATAACGAAATACTAACTCGTTATAATGAGATAGCTAACTCGTTATAACGAGATAACTAACTCGTTATAACGAGATAACTATCTCGTTATAACGAGTTAAATTTTTTTTATCTTGTCAAAAATGAGTCTATCCGGCTTTCGTAGTAACAAATAATTGTAAGTACAATTTAAATATTAAGTACTGAATCTAAATACATGTATACTCTTACCTGTACCTTGGCTTTTTTCAAACCCAATTTCTGAATAAAGAAACTTCATAACTAAAGTTTTAAGTCATACATTGATTGTATAAGGAATAGTATTACATGTTCAAAAAAGTAAGTGTGTTAATTTCTTTATATTGACTTTTCTAATTGTTCTCTGTGTGATTAGTCTTTAAAAGTTAGGTAAGTTGATTTCTTGATAATTACACCTAAATGTAAATTTCACAAAGTGAAAGGTCAGTAGCCTAATATGCATGTCAATCTCGTGTGGCTGTCTTAGTGTCCGACGTCAGTGGGTGGGACTATTGAATTTAACATGGGAGCTGGCCTTGTGTATTTTAAATCTATTAGATAGCATTTTTTTATTTATGTTTACTATGTTATTGAACATAAATATAAGGAATCACTGTCTAGTTTGTTGGGTATTCCAGGGACATCAACAATAGTTGGAAACATGGGATAATTTGTGCATAACATTAAGCAAATTATCCCATGTTTCCAACTATCGTTGATGCCCTGGCATACCCAACAAACTAGACAGTGATTCCTTAAATAATTACAGCTGAATGTAAATTTCACCAAGTGAAAGGTCAAGTGCCTAATATGAAAGCCAATTTCCACAGATTGTCATTATATCTTACATCGATGGGCTGGGACTATGGAAATGAACATGGAATGCCTCATGTATTTCAGTTCTAATAGACAGCTGCATTTTTTATTTATATTTACATTTTTGTTTTGCATATAAATGTAAATATAATTTGTTGGGTACGCCAGGCCATTAACGAAAGTTGGAAACATGGGATAATTTATGCGTAATGGGCAGGGCAAATTACCCATGTCTGAAACTGGTTTTGTCATTTAATGCAGATTATCCCATGTTTCCAACTGCCATTAATGACCTAACTGGGCACTGATTCCTTAATTGAATGCTTTAAATATCTACATACCTATGAATAATATCAACATGTTAACCTTAACGCAGTGCAGTCATAATGTAGAATTTAAGAAGGTGGGTGGTGCCCCTCCTGAATTGATACTTTATGGTAAAGAAGATGAAGAAATTGAGGTAAATTTTTAATACACCTGGTTTATGCAAGAATATCTTCTATAAGAGGAAACATAATGTGTAATTTTGCACATATTTCATCTGTTTCCAAAGGTCCATTCTGATGTATTTAGAAATATATTTCTTTAAAAATATTTAGGAAATTTTAACAGCAAATTGTGAGTTGTGTAATATTATGTCAAAGCTTTATAAAGTGTTTTAACTGTAAATCTCAGTGCATTAATGTAATTTTGAGAAGTTGTGTGAATTTCAATTTGGCTCACGTAAAATATCAAGTATATTAAAATACCATTCATTATTCATTTTTTGTGTGATTTCTTTTTAACAGAGAATAAATTTAGAGCATAAAAACAGAGACGAATGTAATGAATTATTAAAGAGGAGGGGATTTTATAAGAAATCTGATACAAGTGAAGAAGTCCCAGAGGAATTTAAGGAAGGTCCCTACATCAAAAAGGAAGAACTTTAATTTGGATCCATTTTAACAAATATTAAATTATCTGAATCATTTTGTTAAATATTCCTATTTTTGCATTACTTTGAGATTTTGATATATATTTTAAAATGAAATTAATAGAATTTTTGTTTTTAACCTAAGTTAATTAAATGACATCATGTTTGTTAATATTTAGTTATCTTTTTTGAATGTACTACTGCAATGTGTGCAATAAAGGTCCCAAACCAATATTGATCCAAATTCTAAAGATGAATTTTTGTTTCCAAACACATAACATATCAAAGTGATATGTATATCTTGAAGATTAATTTTAGAAATGTTATGTTTTGTTTAAGATTTGAAGTCCAGATTTTTTTGAACTCTGAACACAGATTCAGTGTTAATGATGTCAGTGTCCAAAAGTTTGATGGTCACTAACGGAAGTCCCAACTGTCTGTGTTTTGAAGTTTGATTTTTTTGTTCTGGAATTTTAGCAGATTGTTAATGAGTTTGCAATAAATGTCTATTTCTTTTCAGCTGTTGTTTTTTTTTCTCCATTTTGTTACTCTCTAGAAGGACCACATTGCTAAATCAGTATATTGATGTTTTACATTTAGAGTGTTCTGAGGTGAGATTATATTTAGAGGCGTAATAAAGCAACACAGAATTGAATTGAAAGATGCTGACATTTAGATTCATATTCCGTCAAGTGATATAATTATAGAGGTTTACCGAGGGGAAGTATTTATATATTCTGCTTAAATAAGAACAGACATTTCTCTGTCAACTTGCTTGATTCTGCTTACATAATGAGGACATATTTATGAAATTAGAGATATCAAAAATAATCTGGAAGCTGCACTGCATTTCATCATTATACCAATGGAGAATATTTATTTTGGCTTGGCTGTCGCAAAAATTGTGTCTTAACTCACAGGCGCTTTACGGTAGTGTGTTCTGACTGACCTAATAGCGTGTCATAGTTTTGGCCCAAGGTCATAACATAAAAAGTCAAGGTCACTTGGCAACGTGTCAGGGCCATAACTTAGTAATGAATCAAATCTTGATTATGTTGTTGGTTATGACCAAAAGGGATGTCATGACGTTGACGTGCTCAAAAAGTCATTATAGCATAAAACCGCGGAACATTAACTGGCAAAATTGGAAATATGCAGCTTACGTCATTTCCATCTGCCGCAGTCAAACACTTGATGATATACAATGAAATGGGCGGGTTACAATTTGACACGGACGTCTGCGAAAACATTGGATTGAAATTACAATTCGAAATTCATTTTCAATCCACCTGAGCTATTTTTCGCAAATTTATGATGTATGATCGAAACGACAAATAATTTCAGTTCCCAAATACGGATAGTTTGAAATTAATGTATAACAATTTTCTATCCAATATTCTTAGGACACACAAAAGTTATAGTAGCTATATTCTTTTAGGGGACGGCCATTTGATTCTAGAAGGGGGGCTGACAAATTTTGTCGAATCAGATTATTTATGGTTATGCCTCACATAAAAGAATATATTTATTATTTGTAGGATGACAAAAGACATTATTTATTTTCTTCTACACTGAAAAAATTTGAAATTCAATTTCAGTCCACCTGAGCTGTTTCAAACCATGATCCAAAAGACAAATAAATTCAATTCCCAAATACATGTTGTTTGAAATTCATATTTCTATGAGTTTTTTAGCCTATAATGTTAAGGATACGTCAACGTCATAGAAGACAGAGATTATTTTTTCTGGGGACGGCCATTTGATTCTAGAAGGGGGGGGGGGCTGTCAAAAATTGTCGAGTCAGATCATGCCTTCACATGAAGAATATATTAATTTCTAGGATGACAAGAGCTTTTATTTTTTTAATTTTTTTTTATAGTTTTTTCTTCTCTGAAAAATGTTTGATAAACAAAAACAGGGAGGGGCTGTCCAAACTAAAAGAAAACTTTCTGATTCATCCTGCCCAGCACACACATACACATACCAAACAGAAATCAAATATTTGTCCCTTTATATTTCTTTAAAAACATGGGATAGAAAATTCTGATTTATATATATTTCAAATTATTTGTGTTCTGGGTCAATCAGTAACACCGTGCGTTCTAGCGTAGCTGAGGTGGATTGAAAATGAATTTCAAACTAGAATTTCAATCCAATGTTTTCTCGCATTGTACCCGCCCATTTCATTGTCTATCATTAAATGTTTTGACTGTAACAGATGGAAATGCATATTTCCAATTTTGCCAGTTAATGTTCCGCGGTCTTATAGTAACTGAATTCGTTACAACGTTTTATCGAATTTGATGCTTTATAACAATTTTGGTATTCGTTAAATGGATTTACGCTGTTTAAACAGATCTGTTGAATTCTCAATTTCTTTATAACTCTGAGATTCTAAAATTTGCTGTATCACATTAAATTTGAATTAACGAATTTCAAATTGTTCAATCCATTTTTACGGATTTATAAAATGAGTCCTATTTCTATCCAATTTGTGATAGCACATTGGAGATTGATTCGATCCAAAAAAAATTTCGGATTCGTATTTCTTTATTCATTGTAATAAATTTAATATTTGATAACAAATAGCATTTTTGCAATTCATTATAACATTTTTTTCTTCAAATCGATATATATCACAATTACACTCTGCTTTTTAGAATTTATAACATTGCAGGTTTTTTTTTTCTTCTCGGATCAAACCTATCCAGGATTGTCTAAGGAAGCAGAAATTGTATCCAATAGGAAAGGGTATATGTTAAACCCCAAAACGTACCCAATTAGCCAAACCGTATGTGATATATATCGCTAACCACGGTCTAAATGTGCGATCCACTCCCATTCTGGCCGTGTGTATAACTATAAGCGGACTTGACCGTGGCTTGAGAAGATATGCAAAATAATTGACTCGTTATTTTTTTTTAATAATTAGATTCGTATAAACGACCATTTGTTGTATATCAAATTCAAATATATTTGTTGATACATGTAGGTCCTTAATGATCCACTATTATACATGGTCAGGCCTTTTACACACTGACCGCCTGAATGCAAAGTTAACATTAATTTTTTAGCCTTGCTATTTCAATTTTACAAATTTTTAAATTTGCTATAATAATAAGTTGAATATGTTAACTGAGGACTTAAGGATAAGATGTACACAGTATAAAAGCCAGAAAGTTTCATTGACCAGTTAATTTCTTCAACTAAAACACATTTAAATGTTTACTTTATAATATTCTACTAGTTATCGGGGTAGATGGTATGTTTGGATTCGCCTTCCAGTTGCTTTCTCGCACAAGATTTGCAAATTAAAACGAACAGCGTGGCCGATATCATCTCTCCAGTTGAACAGTTTCAGATAGAACTCTAGGGTACTGTTTTAATTTATCGCGTATATACATGTATTAGGATGAAGGTAATTTTATGTTCGCATGAATGACGAAGAACATAAAAACGATACGCCAAGTATGAACTCCCGAGAAATGGCCTAGTAAACGTTCCTTAAGCAATATTCTTCGACTTAATCAGCTATTTTATGATGGGGCTTCTACTGATGTGAACAATTATATTTTTATAGTGTGCAAAAAATTATTCCAGGTAGATTCTGATAATTTAAATCAAGGTACTCTACATGTAGTTATGACTGATAATTAAAAACACTTCCAAGTTAAACAAAAAAAAAAAAAAAAAAAAAAAAAAAAACTTTAATTGATTGTAAAATCTTGCAAAATTAACGATTCCCTTTAAAAATTGCTAGCATAAAAATATCTTTCTAAATTCTTTTAATAAGATTCAAACAATTTTAAAATTAATGTAAAATAGAAAGTTATCACAAAATTACATTTTAGTCTTAGTCGTTAGTTCTTTTGTAAAACGGGGTCCTGTTCTCTAAATATGTCTGTTAATGAAAACTATTTTGTATATTTTGACATTGTTTAAATTACTTATAAGGCCTGTAGTAACGTTTTTAAACCCGAGGGGAGGGGGTTCCAAACAAAACTGAGAAACCAAAAAAGAAGTATACTGCCCAAACAAGAAAATCCTAATTCGGGGAAGGGGTGGAGTGAGTTGGACCTTTTTCTAACGATGTTTTATAAGTCACGGATCTCTAGATATGACTGTTATTGAAAACCGCTTCTAATAAACTTTGACTGCTTATTTAGAAATCGTGGATCTGTAGATAATCGTCCTGCTTTTTTGCAATTTTATTTCAACCCCCTGTCTGCTTTTCCGCTACTACTTATTTTAACCCCCTGCATGTCTGCTTTTAACCAAAAGTTATGTGTTATCACCTTTATTTACGGTGGTGTATTTTTATGCCCCCGGATCGAAAGATCCCGGGGGTATATTGTTTTTGTCCTGTCTGTCTGTTTGTCTGTCTGTCTGTTGTCAACTTTAACCTTGCCCATAACTTATGATTGGTTGGAGCTATGACTTTCATATTTCACATGTGTATTCCTTGTGACAAGACCTTTCTTTGGGTACCATCATATTTGACCTTTTGACCTTGACCTTGGAGTTTGACCCACTTTTACAAAATTTTATGAGACTTTAACCTTGGCCATAACTTCTGAACAGTTGGAGCTTGGGGTTTCAAACTTCACATGAGTATTCTTTGTGACAAGGCCTTCTTTTTGATACCAACGACTTTGACCTTTTGACCTTGACCTTGGACTTTGACCTACTTTTGAAAAACTTTAACCTTGGCCATAACTTTTGAACAGTTGGTGCTTAGGGTTTCAAGCTTCACATGTGTATTCCTTGTGACAAGACCTTCCTCTGGATATCAACCACTTTGACCCTTTTGACCTTGACCTAGGAGTTTGACCTACTTTTGAAAAACTTTAACCTTGGCCATAACTTTTGAATAGTTGGAGCTAGGGCTTTCATACTTCACATATGTAATCCTTGTGACAAGACCTTCCTTTGAATACCAACGACTTTGACCTTTTGACCTTGACCTAGGAGTTTGACCTACTTTTGAAAAACTTTAACCTTGGTCATAACTTTTGAATGGTTGATGCTAGGGCTTTCATACTTCACACATGTAATCCTTGTGACAAGACCTTCCTTTGAATACCAACGACTTTGACCTTTTGACCTTGACCTAAGAGTTTGACCTACTTTTGAAAAACTTTAACCTTGGCCATAACTTTTGAATGGTTGATGCTAGGGCTTTCATACTTCACATATGTAATCCTTGTGACAAGACCTTCATTAGGAGACCAACCACTTTGACCCTTTGACCTTGACCTAGGAGTTTGACCTACTTTTGAAAAACTTTAACCTTGGCCATAACTTTTGAATGGTTGATGCTAGGGCTTTCATACTTCACATATGTAATCCTTCTGACGAGATCTTCCTTTGGATACCAACCACTTTGACCTTGACCTTGACGTTTGACTTTTATTTAAAAAACTTTAACCTTCACCATATCTTTTGAACAGTTGTATCTAGGTCTTTCAAATTTCACAGATGTTTTCCTCGAGACAAGATCTTTCTTTGGGTATCAACATTTTTTATCTTTTGGCCTGGATTTCGACTTGCATTTGAGAAACTTTAACCTTCGACATAAGCTGCCATACGGAGGCATAGTGTTTCACAAACACATCTTGTTTTCTTTTTATGTTGGAAAATATTACATCGTTCGCACGATATGTAAATACGTAACTACATATGCTAAAAGTCATTCTACAAAAACATGCCCAATTAATTTTTGTTATGTCACTTACAAATCAACTAAAACCATAAGCTTTAAAAGTTTAAGAACTAGTTAACTCAAATTGTAAACATTTTATGTGCAACAACTAATCAACTGTAAAATCATACAGGTCCGTAGAACGCGGGGGGGGGGGGGGGCACTTTTTCTGAGTATATATAGTATTTTGCTATGGTAAATTTTCCTTTATATGCTTGTTAGCCCCCCCCCCTCCACTTTTTGTAGCTGTAAGGTCGAGCACTGGCAAATTCCAGGATTTGGACAGTAAAATGGGGGGGGGGGTTGCTTGTCAGATTATTCTGGGAAGTTGGCCCCCTCACTTTTTGGTCAGTTTAGGTTTGTTTTGTTTTGTTTTTTGTGGGGGGGGGGGATTGCCCCCCTTTTTTGAAACCGTTGTTACGGGCCTGTCATAAACTTTATATGTGTTACGACTAGTCAACTAAAATCAAAGACTTAATATATGTAACAACTAGTCATCAATTAAACTATAAACTTTATATGTGTGTAACAACTACTTAACTTAAACCATAGCTTTATATGCTTTAGAATATTTTTCCTTATAATTTAGTTTCTGATCTAAACAATTTTATGAACTAATAGTCAAAATCTAAAGCAGTCTTATCTGGTAGGAAAAAACTTCGTCTGATTTTCCACTTTCGAATAGGGTTTTCCGTACTATAGAAGCATCCAAAACTTACTCTATTTACTAATCTTATTTTGAACTTTTATTTTGATACGTTTATTAATTATTTTCCTTGTCATTAATTCCAAAATCTTTATTTATTCTTGGGCAATATGTTTTCACTCACTTCCGATTCTGGTCAATTATTGAGAACTACAAAGGGGCAAAGTGTTCACTTTCTAATACCTTAAATGTTTTAATATAAAAATGTTCATGTAATTATTTGATTTACCTTTTTTCATGTTTATCTTATCAATGCTTTTTACATTATTTTAATACAGAAACATCCATAGGAGCTTGTCTTCCAGATTATTAAATGTAAAATAAATTAATAAAATTTTGAATCTACTTTAAATACTCTCAAAAAGTGGTTACAATAAAGATTCTGACACTTTCATATAAGAAATACCGTGTTTAAAAAAAAACGTACCATACCTATTTAAATAAACTCTACAAGGGACGAAAGCTGTCATCTTGGAAAAAAAAATACCCTCACCCACTTTAACACCCGTTTCTGGACTCTAGAGCATTAATTTATATCGTTGTCACGGTTCTATTCCCTATAGTGATGATTTTCCTAAATGTTGATGTGTCTGTCAGTCGTCAGCACGCGTTCAATGAACATAAAACGGATGCAATATCTTTGATATGGAGGCTCGTCTATCCAAATTGACCTGCAAGGAACGGAAGTATACGTGGTTGCATGGTGACGTAGCAAGGGCAATAATCATAGTATAACTGTAGAGCAAGGGTTCTCTATATTATGTTATGCAATATGGAGATAACAAAACAGTATTTGAGCTCATAGTCCATTTAAACAATATAAATCGGGGGCTGAGGCGGGATCACGTGCCATGGAGGAGTAAACATCCCCTGTCGACCGGTCACACCCGCCGTGTGCTCCTTGTCATGATCGGGTAAACGGAAAGATCCGTAGAAATTTCCGTTTGTAAATAATGGCCTAACAATTAATATGAAAAATGTCAGTCAGCATTTGACCTAATGATAGATTGTAATTGCTCATAGGGTCATTGTAACTAATTATAGTTATACATATAAACGAAATGAGTCTTCCCGGTGCCGCCTTAGCCTGTGAAAACCCTTGGTTTCACCAACTTAAATAAGGTTAAATAAGGTTACAAAAGTTACATTCTATTCCGAAGACAACAATAGAAGATTTGCAGTTCTGTTTTTCCCACATTTTTGTATAGAAGTTTTGTCAAGTAAGAACAGCTTGTAGCTGATCAAAACATCACAGGTGTTTGACAGTTTCTGGATTACTTTATATTCGATTTGAAAGCTTAGCCGCAATTTTTGAATACATGTATACTGAATGCGATCGAGGGTAAGCATAAACGACATTCAAGGGAGGTGCCAAGTAAACGTATGGGGTGCAGTATATTACATGTAGCATATAGCCAGACTATTTGTCAAATCCTCTTGATTGCATTATCCTTGTGTATACGTGTAACTCATTAATTTCAAGACCGCCAGGAAGTTTGGGTACAATTGCACCCCTCCCTTTAAAACAATCTCAAAATAATCATTTTTTAAAGAAAATATCTTCCTTATCCAAATGTTTAAAATAATACTGCTTTATTTTGTCCACTTAAATATCGAGAAAAAAGCGATATCCAAAATATACAGATTCCACCAAAATGGTACCCATTCTGGAAAAAGAGCGGGAATAACCACCCCAACCTCTCTTTCCAGAAACCTGGTGACGGTCCGTATTATGTTGACTAAGTCTCAAGGAATTTGTTAAATAAACTGGCATGTTTAGAACATTGAAACCCGGATGTAATCTTCCTGAGAAATAAAATGTTACTATGGACAAATCATCATTTTGTATTGGTCACGGCAATGGAAATTTACAGACATATGGTTGCATTACGTGACTGCAGAGAAAGCACTTGGTTGCGCATCTGTTGCCATTACAATATCGTATGTTAAGATCAACACTCATCGAGAGGCTGTAAATACATAAATCTCAGATTTTTATTTCTCTAAATTTTAAACTGTTCATAATTGAGTGATTGTGTAAAATAAAAAGTCCGATTTCAGGTATTTCATTTTCTCCGGGAAGTATTAATTGATTCTGAAACTTTAAAAAAAAATAGTTTGGTTCACATTCTGTTATACTTGTAGATTAAATGCAGTATGATACATGTATTAAACACAAAATTTATAGTTAAGTCATAAGTTTATTCAGAATATTATGTATATTCCGAGAATGTATACACACACTACCATTTTTAAATTAATCCTTTTGAACAGTAATCACTGTGCACCTATTAAACGGTGCTTCCGATTATCTGTTGACATAGGTTGCAATCGCAAGAATGGTCACTATAAGCACCTGAATAACAAGCATCGTGTGGAAAGCCAGGATATCAATAGCCGTGCAGAGAGCGGTCCAGTCAGTTTCCGGGGAAGATACTGGTTCGATCACTCCTTCCGGTTCCTTGATGTTCTCCAACTTATTTACATCTTTCTCATTGTTGACACGATATCCTTTGCAGCATGTGGAACATCTTGATAGCCTTAATATTTTACGATGAAAACTATTAAAGGGAATAGACGGTTTTCTATGACAAATTCGAACTTGTATGGCTGTTATAATGAGAATGATAACGCCAATGGTTAATTCTAAAACAAGATACAAACAGAGAAAAGACGTATTGTCTGAATTTTCTGGTAGTGAGGAGTCAAGAACGTTTAGGAAAACAGCGAAAGACAAGAAAAGAGTAATTGAGAACGCAACCTTTTCTTCGCTTTGTGTTGGTATCAGGAATACAACGAGATTGAGTTTCCCCAGAAAAAGAATGGGTAGTATCAGATTCAGAATGTAAAATCCGGGTTTTCTACTCAGGTTAAAGGTAAACGTCACTTCCGACTCACCAGAACCAGTCCTTATATTGTGGGACGAGGAGTCTATAGCCCAAACGCTACTTGGGATAAACTCATAAAAGTCCAGTCCTTGGTTGCTGTTGGAAATGTTGACTTCGTAGATAGTATGTGTCCAAATCGTCAATGTTATATTACAAGTCTGTCTGTCGAAAGGAAAGTATGTGATATCAATGGGGCATTTGGTCTCAAACACCTGAAAAGGCCACCAAATAACTAGTCCAGTATGTTCTACATATACGTAATAAAATTTTCCTCCCATTTCGCTGAACGATTTTAATCCATTTTTTAACACCAAATCTGGTTTCCAAATGTCGTTTTGTGGTAAATACATCTCGGTGATATTTTCATAACTCTGCGGATCCCAGGATAAATAACTATCATACCATTGTAAAACCATAAACCCAGATGTTGTGAAAACACCTTTAACTTCGTCCAAGGAGTTGATGCCCGAGAATCGAAGACTAATGTCCAGATCCAGGGTTAACCCCTGGTGTTTTACCGGTCTGATTCGTTTGTCGTAACCTTCTACAGTAAATTTATCATATAGCAAATTTTTCAACCCACTAGTCAGTTTACTGCTGCACGTGTGTATGGACAATAATTCCAACGTCAAAAAGAACCAAATCGCCGCAAAGTGCATTTTTTTCTCTCCAGGTGTGCCCTGATGATTAGATATATTTTCTGTATTTGAAATTCCACATACGTTAAATAATACGAGCTGGAAGCACCTGATATGAGTGGACACGCTTTCGATCAATGCACTGGAAACATGATGGGGATTTTATTTTACTATGAACGTATCATAAATTATGAATAATGTTAGTGAAGTTATGATATGCCAGCACTCCTTTAATTTAGATTAAATTGTAATTTTTATGAAGTATGGCACTAAACCTTTGATAAAGTCATATCCATTGTATATACATAGTAATGTTTAACTTCAGTTGATGACCCATTAATTATTAATATCAGTTCAGTTTATTAAAGTCAAGAGACATACATCTCATAGACAATATTTACAATCATACAATTAAGTACATATGATGATGAGATTAACATCCAACATGTACAATATATAATATTATGATATCTACATACATATGTACATATGTATAATGATGAAATTAACATCCAACATGTATAACATAATAATATCCACAATCATATAATGATGAAATTAACATCCAACATGGACAATATATGATATAATGATATTTATAAATTAGTTAAAGTCACTGTTCTTGCATCTTCGCTAGCCAAGGGCTTCTGATACGCTACTCTCCTCATTGCCTGACGCCACGTGCGTCAGGCAGTATAAGGATTAATATTTCAGGGATCCGAAACTAAGCGATCATTCTTAATGAACTAGATTTTCTGCAAGCTGATTTACATCGGAATTTGTTACCTGCATTTAAACAAATACAGTTTGCAGAAGAAAGAATCATATAACTGATGCAAAATAATGATGTGTTTAATTCCTACAATTTTTTTGCATGCACATATTTATTCTTTGCGATTCTTTGTACGAACATGTCCGTGTAACATTTTTTCTGCGTTTCTAAACTACTGGATCAGTCCATTTGCCTTCTACAAAAGGGGTGACACAATCATTTCGCGCCAAATGTCACATGTAAATTATCTTCGCGCCTTTTTCTTGGGTTGTTCTATTGAATGGGTGTGATAACTTCTATGGAAATAAAGTTTATTCTTTTAACATGATTCTTAAGCTCCAGATTTTTTATTAACAGTAAATTTTATCTAATTTTTTTAAGAGAACACATTGTATATGGACAAGCAACAGTAAGGCAATGAATTTGATGATTATTCTTAATATTTATTCCATAAGTGGACTAGTCTAATCATAAACAAACTCCCTCCACCCAGTAAATGGGACATCTCTTCTTGATTCTGTTTTCCACCTAGCCTTTCTTTCAACATTACATTTATTAATAATGTACGTTACAAGGTAAGGGTTTTTTAAAAAAGCTTAGAAAGTCAGCGAGTAGCATATTATTTCCTGCTTTGTGAGGAACAAGGGTTTCCTTTTAATACAGTGACAAGAGTGTAGGTCAGTACCCGTAGCGGAATGGGCTTCACTCCCGTAAGGTTCTAAGTAAAGAATCGGCAAAATGAAGAAGACATCAATATCTGTAATGGTTTTCATTTCATAAAAAAGCACATTATTTTAATTATGAGAAAGGTCCTGAAATCGATTGAAAAGAAAAACTAACAATTTCAAAACTGTATATAAAGATGTATTTTAAGCTCATTTATAATACATGTATATAGTAAGACCATCATCACGTGAGTTTTGTCCGGGGAGGGGGGGGGTATTAGTATCTTGTTTTGCGCTAGCTATAAACATGATAAAGTGTACAGGTTATTTACTTTGATTTCTAGAGTAGCATTGAAGCGTTATTGTCTCAAACACTTCAAGACAACTTTCCCAGTTAAAACTGTTCATAATTTACTTCGTCGTCGAGAACGACGGAAAACAGACCAGTCTATAAATAGAAGCCGTCTCATCAATCTATCACTGACCATGAAGAAGTGCGCCATCTAGTAAGAGAGTACATGTAATATGGATTTCTTTAAAACGAATCATCTAACTATTTTCCCAGAATTATCAGTAGCGGATCCAGGAATTTCATAACGGGAGGGCGCAGTAGAAGGCATGGAGTCTGGGGGGCTGTATTGAAACCCCAGTGGGTCCAGAGCAAAGCTCTGATTCGCCCTCGGAAGCTGACGAATTCTTACAAATAAGAGGTGTTTTTTCCTTGATTTTAGGATAATGAACATATAAGTTCTCCATACAAAAAATTCAAACGGGGGGGGGGGGGAGCGCACGCCCGGCGCGCCTGTGCTGGATCCGACTTGGATTACAATCTTAGCTATAGCGCACTTGCAGTTTCATCCCAACGTAACTAGTCAGCACGTGGGCTAACTAATACATGACCAAATAGTGGCATGTCTCAGATATTCGTTAATCTGTAGTATTTGGTTATGAAATTTGAGAAAGTCAACTGTACATCTTGTATAATGAAGTATCGCAACTATGTCGCTCCTTGATGACGGAAACGTTTAGCACCTCTCCTGCATATACGTTCCATAGATATTGATTGATTAGTCAGGCACGCTTTTTGAAAAGCTATTACTTGTAGTGATAATAATGTTTACGAGGAGAGTAGCGTATCAGAAACCCCTTGGCTAGCGAAGATGCTGTTCTTGTTGCACTCGCTAATAACAAAAATTTTCCTAGATACATCTAATTTTTTCACATTCTGTGTACTAAGTAACTGTGACAATTTGGAGACACTTGGTCTTCAGGAGTAGTAGCTTTTTATGCATTTTTGTCTTAATGTATTATACACATGGACAATTTAACACAAAATGGAATTGATCTACCGGTATGTCCCCTGATTCGCGAAGTTTAAATGTTCTATTATTTCTCACAATTTCATTATATCTTCTTTGTTCAATCATTACGTTATGAGCAGATAGTCTTAATCTGGTAATTGGTACTCTATATTTTAAATGTATTGGTTTACATTTATGTAAGACTGAAGGGTAAAAATTATCAACAAGGTGTTGATAAATGAGGCATTTTGGTGATTTACCTAAATCTGACATAGTGTTTTGGATATATTCATCACCCATTCTCTGCTGTAAAATTTCAATTATATTGTGTTACTGCTTATACAATTACTATCATACAGTCAGTCTGTATCACTCCATATGCATTATCTTGTGTGTACAATCAGAATGTTTTTCAATAAAAATTTTGCAAACGACTAATGACAAAGTAAATATACAAATTTCACTTTTATTGACAAAGCAGTTGTCTTTGATGTCTTTGACTTATTGTGGGGAATTGTTGTATAAAGTGTTGACAAGCTATTTTCAAAAGCAACGTTCTAATGCCATTGAATTTGGCAACATTTTGCGATTTCAAATTTTCAATAAGTTCCTTGGAGTTTTTAAGTTTCCACATCTGATTTAACACCACTTCTCGAATATATTGTTGTACAGTATACTCCTGAAGTTTCTCCACTGCTGTTAATATTTTGGTGAGGAGTAACGAAAGAGGCTTCAGTTGGTAGAACATTTTCCAGAACCCACTATGTATTTTCATGACCGTAGGAACCGGGGGGGGGGGGTGGCACCTGTGCCCCTTAAAAACGCCTGATGACCTTTTTTTTTTTTTTTGCTTATCAAAGAATTTTTGGTAGTTGATAACCTTTTTTTTCTAATTATTGGTAGTGCCCCCTCAACTGTCAACTGAAAAATGTGCCCCCCAACTGAAATTTCTTCCTACGGACCTGATTTTTTAAAGTATTTTCATGTAGCTATAATTTAGGAATCCAGTTTAGGTATGGAAATTCAAATTCGATTTGATTGTTGGGAATATCAAAAAATATTAAGGGATTTCCTACTTCGAAACGGGTCTATGAGCAAAGTTGGATTATCGCTTACAGAATTAAACTCAAGTTCCTTAAAAAAAATCAGACAATGTTGTTACCTGTTTTGTCAGTTGGGACAAAGCAGTAGATACTGATCGTAATCTAGATAGAACGTTCTATCGTTAAAATGATATTGTCCTACGGACCCGGTTTAACACTGTGGTGAGGGCTTGTTCCGAGACACAGTTAGATTATTCTAACTAATCGTAATCTATCTAATTCTTCTTTCACTTTTGAATTTTTAAAGAAAGGATAGACGCCTTTTATATAGCTCTAGCCCTCAACCGTTTAATGCGAGATTTCAGCATACTTTAAATCCTGACAATGTATGTCAGTTTTCTTTTTCATGTTTCGTCCAAGACTTGACGTAATCGTCAACAGAATTCATTGATTGATTGACTGTGTGTTGTTTTACCTTCCGTTCGAGAATTTTTCACTCATTTAGAGACATGGCCTCGGTTTTAAGGTCTAATCCGAAAGACCTGCAACTTTCACTCCAAAGTGCCGAGCGCTTGGCTACGAAAGCCCATTGAGCTCATTTTCGTAGGTTAAAAAAATATATTTTTCGCGTTATAACGCGAAACTTTCGCGAATAAACGCGTAACTTTCGCATTATAACGCGAAACTTTCGCGAATAAACGCGTAACTTTCGCGTTATAACGCGAAACTTTCGCAAATAAACGCGAAACTTTCGCGAATAAACGCGTAACTTTCGCGAATAAATGCGTAACATTCGCGAATAAACGGAAACTTTCGCGTTATAACGCGGAATTATACATATATACATGTATAAGGCTGTTACTCGGGAACCTGTGATCTTGGCTGACAGATAAAAAACATGAACGCAGAGGGGGACTTCTATGATTTTATAAATGACATTTCTTCAGAAGACGTAAAAGAGAAATGATGCGAGAAATGGATAGATTAGTGTTGATTTTGCATTTAATCTCAAAACCCTACTAATTAATTAAATGAACATTCATTTAAAGATTTTCTTGTTTTTCAGTTGTTGAATCCAAAAAATTCTTTAGACTAATTTTTTTCTCAGGAAGATCTCCACTCGTTGCTTTCTTTAAATAAATTGTCAATGTTTTCGTAAGTAATGGTATGACCAAGTGGTGCAACTTAAAATACAATGTTGTATTTCTACAGTGAGTCTATCGGAGATGAATCATTTGATACGAATATTTGTCATCCAATTTTCACATTAGGTTACTCATGTGATGTGACACAATTGTTCCGTGAAATATAGAAATTAACCTCATTGTTGACAATTTTCTGAGATTTTTTATTTCAAATTCTATAGAGAGCGTTCAATCTAATTAAAAATTAGACTTGTATTTTCGCTCCTCTACTATACGCTTCAACACTTATATTGAACAGCATTGAGAAAGACAAAATGTGACGGCAAAAAAGATTTAGAGAAGGAGAGACACATTCAATGGCGAGAAAACATAAAATTTCAGCTTGTGATAATCCAAGTTCAAAATAGTCTTTCGTTTTTCATTGTAATGAATAAACTAGATCATTAAAAAGTAAAACAGACTGTAGACTTATGCAAATGTCTCTGTTTTACAGGGAAAGTTTCGCGTTATAACGCGAAAGTATCGCGTTTATTCGCGAATGTTTCGCGTTATAACGCGAAAGTTACGCGTTTATTCGCGAAAGTATCGCGTTTCTTCGCGAAAGTTTCGCGTTATAACGCGAAAAATATTTTTTTTTACCTACGAAAATGAGTTCAATGGGCCTTCGTACTTGGCAAAGGAACAGTTGCTACCTATATTTTTTTTTTCGTCTTAGGTCAGTCGCGGCCGTGATTCGAACACACAACCTTCCGATCACGGAGCAAGCGCTCTACCGACTGAGCTACCGTTACGGTTCGACAGAATTCATAATATTTATGACATTTTGCAGGTTTATTTGTCCTGTATCGATCTTGTTACAAAAGCTTTATCTGGTGTTGTATTGTGTTTTTAAAAAACACAAATAACCTTTTCATAACATTGTTATAACTTAAAAAATCAAGTCTGTACCACTCACTATGGCATGCCAAACGTTGCAATATTTCATCTTTTCAATTTGTATAGTAAAAATTTTCATTTGTATTGTACAATTTTTTTATTTGTATTCTTTTATTTTCTTTGTATTGCAAAAATTTCATATGTTTTGTATATTTTTTACTTGTATTTTATATAAATAAAGAGCATTACATTTCAAATAGAAAATATAGAGTACAAATCAATTTTTTTTCAATACAAAAAGAATATATAGAATACAAATGAAAAATTATGTAATACAAATGGAAAATAAAGAATACAAATAAAAAGTTATACAATACAAATGATTTTTGTTTTAAATTCAAATGAAAATTTACCATAGAATGTAAATTGAAAATTTATAGAATACAAATGGAAAATATAGAATACAAATTAATTTAAAAAATATACAATACAAATAAGAATTCTTACAATACAAATGAAAAAGATTTTAAAAAAAATGTACCGTTTGACATGCCATACGCTCACAATTTTAATATGTGTAGAATGTTATCCTAAAGACTGTAGATGGTAAATATGATTTGATATTCACGTACGAACAATTTAAAAAATTAACGAGGCAAGCTATTGACAAACAAGTTGATTAAACAAGGATATCGGTAGTCACGTTTAAAGTCATCATTTCGCAAGTTCCATTGTCGATACAATGACCTTGTCAGCAAACACAATCTATCATCAAGTCGAAGGCTGACTGACGTTTTTCACTCTAATTGTTAGGCCATTATTTAAACGCTGAATTGTCTACGATTTTTCCCGTTTTCCCGACAAGGAGCACAAGGCGGGTGTGACCGGTCGGCAGGGGATGCTTACTCCTCCATGGCACCTTATCCCACCTCTGATCATCTTTTAAGGTGGTTGCTCTACTCCCGATTTGTATTGTTTCAATGGACTTTTGAGCTTGATTACTTTTCCTTATCTCCATATTTCATTGACAAAACTATTTCGGTATACACGGAATAATGTAAATTTACTCCAATTAGGAAAAATAAGAATCACGCTTTTAATAAGTTGTTTCCAATTGTATAAATTCTTAGACAAAATTGTGTTGCAGAATCAAGCAACAACATGAAGAAGACACATTTACATGACTAATAACGTATCAAAGGGGGTGGTAACATACTTGATTTTACGTGATCACTATCATATTTATGCTTGTTTTGAGACCGTTGCTCCTGTTAGGCATTACTGATTTTGTATAAAATGTAAACTGACTTTTTACCTGACCAATAAATACCTCAACTGCTTTCTCATCGAAGGATGAGCAACTTTTCTTCTTTTTTTTAACTCCATGTAGAAAGACACCCCCCCCCCCCATTTCTCCGCTAGGTGAACGTTATATCATTTGAAATTTCTCTCCGGCCTTACCAACTTTTAGAAATATATTGTTTATTTAAAATAAAATAATTTTATAAAATATTAAGTGATCTAAAGAGCGTGTCTTGATTTTTATTAAATAATGAATGATAGACTACCACTGTTAAATTTGAATTTTCTGTTTAACTTATTTGTAAGCGTTTGTATAGATCACGATTGAAAATATACAAAAAGTTAAGCTCTCTTGAATAATCAAAAAAATTATCATAAGTTTATCAATAGCAGATGATAATATAGTCCAATCAGTCTCGCAATCGTCTTCTCTTTCGATGAATTTTTGTGAAGATTCTTTTTTCAAAAGTTTAATTAACCAAACGTCATGCCTCGACAATCTTATGTGTCGATCCCGATTGCAGATTTTCACCTGTAAGCTCGAAATTAGAACAGTCAGAACCGCTAATGAAAGTTCTATTTCCATGTAAACACAAACTAAAGAAATAGAATCTGAATTTTCTGGTAATGAAGATGTTACCGAATTAAGAAACACACCATATGCAAGAAAGAGCGTTATTGTAAACGAAACTTTTTCTCCACTTTCTGCAGGAATCAAAAATGCAAAAACCTTCATAATTCCCAAGAAAAGCAATGGAATTATTAAATTCCATAAATAAAATACGTATTTTCTTCGTAAATTGAATGAAAATATTAGTTTAACAAACATTTCTGATTCATCTAATTCCAAGGAACTCATGTTGGAAAATATTTTCCATATCCCGTTTTCATAATAATCAAACAGCCTTAAATAAGATCGATTTCCAATTTGTACCATGTTTTTGTCGTGGTTCCAGACGGTGAAAATCATCTGGCAAGTTTGAGTATCGAAAGGAAAATATACAACATCGATTTCACAGCGAGCTTCGAAAACTTGATACGGCCACCACGTAACATGCCCGGTGTAATTCATCAAAATGTAGTAAAAATCTCCCCCCATTGGTTTTATTTCCTTAACACCATTTCGGAGAATCAAATCAGGTATCCAAATATTACCTTGAGGAAAGGTAAAATTGGTTATGTTTCCGAACATTTCAGGTTGCCAGCTCAGGAAATGGTCCTTCCATGTAACTTCCAGGAATCCAGTTGTGGAAAACACCCCGGACTTCTCATCGACGAAATTAATCCCTGCAATCGTCATTGAAATTTCCAATACAACTGAATCGGACACGTCTTGCACCGGCCTTATTCTCTTGTCATATTTTCTTGTTTCAAATAGTTCTTGTAGAATATTTCGTAAATATTCTGTTCGTTTACAGTCAAACTCTCTAGTATTCAAAAGACAGAAAAGAATTATGGCGCAAATTATTTTTTTCATGGCAATCATGACCAAAGCTGTGATTACCTTTATGCGGCAATCTGAATAGACACATTTCAATATATGTACACTTAAACACGCTAAATTTTCCCTCAATAAATCGATTATAACAACAAAGATTATCATATTGACGATAATGAGGATGCAATTAAGCTTGATTCGATAAAAGCAACACAATTTTAAAAGCGTAATGTTTAATAGTTTTCATCTCAATTTACAATGCAAATAACCCATGCCAAATTTCTACAAAGAGATTTTAGATAGATTTTGTTGATCACCTTCGCCAAATCTCCGATAATCTGTTGTCCATCGGTTTGTTGTAACCTTTGTTAACTTAGAATGAGAAATCAGTTCTTAGCCCTCACAGTTACAAAGTAACATAATACCAGTCAATTGAAAAAAAAAAAAAACGGTGACATAAATAAGTTCCTGCATGCCCCAAGAGACTGCGCTTTAGCGATTTGACATTAGGTACATGTACATCATTCACACTGCTTTCCATTTTTTTTAATTTATAATAAAGTTTTAACCTCTGGATTCCTTGCTCTGTCACGTTGTCAATGAAGGGCTACTGATATATTTATTTACCTTGCTTCTTTGGATGCGAGGACTTCGTACTCTCGTTTGGTTATAATGTTTCCTGTACATGTCAAACTTCTATGCTCATTGGCTGGTCGGCAAATAAAACAATTCCTTATATTATTTTAGAATGAAAAAATGAAGCTACTTTTAGGCATTTAAAGAAATCAGATCTTGCCATTAGATTTACCCGTAGGAAAAAAGTTATTTTTGGAGTACAAACGAACAGAATTCCCTGACAAGAGAAAAACGGGTGGTCATTAAGGTCGTTATTAGTAAATTATATATTGGCAGTCATTGAGGTGGGTGGGGTATGGGCTGACAACAGACGAATTAGATAGTTCACACATGAATTAGTTCTTCGTTCGAATTAGATGTTAGTATATAGGTCTCCGATTCGGATAAATATAAAATTTGTACAGAAGAATTCGACATTCGTTTGGACAAATCAATTTTTTTATTCGGACGAATCATTTTGTCGATAATTATATATTTGTTCGAATGAATAAAATGATATTCATTCGGACGGAACAGATATTTGTTTGGACGTGTTTGATATATTTGTTGCTTAAGTTTCTAAGACGTCCCCTGAATCAGTCATTTGAAGGTCACAGAATTTTTGTAATTGTTGAATTCTTGTATGCAGTATCTCAACATTCAAAGCTTCAAGTTAGATGTGCTATGCAACACAATGAACAGTGTTGAGGACATAGGATACTCAAAAATATTTGTTATAGAAATTTGTGAAATTGTTTGTACAGTCTTCATTGTAGCTAAAACTCACATTTATATTAAGATTTTCATATCAAACCAGCATTATTTTTACATTCTTTCCCAATCTAAACGCTTATATTTATACTACAATTCAATAAAAAAAGACAGAAAATATAAAAACATTGAATTCTTCGAAAAATAAATATAAATTTACTATGTCACAAATAAAGGATGACTGCACTTAAGGACATGCGAAAATTGCGACAAAATGAACTTTCAAAACAAGCATTTTTCTTTTAATTGCACGAATGGTCAACATCTAATCTACAACTTTATGTAATTACATTAAATAAAAGTACGTATTTACGAAGTACGAAGCTGTTTTCTAAGGCGGGGGTCATCACAATTCCTTGAATTTACGTACGATAATGAGGACGCCCACTTTTTCACCGACTTTATACATAGTCAGCGCATGTTTGTCTATTGTTCTCCGTTTAACAGTAGTTGTATATTTGCATTAATAATATTGTGTCAAAAGGAGATTAATAGACAAACATGCGCTCATGGTTTAAACGAGAAAAAAAAAAACTGCTTCTTCTTACATTCGCTCTCTCCATTGTAACCAAGGGCTGTGACATGTTGAATATTATAATTCACCACGTGATTTCTTACCTCAGGTAACTGTGAATACTAAATTCCGTCACGTGACTTGTAGAGTAGCATGTTTCGTGCTGACTAGGACAAAGTGCTCGAACACGTTAAAATATTAGGCATTGATGTAAAAGATTCTTTACTTACATGGACGTCGCTCATATTGTTAATTTCGTTTTTGAAACCTCTGAAAATACTGTACTTGTGCCATACAGAATAAAGAGGGAATGGGAAAGAGTGATCTCGTATTTTTTTAATACATGTCATTGTTATTTATCTAGTCTAATTTTAGACCCATTCTTACAATATTAGCTCCACCTCTCATGCATACCTAATGTTTAATCAAGGGCAGGCAAGTGTAAATTCTCTATATTTGGAAAGAGTAAGGACAGAAACAGAGAATCATTTTATTGTATCACAGTCTAAGTTCATTTTAATATTTAAATTCGGTTCGAAATTGACAGGACTCTTTCATTAATATATAAAAATGAAATAATTTTATGATATAAAAGCAACAGAAGCGATCGAAAAAGACTCAAATTCCGGCGTTAAGTGCAGTCATCCTTTGAGTTTAAGAACAATGAAATACAAGAAGCTATGATATAAACATGATAAATTTTTACTAATGCACTAGCTTTCTTCCTATTACATCTGATAGTACATTTGACCACTGTGTTTTGAATGTGCCCCCTTATACACCCAATTATACGTTTAACGCCCCCAGAATAACAAAATGGAATAGAATAAATAAGACAAGATATTTAGCACTAACGGCATGAGTTACAAAAGATGCCTTTATCTCATGTTTAATCTTTGGATATTATAAATAGATACAATCTACACCATGTGGTGAAAGAAATAATGTCACAATTAATTTTTCCAATTTCCTATAAGGTCTATATTTATAATGAAAAGAGTGAAGATAATGAACAGTGATCGATCTTTAAAAAAAAAATCCTACAAACAATAAAAATCGGTGAACAGGGCATAAAACATGGACCTTCGGAAATGGTAAATACTTTGGACAGCATTGTTCATCAGAAAATTAAATACATGTAATATTCCGATCAAAGTAATTGCCACACGATAAATGGAATCTTTTTATTTCAATATTCACACTTATTTAATACTGATTTCTTTTACTGACGATTAAAAAATATTGATATGATTGCTTTGTAGTTTTCAATCGTGATTTTTTTTATTTTACAATTTAAAAAAAAAAAGATATTTCTTAATAATTTTTTCTTGAAAAGATATCGATGAAAACGTCAAGTTTACAAATTTTATATTAGAATATATAAATTATTTTAAGTAGTTTCACTCAAAATTAGGCGCAAAACGCATAATGTTGACCCTGATTACCAAAGACAGACTTCCTGCGTAATGCAACGTGTATAGGGATTTTTGACATTTTGAGTATCAGGGCTCTCTAGGTAAATAACATCAGTACTTCTAAGACCACCCCACCCCTCCTCAGGTAACCGTATAGTAAAAAAAAAAAAATTGGGTCTTTAAACATGCAATTAGGACAGTTCTTCCTTGACAAATCCATCCCTATTAAAAGTACACCATTATTTGGGCATTGTTTCACAAACACAAACACGGCCTTATTCCTGCTGCCATACCATCCAGTATTTTATTCTAATATATCTGTAACTTTTATTCCTATTTATCTGAAGCCTGATTTTAATGCTCTTAGTCAATCTTAACAGGCAGACTTGTTATTTAAAATAATATCTTCCTTACATGGACACGTTTCGGGTCAAGTATAGTATACGGATATGTAGTTCCTGCGGATTCATTCATAATGAAATAGGAGTGAATAGTCCTCTTAAATAGATATTAATTTGAAATCAAAGAACTTTTAAATATTTATTATATGCATATAATTATATTTTATTTTATTCATAAATATGCATATATGAATCTATAAAAAACACAAACTGACATCAACAAGTCTACAGGTCGACAGGTCTACAGGTGTACGGGTCGGTGAAGTCTACAGGTCAAGAGGTCGACAAGTCTACAGGTCGACAGGTCTACGGGTCGACAGGTCTACATGTTAATATGGCCCCCGTTAAAATATATAATATTTATGAAAAACAGCTTCACATTCTGCCCAATCACCAAAGGTCGACCTGTAAACATATACTCCAATACTAACAACCTATTGTACAACTAGCATGTAGACCTGTCGACCTGTAGACTTGTATACTCCAATATTAACAGACTATTGTGCAACAAGCATGTACACCTGTCAACCTGTACACTTGTATACTCCAATACTTACAACCTATTGTACAACTAGCATGTAGACCTGTCGACTTGTTGACCTGTATACTCCAATAATAACAACCTATTGTACAGTTAGCTTGCAGACCTATAGACCTGTCGACCTGTAAACTTGTATACTCCAATACTGACAACCTATTGTACAACTAGCATGTACACCTGTCGACTTGTTGACCTGTATACTCCAATATTAACAACCTATTGTACAGCTAGCTTGCAGACCTGTCGACCTGTTGACTTGTATACTCCTATACTAACAACCTATTGTACAGCTAGTATGTAGACCTGTAGACCTGTATACTCCAGTTTTAACAACCTATTGTACAACGAGCATGTAGATCTGTTGACCTGTAGACTTGTATACTCCTATACTAACAACCTATTGTACAGCTAGCATGTAGACCTGTCGACCTGTAGACCTGTATACTACAGTTTTAACAACCTATTGTACAACGAGCATGTAGACCTGTCGACCTGTAGACTTGTAGACCTGTAGAATTGAATACTGTTATGCTAACAGCCATTGTACAACTAGATAATATTAGATTTAAAAAGATTTACATCTCAAAGAATCTTATATTTATTTTAAATTTATTTTTAATAAAAAGTAGTGATAATTACGCACTTATATCCCCAAATATTTTTTAATACGAACTACTTTTCCGTATAACCAACTTGGGCCCATGTTTCTTGCATAACACTTACAATCAGCAACTCTGGTGCCACCTTTTATCATTCAAACATAATGCAGCTATTGCATGATAAAATTTATTGCACATTGAATTATAGGTTATGATCTCCTACTAGTATATAACAAAATAAAACAATTTCTGAAGAAGTACATGTATATCATTAAAAAAATTACAACAGTCTTTTTCATAAATATGCCTTTAAATATGATTCAAAGCAACATGTTCTATACGTTGACTGAACAATTTACATGTATTGAAACAGTGATTTTGCAAATGTATTTATTCATATTTAAGCATTTAATTCTTATTTTTGGATGACAGCACTGAATGTAATAAAATATAAATGTATGTCTCCTCTATGCATTTTTTGAAATTTAAAAAAAAATCCTATATTTCCATTTTATAACATTTTTTGAATGACTAAAAATTGATAACAAATAATGATTTGGAAAAAAATTCCCAAAAAAGAGGCCCATGGGCCACAACACTCACCTAAGTAACTTTAACCCTGCTGATTTTTAAAAGATGTTTCTCCTTTATATTCCCCAAAAAAATTATTAGCCCACCCTAATTTTAAGAGGTCTATGGATCCACACAAGATGGGGATGATTCGATATCAAGATGACTTAAAATTTTTTGACTATTTCTTAATTATCACCCCTTAAAAAAATGCACAGCACTTCACTTAAATAAACTTAATTTATCATCACCCAAGAATGCTTTGCGGCAAGTTTGGTTAAATTTGGCCTTGTGGTTCTGCAGAAATCGAAAATGTGAAAAAGTTTACAGATGGCACAACAGATGACAAACTCCTGACACTCTTTGATCAGAAAAGCTCACTAAAGCCCTCAGCTCAGATGAGCTAAAAGCAATAAATCTAAGTAAGGAACTATAATTTGACGAATGTATGGAGATGTATCTCAGTATTTATGTATAATATCTATAGTAAACAGGTAAATCTGTTGTCACAAAAATTTTGCAACTTAATTTAAAAGTTAAATGTCAATGCTATATAGAAGATGCATGTAAAAAACTGGAATAGTTAGTTATCTTATTAATTAATTTACACTGCACCTATCATGAATCTCCCTCTCCCCTTACCCATCCCACTCCCTCCCCCAGACCAACCAACCAGTTATTCTGTTCTACTAGTTATGTCATAACCATCATACACATTAAGTAAATAGGAATCATTATACATGTAATGACCTATCAAACAATTACAGTGTATCACTGAGGAACCTTCGTATAGAAACAAATGTTTCTGGAAAATCACACAACTACAAAACACATACAAGCTATCAACAAAATAACATTAAAATAAACACTTCCATTTGTATCAAAATGATACAACTATATGTATAATGATGTATTATTTATAAGTACTGATTTGCATATACTCAGCAAAAAGAAAGTGTAGAGTTTGGAATCATATGTGACTTTTCCAAAGGCTAGTCTTATCAACACAGCCCTCCCTCTTCCAATTCATCATCTGCTAGCTGTGCCCCTTGACCTGATGTGTTTTCATTGGGTGATTCATTCTTGACCACACCAACCCTGCCACTTCCTCCTGCAGGAATGACAAGTCCTCGGGCTATCTTTGCAAACTATAATAAAAAAAGATTTTTTATCACTACTAAGGCCAAAATTAAAAATATGTTTGTTTCCCCTAACGCGACCGACCCAATTAAATCGCGCCGACTGAAAAGTTTTTTTTTTTAAATAAGTTTATTCAAATATTTTTTTTTATTGTTCATCAACTTTTATAAAATACAATTTCAACAAAATCCGGTTTTTATGAGAATGACCAATTTTGATCTACTGTGATTTTCAAGCCTTTATTGGAAACAAAATGGTGCCCATAACATTGTGGTCTCAGAGGGTTCTTGTTATGAAACAACGGCGACGTATTCACCTTTTGCCTTTAGCTTATTAGAATTCTACTCACTTTTAACATTTCGTTAATAAAATTCACTATGACTAATTGTGATTTGGTGATATTTTCAAACCTATCTTATAAAATTAAGGTACAGAGTAGTTGCCTTATAAGAAGACGAGGGGCCAACCTTGTGAACACATCAATCAATTTTAAATTTTATTTAATCTGAGACAGTTCATTTATGTTCTTATGTTTACTATATGTGCCTACAGGAGTTGTAAATATGTGTGCATATGATATTTCATTCTGATGAATAAAATTCAGACGTTCTTTATTCATGCCTTTTATTCATGGGTTAATTGCTTCATGACTATGACATCGTGTATGACATTTAATCATTTTAAATCATGGTTTAATTGGTTCAATTGAATATTGTTTACAAACTCTTTCCAAATATAGTTTTGAAATTGTGATACAGCTTCCTGACACGTCCAGTGTATTTTTATTTAATTAGGCCCTTGGATATAGGTTATTTCTTTACTTTAAATTCCTTTGAGAACTGTTTGAACATTTGCCTTGTGAAGGGCTCCAAATTTAGACTTGAACTTTTTACCATCGAGCAGTGATAGATCTTTTTTGTACCAGCATCTACTGCGACACTGGACCTGAATTTTACAGTCTGATCGGTCTCAACGACCCACAATGTGAAATGAACCTGCGACTTAGAATTACATTGTAGCTCCTTACTTCGGGACCCCAAATTGAATGCACAATTCGAGGCCCTTGAAAAAGTACTTTGCATATGTAAGCATTTGAAGCTGATAGTAGGTTTGAAAAATATACTCGGATGTCCAGTCTTTACATATGTAAGTATTTTTAAAGCCTTTTTTTAACAATTCAATAAATTTACACTTCCTTGAGATATTTTACAAGGAATAATTGTTGTGAATTGTAAATTTACCTTAAATTTTGCTTTTAAACGGCAATTGTTTCATATTTTGTTTACAAATTACTTTCTTTTGTACTTTCTTTCATTTATAAAGGTATTATTCCATTAAATTGCAGAATATATTTTTAAAGCTGCTATCAGGAAAAAAAATTATTTGCCTACCTACCTATCCAACTTGAGATTTTAGGGACGGGTTAGGGGAAACAAAGATATTTTTAATGAAGGCCTAATATAGTAACTTCTTTCATTATTGTGGGTATTAAAATACTATGCAGAATTACTCTTTAAAACAGACAGTTTTTATCAAGAAATGAAACAATCTTCATTCTTCAGGAAAAATTTCATCAATACATGTAAGATCATTTGAAACTGACACCCCGAGAGAAAACCATTGTCAACTGTGTGTCAGTGGAGGTTGACACAGACAATGGTTTTCCAAGGCATGTCAATTTCAACTGTAACATGTGTACCATCAAAACATGCATTATTTATTTTATTTTACTGACTGTCTGATCTTGGAGATTGTCCTGTAATTCTCTCATTTTGAAAGGTCTTTTAAAGTCTTCGATTCTTTTTTCTTTTTTTTTAATAACAAAAATCCCCCCCCCCCCCCAAAAAAAATCACTATCATCTCAATTGTTCATTTGGAACTAAGAAAACATTTATTTTTAATTTCAGCTTTTGCAAACAATTTTCTTCTGTTTGTTTTTTGTTTTTGTTTTTTTGAAATCATCCTATTCCAACACAATTAACATCCTGTTTATTTAGTGTATTTCTAACACACAGCTGATGTGTTGAAAAATCTTAAGTGAACTGTATGCAATTAAGTTACAGGCATGTGACATTTTTGTTTTGATACCCATTGCTAAGTGTGTTGTTTATGCTGAGTGTAACATTACAAATTAGTTCATTAATGCATGTAAACCAATTACATTTTAGTATTTAACATGAAAGTACATGTATAATACTACCTGTTATAAATCTAGTTTTAATCTACTTACACAATTGTCCATAAATTTAACAAAGGGTCTTGACAGTATAATTCTGGCTTCATCTTCATCTCCATCATTATACGCTCGAATTAATTCATCTGCCCCCTGAATAAACTCATCCTCTCCTGTTCCCTTGCTACAAAACAGAGGAGTATAAAAATACTTGCTTACATCAAGAGATACATGCAGGAATGCTTTAATCTACACTACCTGAGGATGCTTCTGTATTAATATGACTTATTATGGCTTTGCTGTTCTTGAGAAGATTTTTAAATATACATGTATTTCCTATATATTCCTATGTAAAAATATGATCCCCTGTTGTGACCCTACCCTGCTCCCAGGAGTTATGATTTGAACAAACTAAGTGAGCATCTTAATGTAGTCTACTTGTGTACCAAGTTATATTGTAATCGAATTCAAACTGTAGGAGGAGTAGCATTTTGAAAGAGAATTATGTACTTTAGTGTAGTCTACTTGAGTACCAAGTTACATTGAATTCTGACTTAAACAGTAGGAGGAGTAACATTTTGAAAGTATTTTGCAAATTTTTCTATTTTTAGTAACCATGGCAACACCATTTATCAGAATCAAAAGCCGATCAACAGAATTGAATATCTTAGTTTAGTCTATTTGTGTACTAAGTTATACATTGTATTGAAATCGGACCAAAACTGTAGGAGGAGTAGCATTTTGAGAAATTGTTTACTGACAGATGAACAGACAGACACCTTACTTCTGGTCTCTGACCAGTAGAGCTAAAAAAAACATAGACAATTAATTTTTTGGATAACTTTGTTAGAAAAAATTCGAATAAAAATCATAGATTACAAAAATAATAATACGAATTTCCTCTGCCTTACCATTAATCTTCATTTGATGTTGCATATTTACATCAAATGGTAAAATATTATTTTTTTTTATATCATTATAGTAATTTATTACATGTACATGGTTATTTTGTCCATTTAGAACAATTTTTGATTTAAGACATTGTACATGTACTTTGAAGTTAATCAGTTTCTGTCAACTAAATCCCTGAATAAACACCATCTTTAAATACATGTATATCCCTTATCATATGTACATGTAGAAACATGAAATGGGAGTACATGTACTTGTAATAAACTTTTTAAATTTCTGAATACATGCAGGTTTTTTTTAAAGGTTTACAAGATGTTGGTTACATTTGTTTTTGAAATACATGTACATGTTTATAATTAATTAACATGTAACAAATTACTTTGATGCTGTTGTGAAAAAGTTCTCAGCAGCCACTGGATCGCCATATTGAAGATACACCAAAACTATTCCTAGTATAACTCTGTTTATCATAGGAAAGTTCTCTGTTTGGTGATGAAATTCAATCTCTCTTTTTAAAGCTTCAATTGCTAAATCATATCTGCATTAAAAAAAAAATCAATTGATTGTAACATGTCCTGTAATTTTTTCCTGTTGGATTTGCTTTAAAATGATAGAAAATTTACTTTCAATGTTAACAGGTAATATATTTTTAACAACCAATAAAAAAAGAATCATTGCATAGCAAAACCTTAATATCATGCTGTAACTAGGATTAACTACATATTTATCTATTATATCTATGATTTACAAACAAAACTATTGTTAACTATAGTTTTGATTGTAAACTATAGTTAAGAGTCATGAAATACAGTTTCAAAGAAAATACGCACCTCCAATACAAAATTAGAGATTCTGTCCTTAAACTGTGTTTCTCAAATGTAAAACCATGTTATCACAATTTTGTGAATTCGGCACCTTAAATATATATCTGCAAATTATAGATTACAATCATAAACTTCAGCAAAAGTTTTGGAAATGCTCTTACTTTTCTGCCCTGACAAATAATCTCCCTGCTTTTCCTGCAAACTCGGCACACTGTCTGGATTTGTCCTCCAGCTGCAATTAGCATTGAGGAATAGATCAAGTGAAGTATTTTTACTAACATTAAGAATATTAGAGATATAGAACTGATTCTAGAAGAATTTCTACCTAACATACAGGAAAAAGGATGTAAATTTGTTTGTTTATAATAACATTTATATACGTAAAGGTGTTTTTTTTCTTTTTTTAAAAAAAAAAAACTTAATGAATGTGCATAATCAATTTCATTCCTTAATAAATTAGTTGTAATTTTTTACTGACGATTCTGGATTTCCAGTGACAAATATACACAGAAAATTTAAATTATTCCTACAGACTTGGTTTATGCTGGAGAGTCAATTTTACCTCTGATATACTACAAGCTTTGTCATATAACTCAGCTGCTTTCCCTGGATAGTTCATCTCTATAGTTCTACAATGTACAATATACAAATTAAGCTCCATCTTAATAAAAAAATTATACAAAATAACATTACATGTACCTGGGAGTATATACCTAACCAGCAGGATTTTTTTTATCTCAATGATTCTTATTTTGCCTCTTGTCATGATTAATTCAGTATCTCGAACACTGATATCTCAAATACCATGGATATGTCAAAGTGCTTTGGAAGTCCCAACCACTTATTCTTTAAGTATTTTAACCTTGATATCTTGAATACTTGGATATCTTGAACTTTTTCATTGGTCCCATTGAATTCGAGATATTGAGGTTTGCTTTTTTTTTTTTTTTTTTTTTTTGCTTTATACATGTATCTGCTGCATTTTAACAATAATTATTAGTATTGTAACAAAGTTAGTCTTTACGTTCTCAAAAGCACATGAATATATTGATATTTGTAGAAAAAAAAAGCATACAGAGGAGAGGGTTGCATACTTGGCTGCTCTGTCTAAAGTCAATGCTGCAGTGTCTGCTGTTCCATTTTGATGAAAAAGATCAGCTGCCCGCTCCAACAAATTTACACAGCCTTCAACATCCTTGAACTCTTTACATAATAGACCTGCCTGTTCCATCATCCTATAATGATATTACATTTATTCTAATGTGTCTCAGTTGATTTTGTCAATCATGTTCATTTTAAGAACAGAAAACATTAATTTTTTAAAATAAAATTACCATTTTACACCAGTACACAGATGAGAGAAAGAAAAGAAGATGAATGTATTATTTAAAAGAATTTTAAAACTAGTACTTGTGACCTTAACTCCCATTAATAACAAACATTTAACAAGAGGCCCATGGGCCACATCGCTCACCTGAGTAACTTTGGCATGCTGTTCTTTACCAGATTTCCCCATTGTAATACCTATTGTGGCCCCGCCCTACCCCTGGGGGTCATGATTTGAACAATTTAGAATCTACACTATCCAAGGATGCTTCCACCTAAGTTTCAGCTTTCCTGGCCCAGTGGTTCTTGAGAAGAAGATTTTTAAAGATTTTTCCTATATATTTCAATGTAAAACTTGGATTCCCTATTGTGGCTCCGCCCTACACCTGGGGATCATGATTTTAACTATTTAGAATCTACACTATCCAAGGATGCTTCCACATAAGTTTCAGCTTTTCTGGCCCAGTGGTTCTTGAGAAGAAGAATTTTAAAGATTTTTCTGATATATTTCAATGTAAAACTTGGATTCCCTATTGTGGCCCTGCCCTACTCCCGGGGGTCATGATATTAACAATTTAAAATCTTTACTACCATAGGATGCTTCCACGTAAGTTTCAGCTTTTTTGGCCTAGTGGTTCTTGAGAAGAAGATTTTTTAATGACCCCACCCTATTATTGTCTTTTCTTGATTATCTCCCTTTGTAAGGGGACTTGGCCCCTTTATTTTAACAATTTAAACTCCCCTTCACCCAAGGATACTTTGTACCAAGTTTGGTTAAAATTGGCCCAGTGGTTCTTGAGAAGAAGTTGAAAATGTGAAAAGTTTACAGATGGACGGACAGACGGATGGACGGACGGACGGATGACGGACAACAGGTGATCAGAAAAGCTCACTTGAGCTTTCAGCTCAGGTGAGCTAATAAAAGCTGGAGGCAAAAAGAATGTTGAACAATTGAATATGCTCATGAACACTTTACTTTGTTAGCTTGTATTACCCATTAAAATTTTAGTAAGAGATGAGGTCTCTCTGTGTGATAAATATTTATGTTTTCAAATGGCTGTAAATTTTATATGACTTACTTGGCTGCATGAAATATACTGGAAGTGTTAAGGAAAAGAAAATAAGAATATTAAAATAGTCCTTTCATATAAATCTAATACCGGTATCTCTAACAGACAAAAGAAATATCTCACAGATTTTAAACAAGATTTGTTTGTGAAAATTCAATGTCTTTGAGTGTGGCCCAGTTGTAATGAGAGCAAATTTGACTGTGCAGATCTTCTCAAAATGTTCTTGGATCAAAGAAATGACAAGATTCTTAGATTGTAATCTGCTTTTGTGACAAGTATCAGCTTTTACTTGTAACTTTTCTCATGACAAAGTTGTGGCAAGGACAAAAATCCTACACTTCAAATCTCTGTGGCCTTGACCTATTGTAATTAAAACAATAATCTTATGTAACAATCACAATCCTTTAATAACAAGAGGCCCATGGGCCACAATGCTCACCTGAGTAACTCTGGCCTTGCTTTTTTTTCACTTGATTTCTCCCCCCCCCCATTTTGAAGTATTTATTGTGGCCCCACCCTACCCCAAGGAGTCTTGATTTGAACAATTTAGAATCTACACTACCCCAAGAATGCTTCAACATAAGTTTCAGCTTTTCTGGCCCAGTGGTTCTTGAGAAAAAAATGTTTATAGATTTTTACTACATTTTTCAATGTAAAAGTTGGATTCCCTATTGTGGCCCCGCCCTACCCCCGGGGTCATGATTTGAACAATTCAGAATCTACACTACCCCAGAATGTTTCCATATAAGTTTCAGCTTTTCTGGCCCAGTGGTTCTTGAGAAGATTTTTAAAGATTTTTACTACATATTTCGATGTAAAAGTTGGATTCCCTATTGTGGCCCCGCCCTACCCCCCGGGGTCATGATTTGAACAATTCAGAATCTACACTACCCCAGGATGCTTTCAAATAAGTTTCAGCTTTTCTGGCCCAGTGGTTCTTGAGAAGAAGATTTTTAAAGATTTTTACTACATATTTCAATGTAAAACTTGGATTCCCTATTGTGGCCCTGCCCTACCCCCGGGGGTCATGATTTGAACAATTTCGAATCTACACTACCCAAGGTTGCTTCCACGTAAGTTTCAGCCTTTCTGGCCCAGTGGTTCTTCAGAAGAAGATTTTTTAATGACCCCACCCAATTTTTGTATTTTCTTGATTATCTCCTCTTTGAAGGGGACTTGGCCCTTCATTTTTAAAATTTAAACTCCCCTTTACCCAAGGATGCTTTGTACCAAGTTTGGTTAAAATTGGACCAGTGGTTCTTGAGAAGAAGTTGAAAATGTGAAAAGTTTACAGACGGACGGACGGATGGACGGACGACGGACAATGGGTGATCAGAAAAGCTAACTTGAGCTTTCAGCTCAGGTGAGCTAAAAAACTAACTTTGTGTCAAGTATAAGCTTCTAATGTTTCTCCAGTATAAAACATTTGACCAGACAAGAAATTAATCTTTTTATTCCTGTGACCTTGAGTTTATCCAAATGACATTGGGTCAATAAGCTACGAACTGTTGTTACTTCAACAACTGGGAGCAAGGTTTAAGTTGTAGATGCATGGGCAAGAAAAATTAACAAACTGAAAGCAACTAAAAAGGATACGAATTCATCTGTTTGTATATATCAGCAGCTTTAAGATAGGCATCCTTTGCCTCTGCAAATGCTTTTGCATTTCTGAAACATGTGGCTGTAATGTAAAAATATATATTAATAACAAGTTGCCATTAGGGTTGCATACCGGTACTTGGTATCCGTACCAAGCCGAGTAGTTAATGTTTCAAAACTATTGGTAATATACTGTTTCATTTTATACCAGTAAGATATCGGTAGTTATAATCCTTTTTCTCTATATATACATTTAAATGTGTTTGACTTAATTCAAAAAAAGTGATTTATAATTTGTTTTGAAAAGATGTAACCACAAGATCAAATTTTACAATGTATATTGTATTTGTAAGGTCATGCTAATTAACAAATTGCGGCAATCTGGACCCTGCAGTGTGAATTGTTTATCTTTTAAATTGATAATTGATGGGTATAAATTTCTATAAAGTATACATTGATAGTGGTAAAATTTTTTTGTCTTTATAAACTATTACAGATTACATAATTAAATTCCAGAATGCTAACAAAATGAAACCAACCACTCCTTAGGTTTTCCTACACTCTGTATTGTATTGTCTTTTAATGTCACTGAAACAAGGGTCTTAGTAACCTTGAGAAGCAGTTTATGTCAAACTTGATGTAAACTTGTCATAATTGTGAATCTAATTAAACTGTACATTGTTTCAAATTTTATTTTTTCTGTTATCTTCTAAATTTGTTTGCCATTTCTTATTAAAACATTTCAATGAAAGAGTTATCATTAAAATAATTCATTTCTATCGAATATATAAAAGATTGAGGTATCGTTAAAAAGTATTGTATTATTTCAAAAGTACTTGTATGGTATCATAATGTTTCATCCTTAATGGTATCCAACCCTAGTTACCATGTAAAAATACTGAAAAGTACTTTTGTGATATATTCACCATAAGAACATTACAATTTTCAAAATATTGCTTTTCTATTTTAATTAATGATACCCTGCAAGTGATTAGTTATATTTTTGAAAATTTTAAATACCTGCTTTTGTGTACTCTGAAGCAGCACTATCTAAGTCTGGTTTCCACTTGAAAAAAGAAGTTTTCATGCTGTAAAAAAAATGCAAATTTCTCCAAGTATGTGTTTATGCAGGATTATGTGAACAGATAATTTCACACAAAGTATACTAGTGCATAGATCCCTGATTACTTCAATCTTTTTTAATCTATTACCTTAAGTCCCGAGTTTTACCACAGTTTGATAAAAATGCTTATTTAACTTCATGAAATACAATATGCTTAAAATTTTTCATAAATTAGATATATGTGTATTAATTCTTACTATCTTAATTACTATGCCCTAGCTTATGTAGAGCAAACTGTATACATCTTGAAAAAGAATGAAAATTATCATATTTTGCACATGTTGACCATATATTTGGTTTCACAAGGAAAGAATGAGTGAACTTAACCCCCTATTTTCAGTATTTTTGCAATAAATGAAGTGATTCAAAAATATTTTACAAGCAACAGCAAAATCGCAATCTACATACACATGTACATGATCATATTAGGTGGAATATTTGTACAAAAGCAATTAATACCTTGGTGTCATGAATCAGAACTTAATTAAGCAACAATACATTAATGTCGCTGTCCAGAATTTGACACCTACCGAAGTGGTTTTTAAGGTCACCTTATCAATATTAAAAGGAGGCGGGGCTATCGATCAGTGTCATGTCAGCATCTCTCTCTCTAGAAATTCGAATATATCTATGGTATCAGTTAACAACAGCGATGTCAGTATGAAATTAAAAGATTTCTCTAGTAAATATTTTGAAGACTTGCAAATTTTAATTATAATTTTTTTTTTAATTTGCTCAATTCTGCAAATGGCAGACCAACCAAACACACCCTCAGACCTGATTGGGGTCACATTTTAATTCACTGGCAACTGGACACTTTGTGATGAACTGTAATCAATATACAACTACAGTTTTCTTCAGAACAGCAGACAAACATGTCTGACAATGTATTAAGACAATGAAAAAAGCATGACCCTGATTATCTATTGATATTCAAGAAAACTTCGGGTCCCATGCTTTCGATATTTATTTGGTTTTCCTTGAAAAGAGTGTTTTAAAGTCATATATGTATCAACAAAACAGAGTTAAGATACTGGAGATTTATACTATGGAAAGAAATAAACATTTTATAAAACTTCAATTTTACATCTTTTTTCAGGACTCTTTAAGTCCCCACTCATTCTTTGTTCATTAATTAGTAAATGTAGTAAGAAATGTTCTCTCTACTTGTAGAGGCATCCCGGATTTACATGGAAAATCTAGAGAGAACAAGTTTGGTGCAGTTTCTGACCTCTCTAGACTTTCCATGTAATTCCAGGATGCCTCTACATTTTACATAGTTAGAAATTGTCACTTTCATTGCTTTCAGTTTCAGTGCTAGGTATCGAGGACGTTTTAGTTTATTGCATGTTTTATATGGCAAGTTCAAATCGACAGACAATTGAAGGGCTTTATTCAATCATTTTTGAAGCTAGATCTCACCTGACACTGGTAGGATAAATGTAGATATATATATAAAAATCATGCGTGAACCAAGGCACCCCCTGAAATCCAAGACGGCAACTGTCATACCTTCCCTCTTTTTATATACAGTTTTATGATATTTTTATAACATGCTAATTTCAGCGATTTTTTTTAATTTTATTTTAATGAGTGTATTCAAATACACCTAGAAAAAGCATATAATGCACAAAATACATCCTCCAGAAACCAAGTGCCTATGTATTTTGTATACTTGGCAGACACTCAGTAATCAATTGGTACAAAATTTGCAGCTTATCATTATGTGATTCATATCTATTTTAGCGTTACAGTATACTCCAGTCCATATTCACTAATATAATGGTTATCGTACTTCGTTAGAGTTTGAACACATTACAAACATGATAAAACAGCTGTAAAATGTCAAAATATATTAATATGACATCATTACTATTTAAAAATTTTCAACTTCGACTCCATACTTAAAAAGGCCAACATACTATTTCTCAGCGGCCTGAACATGCGCCTTCCCCTCTGCAATTTTTTTCTGCTGAACATCTCCAGACATATTGTTTAAATTAAAAGAATTATTAATTAACTTCAGATTAAAAATTTTCGTCTTCTGAGAATACTCCAATTTTCTGTACCTCGAACCCGATGCTTTTGAAAAAAAACTCTTTTGCAAAAAAAGTTACATTTGGTGCTTGAATGGTTGACAGAGAGAAGGCATGGCATCGAGTTTAGAAGAAACACTTAGTAGGCTTTTACTGCCGGATAATAACACGATCAAGCAGGTGAAATATATCTCATATAGTTTTAAAAATTACTTTTGATACTTATATAATTAAATAAATATGTTGGACTGAAACTTGTTTCTTTACAACATCTGGTGGTTACTCATCTTTAAAAACGCGGGAAATTTCAGTTATTCCAGGAATGTCATTTATTTGCTTTGATAGTTTACCTTTATCATAAGTTCTTTTTATCTCACAATCTGGTGTGAAAAAATAAAAATAATTTCTGTATTTAAACCAGGCTACTCTGCAGTTGAAGGAGATTTTTAAAGATCCCAACATTGTGCCGGGTTTATGTCAGATACTGGGTTCCTCTCAGTCTGCTCAGGTATGTAATATGAACTTAAATAATGCATACAGTTCTTCATTTATACAAATGTTACAGTAAATTCATAAAAAAAATCTAATTTCATTGCATTTTGAGAATTACTAGTTTGGTTGAATTAATCAGGTCTGGAACAATCGCTACATTTAGCTACATAGCTTGAATTAAATACATAGCTTTATTTATCTACTCAAAGTAACTTTATTCATGACCTTGACCTTGGAGTTTTACCTACTTTTTAAAAACTTTTAACTTTGGCCATGAGCTGCCATATGGGGTCATCAGTGTTTTCATATATCTCGTTTCTGGTGTACAAAGGTCTTGTATTTGTACATTGATACATATCTTTGAGCAATTATTTCAACTGGTGGTAGTAATTTTGAACTTTGAACTCAGTGCCAAATTATTTGGTGTAAAAGATTTTTAAGGTAATGAATCCAAGTAGCATTCATAACTTTTTGAATGAATATGCCTTACTTATTCATGGGTTTGTTATGTTGACCATTATTGTGACTGTAATCCCAGTTTCTTGATGTTTGCAATTCATATGTAGTCCATAATGGGATATTTATGTTTTCAGACATATTTGGTCATATTTCTAGTCTTGGTTGCCCTATTGCTGAATCTGGGGTTCAAAATTACAAGGTTATATAAGTATTTAGTAAAAAGAATTAAATCAATGCATACTTTATCTTTTTGAAGTCAGACTTGCACTGTGAGTGCATTGTAAGATTTTCAGGTAGAGTATTGATGCCTTTAATTAGTTATACAATACTTTTCTAAACTTTTGATTTGAAATGAACATTAGATAAGTAATATTTTATGGTTTAAGGTAAGACAACTGGCAGCTGTTTTGTTGAGAAGGAAAGTTCAGAAGGGACGACAGTGGAGAGCGCTGCCAGAAAATGTTTGTCAAAAGTAAGGAATGGTTTATAAATGGTTATATTTACATGTGTAGAACTAATGGATACATGTTGTGTAGAACCTGAAATTATGCTAGTTACTTTTCAAGAAATTGTCAATAGTGTAGCACAAAATTATTTACAGTATTATTTGGTATTTATTGTTTTAGCATCAGAGAAAACATATTGCAGCTGCTATTACAAGAACCTGAGTAAGTAGCCATTTTTTGATGCCTCAACCTGTGTGCATGGTCTACTTGTGATAAAGAAATTATATTAGACGCATGAGTTTGCCAAGTACATTTGTCATATGAATAAAATTGTGAATGTCTAAATTTACAGATGATATTGTATTTTGACCTACATAGCTCCAACTTTGTTTTTATCCAGGAAATTTGTACGAAATTCCATTGCTCAGGTAGTAGCTATTGTAGCAAAGCATGATTTACCAAAGAATCAATGGCCCCAGCTTTTCCAGTTTATACTGGCCTATACCAAAAGTCAGAACAGTGCAGAAAGAGAGGTTGGTATGCAATCATTGACCAAATGTTTTTTTTTTTTTTTTTTTTTTAAACTTTTTAAAGATTATAACTGTGTGGTATTTTTTGGGGGGGGGGGGGTCTTTTACATATATTGAAAATTTTCTTGACTGTAATTACGTCCAGAGCTAATCTTTGGATTGAAAATGAAATTGATGACTTTACTGTATATAATAAAAAAAGACCCAGAAGTAATAAAGAAAGCAGACTATTACGATAATCACCATAGTCTAAACATTTTCAGTCTATATGTACATGTAGCGTAAGTTTGGTCTCATTTGCAACACCAGTATAGTTTTGATATTTCTTTTAAGATTCAATTAAAGAAATGTGGAGAAAGACACTTCTTCATTTTAATGTATGACTGTATGATTTATTGTGAAATAATGAATTTTTCCTCCCAAGGTTGGTATGTTTGTCCTGTACTCAGTGGCAGCTGCTGCAGGGGAGCAGTTAAAGCCTCACCTGACCTCCGTACTACAGCTGATTAATGAGGTCATTCAGGACTCTGAAAATCAACTCGTCCCCTACTATGCCATAAGGTACTGTACATGTGTTTAAAATAGTCCTTAGAAATATCATAAATGTTAGGTACAATGAATAAAAGACTTAATTATGTTGTTTATATTGATGTTTTTCTATCTTTTCAGGACTGTCACAGAAGTAATATTCTTCATTGGAGATGATGAAGTTGTAAGTTAATTTTCTTGTTATACAATATCTGCTCACAAAAGATGCTATATTATAACAGAAAAAAATGACCATAGTCAAACATTGTTTCCATTTTAGCTCTTCTGAGCCAAAGGCTCAAAGAGCTAATGCTATGGCCATTTGTGCGGTGTGCGTAAACTTTTTAGAATATGGGCCATAACTCAAGAACCCCTTGGCCAATTATTGTCAAATTTGTCACAGGGTATCCTTGGCCCAAGGGCTTCCGTTTATACTAAAATTAGGGTTGTGACCCTTAAACAAGGGGAGTTAATTAGGAAAATAGAAACAAAAGTACTGGTTGCTAAAAAATCTACTTCTCAAGAACCACTGGGCAGATTATCACCAAACTTACACAAAAGGATGAGGATATGTTGTAGATTAAAAATTGTTCAAGGCATCACCCTGGGGCAAAGGGTGTGGTCTCAAGGTCACTTCAAAGTTGACCAAAAATTACATTTTATTAAAATGCTGATATTTTGCTTACTATAAGGACTAGGATCATCAAATCTTGTCAGTTGATGCATCTTAGGATATCATATCATGTTGACTTTAAAGTATGTCATGGTGACCTACTTTTTAAAGGATGACTGCACTTAAGGACATGCGAAATTTGCGACAAAATAAACTTTCAAAACAAGCATCTTTCTTTTCATTGCACGAATGGTCAACATCCAATCCACAACTTTATGTAATTACGTTTAATAAAAGTGTGTATTTACGAAGTTCGAATCTGTTTTCAAAGGCAGGGGTCATCACAATTTCTTGAATCTCCGTTCGATAATGAGGACGCCCACTTTTTTACCGACTTTATACATAGTCAGCGCATGTTTGTCTATTGTTCTACGTTTAACAGTACCGTAAGTTTTGGGGTATACGTCGATGGGGTGTATAGGTCGAAAGGCTCATTTTCAGCCGTAATTTTTAAAAAGTCCTTAGATAGGACGAATTTGGAAGATAGGACGAGGCTTTGTTTATCGATTTCTAGAGATTCTTACGTAGATACTACGTATCAGAACATGTAACCTCTTTAACTCAACCCGTGATATTAACATATTGAGAACATAAACTAGTATTTTTATGAGTACAGCATTTTAATAGTGTTTTATACAAACGTAGTTAAAACTTCCTTGAATTGTGATATAACGTATTTTCTCCAACTTGCCTGATCAATGCCGTCGTAGTTTGACTCTGTCGTTAAACACATAAATACGGTAGTATACAACAGCTATAATTAGGGAAATACCCGAAATCAAACAATAATCATTCCATTTTAGAACGTCGTAGACACATTCTTTTATTCCGACATTATTTACTGGGGTAAAAAATTAACTTCGATGACCGCCATTTTTATATTTCTTGTCCAGGGATTTGCTAAAACACGCAAATGACTATTACATGTAACAGTGCGCAATTGAAATTAATCATATTAACACGCTATAATTTTGCATGACATATTGTTGAAAAAATTAAATATAATTGAGAGTACATTCGCAATTAAACAGTCATCAAGAATTTCACAGTTTTGTTTGTTCAATGATGTATAGCACTAATACCCCTGTAACGGCACGTGGGTCTGTTAATCATGCCCCGCAGGTGTTTTAACCAACACAGGTGTTAACACCTTTGTGTACACAGTGTATATCCCTTTATCTGTCAGACAATTAAAATTCTATTAGAAGCCAATCTTTGTATAATTCAGTGTACCCCTTGGGTACGAGGAAGCTTTCAATTCTATCATTTAAAATAAATATTTATTTTGTAATGATTTCCAAGTCAACCTCATAATATCAGTTGAAATTTTATTTCTGTCACCCGCATTTATTACTCATTTGTTGCTTGTAAAATTACATATCAATAAAATTTCATAAGATATCACAAGAAATGAAAAAAATATTTAGGTATTGCGATTGTGAAAACTCTTCCGTATTTTAAATTTTGATACGGCTGCGGTTTTCTTTTTAGTAAACGATTGCGACTTCCAACTTCACAAGATGGACACAGCATGTTGTAAATTAATTACTAGATGATATACCGGTAATAAGTTGTTGTTTTTTTTTTGTACATCGACGGATATTTTGTAATAATCAATGGAATAGATATTTAATTCTTTATTGTTTATTTTTTTTTCTCTCGGTAAAATAATTTTAAAAAATACGAAAATGGCACAGATTTGCTTTAAAATTGACGTAAATTTTACTGATTTGGGGCATTTTTCGTAAACTTGAGCCTTAGATAGGTCGATTCGTTAAATAGGACGACCCCAGCGGTTCTGGGGAAAAAAGTATCGTCCTATCTTCCAAAACTTACGGTAGTTGTATATTTGCATAAATAATAATGTGTCAAAAGGAGATTAATAGACAAACATGCGCTCATGGTTAAAACGAGAAAAAACTGCTTCTTTTTACATTCGCTCTCTGTGTTGTAACCAAGGATCGTGACATGTTGAATATTATAATTCACCACGTGATTTCTTTGTGAATACTAAATTCCGTCATGTGACTTGTAAGGTAGCATGTTTTGTGCTAACTAGTGCATTGTGTTCGAACACGTTAAGTCATCTGGCATTGATATAAAATCTGCTTTAATTACATTGACGTGCTCAAATTGTTAATTTCGTTTTGAAACCTTTGTCAGAAGTGTATTTGTGCCATACAGAATGGAGAGGGAGATTGGAAAGAGTGATCACGTTTTTTTTCCAAACAATGTCTTTGTTATTTATCAAGTCTAATGTTAGACCCATTTTTACAATGTTAGCTCCACCTCTCATGCATATCTAATGTTCAGTCAAGGGCAGGTAAGTGTAAATTCACTATATCTGGAAAGTAGTAAGGACAAAAAACATTGAATCATTTTATTGTATCACAGTCTAAAATCATTTTCAGATTTAAATTTGGTTCCAAATTGACAGGATTCTTTCATAAACATACAAAAGTGAAATAAGGTTTAGATATAACAGCAACAGAAGCAACTGAAAAAGACCCAAAAACAGGTATTAAGTGCAGTCATCCTTTGTGGCCATTCTTTTTTAAAATGATTTAGAGGCATATGTTGAACAGTTTAAGGCCTATGATCATCAAACTTTGTCAGTTGATGTATCTTGGGTCCTCGGAGTACGTCGACTAAAAAGTAGGTCACCTTGACCTACTTTTTGAATTTTATGGCTAATCTTTTTCAAACAATTAAGGTCATTGATTCGAATACTGAGAGGTTTAGAATCATTAAATCTTGTAAGATGATGCATCTTGGGGCCATAAAACATATTTATTAAAAAGTAGTTCAATGTGACCTACTTTTTGAACTTTGCAGGCATTCGATTTCAAAGCATTTTAGAAGCATAATTTGGACATTTTAAGCCCTATGATCATAAAACTTTGTAAGTTGATGCAACTTGGGTCCTCGAAAAACCTCAACTGAAAAGTAGGTCACTGTGACCTACTTTTCAATTTATATGACTATAATTAAATATTTCAGGTACTAATTGGCTTAGAATCATCAAACTTTGTCAGTTGATGCATCTTGGGTTTTCGGAGTAGGTCGACTGAAAAGTAGGTCATGTGACCTACTTTTGAAAATTTATGGCATTAATTAAATAATTCAGGTACTAATTAGCTTAGAATCATCAAACTTTGTCAGTTGATGCATCTTGGGTCCTCGGAGTACAACAACTGAAAAGTAAGTCACCGTGACCTACTTTTGAAATTTTATGGCTGTTTATAATGTTTTTGGGTATTATTTAGCTTAGAATCATCAAAATTTGTCAGTTGATATATCTTGGGTCCTTGGAGTAGGTCGACTGAAAAGTAGGTCACTGTGACCTACTTTTGAAATTTTATGGTTATAATTTTAAAAATATTTTAGGTATTAATTGCCTTAGAATCATTAAACTTAGTTGATGCATCTTTGGTCCTCAGAGAATGACAAGTGATAAGTAGGTCACCATGACCTACTCTTAGATACTAATTGGCTTAGAATCATCATGGGTTCTCAGAGTGTTTCATCTAAAATGTAGCTCATGATAACCTACCTTTGGAATTTCAAGGCTTTATCTAAATATACAGAATACTTAAAGGCTTCAAATAGAAGTGATAGGTTGTACAGTTTATCAGAAGAGCAATTCAAGGCCCTTGGGCCTCTTGTTTCAATTGGAATTATGATATGGTTTCTTGTAAACGGTAGAAATGTGAAGAAAAAAACGGGATGTGTGGGATATATACATCTACATATACATGTGCTGAATGTTTGGAAAATGTTCTGTAGGTTAGAAGCAACTCATTGGTATTTTGTGGATGTTTTGTTTGTTCTGGTTATCTTACCACATTTTGCTTAGTTTTTTCTCAACCTTTCTATATTAATGTATGTTCAGCACTATTAAAAGTTATCAGTTTAATGACCAATTTATGTCCAATATCGGGGACATGTTTCAATGAGTGGTCTGTTCTGACCTTGAATTTGAGTTTCAACTTCGATATCTCAAGTGCCAGAATATTTCTAAAGTGATTTTTGACAGTTTAAATTTTTTTTGAAATTTAGAAGTTTGACTGTATTTTAAAATTGTGTAAATATAAAAATCAGGATTTTTTTCATAAATAGGTACTTTCAAAGTGTTTTTCAGTATTGGTATTTAACAATTCAGTCAGTAATGTGTATTTTTGTCTGATAAAGTGATTAATTATCTCAATAGCCTAATGATATTTTTATTTTAAATATTTTGATATGTTAATGTGATAAAACTGTTGACAATATCTTTCAGAAATACATACAGAATGTGATTCCTCGTATGTTACAAGTCGTCCAGGAAATTATCCCAGTAGATGAAGTAAGTGTAAATTTACATACTACAGTGTATTTCCAGGTTATCAGACTGAAAGAAGTGTGTTGTTAATTAATTTTTGAGCTGCCATACAAGGGCATAAGTGTTTCACAAACACATCTTGTTATTTTCTTGCAGGATAAGGCCTGTGAACTGCTGGAAGTGTTTGATGAGATGTTAGAATGTGAAGTCTCTATCATTGTTCCACATATCAAAACAACACTAGAATTCTGTCTACAGGTTCGTAAATCATTCATTCAAGAGAGTAGTTTAAGTTCAAATTATTCACCTTGTTATAATGAATTCTTGCAATGCACTCTTTATTAGTTTAACTGTTCATATACTATAACCAACTTTTCTTCCATAAATACATGTATAATGTGCTATGTTTCTGTTAAGTTTCCTTACACAAACATGATTTTTTTCTTCTCCTAAAGGTTGCTAGTCGTGCTGATCTGGGAGACAATATGAGAGTTAAAGCCATGTCATTTGTGGCATCTCTAGTTAGGCAGAAGAAGAAGGTAATAACAACAGATAAACTGTGTTTAGCTCACCTCAAGGAAGTTGGGGGAGCCTATGTAATACCCTCGTGTAGGCATCCCAGGTTAAATTTTTGGAGTAGTTTTCTTTCTTTAAAAGTACTTCTATGCCCTATATTGAACAGAGATGCATGAAGGATGCTTCTAGTGTGTTTTATTGTACCAGTCAAGGTTTCAGATGCTGCAATTTCAGTTCAAGAATGACCAGGTTAATGTTTTTGGAGCAAGTTAAAAGGTTTTGGAGCAGGCTAAAGTTTTTTGGAGCAGGTCTTATTTCCAAGTAACTACAAGCCCTATATTGACCAAACTTGCATGGATGATACACCCAAGGATGCACACTACCAAGGTTGCTTCAGGGGATCTGACCTACATTTTACGGATGAGTGACCAGGTTAAAGGTTTTTGAGCTGGTCATTTCAAGGTACATGTAACTGTAGGCCCTATGTAGACTTAACTTGCTTGGATGATACATCTAAGGGTGCACACTGCTGGACTTGCTTCGATTGCTGGATCTGAATCCTACATTTTTCAGATGAGTAACCAGGTTAAAAAGTTTTGGAGCAGGTCCATTACCAAGAAACCATAAGATGTACATGTATCTGAACCAAACTTGCATGGATGATGGATCAGGGGATGCACACTTTTAGATTATTAGATTAGTGTGGGACCTTGCCTTACTTAAAGACAACATTTGTTGAGGTGAGCTCTGTAATCTCTGATTACCTATGTTTATAAAGTGTTTAATGGATATTTTTTTTTCCAAACTGTTTGATATTAATTTTCAACTTCTTTCCCTTAAGTTAGATTTTCAGTAAGGGCCTTTTTGGTCTGTCTGCTTGGTTTTTTTTTTTTTTGAAAATACAAGTTTATCCTTTGCCAATAGCTTTTGAATTTGATAAAAAGTTCAAAAAAAGGCATCATAAAATCGAAGGCATTTATATATATATATACTAGATAAAATCCCGCGCAAGCGCGGGGAATACGACTACCGACAGAAAATATATTGTAGTTTCTACTGACAGCCTACAGGCTTATAGCAGGAAGAAAAACTTTGTTCAAAATCCCGCATGAAGTAGATATACCCCCCCCCCCCCTTTGTAAAAACTTGAAAAATTACAATTTCATTGACATTTATTGTGAAACCTGTTTAATTATGTTATGGATATTGTACTTCAGATGCTCTTATTTCATTTCCGCCAAGGATAAAAGCAGCAAATATGCACATTATGCTGATAAATTGATTGTTTTTTTGGGGGGGAGGGGGTGTAAAAATTCACAGGTACTTGGGTATTGGTTTATAAATATTTATGTACCTTAATAATATGTAAAAAATGTACTTTACCTTTTTTACATATCAATAAGGTACATATATATATATATATATTTATATACCAGGACCCAAGTACCTGTGTAAATTTTTTTTTGCTTTTAACGCCCTATGAATAGGCCGAGTATTTGATACAAAAGACTGTATTCAGAAAAAAATTGAAATGTATTGATTAAAGCACAAAATTTTACAACATTAATTGTATTTGAACAATACCTTATTCATTAGTTTTCTCTTTTCATGTAAGCAAGTTTATTACGAAGTACAAATTGTACTTCGGGTTCGTTGCCACGATGCTCTTATACAAATTTTATCGATAAATTCATTAGGAAAACCTACTACATATATGTAAAAGTCTTTCGATATATAAATATATTCACAACTTATAGTGTTATCAATGGTTTACAATTATTTCAATGACCATTCACACAAAAGTTTTTTTTTATTTATGTACATGCAGCTATAATCGTCTCGTTTTTCTTTTTAACATCGGGCTCGATGCTATATGATGTTCTAGAAGCTTCCGTCAATATTAAGATCGTTGAATGACGAAAATAATTTGCACATTTCCCTTTCTAATCGGTTATCACAACTTATTTCTTTCATATCATTTAAATCAAGTTTTGATTGAATAATTCGGTGATGACGTTTTATGAAATAAATAAACGATTGCTTGTTGTCAGTTTCATAAAAAATTGCAAGTAACTTAGATCCGCCAACCGGAAACGCCACCTTTCTCACGTTTCTGCTATTTCATGGCTGTTTATAGAAAATGAAAGTAGACTTTTCATTTAATGTTCGATACTTACTATGCGAGTGAAATCTAAATATAGTTTACGGACATCATCTTGTATCGAGTGTATTGTTAGAGGAGTAAGTAAGAACTCTGGTGCATCCGTTTCGGAGTTTATTTGCAAAATTTATTAATTTATAAGTAAAGATATATATATATATATATATATATATATATATATATATATATATATGTATATATGTATATATATATATATATATATATATATATATATATATATATATATAGGACCTTGTTTTATTTTTATGGTACATGTACATGTAGCTCTGTGTCATGAATTTTCCTCTCTGAGGAAAAAAAATATGATGGAGGGGGTTCATTCACCATTTCATTTCATTCATTCATACATTATGCCAGCATGCCAGAATTGAAATACATGTAGTTGAACAAGGTTCAGGATAAAGATTATTATAAAAATCTGCAAGAGGAAATAAGTGCATGATTAATGGGGTGGGGGGGGGGGTAACTTGAAATTTTTAAAAAGTTGAAATGTATATTTAGGCCTTTCTGAAGCACAAGATGGTAGATCCTGTTTTGTCCATTCTGTTCCCTATCATGTGTGCTGGCAGTGAGGAGGATGAGGATGAAGATGACCTGGATGATCCTGAATGTAGGATGCCATCCATGTATGCTCCACAGGTAGGCTGTCGTAAATAATTCTCAACAAATCACTTAAAAAGTAATTTTGTTACTATATGATATATGAATACAAACATTTATTCATGCTTAGTATACTTTTGTATAATTTGATGTTATTGTAGGTAATAGACACAATGGCAATCCATTTACCACCAGACAAGGTTATTCCTAATGTTGTAAGTATACAGTGTTATACATGTTCAATAGAGAGGCATTTCCTTCCAGCACTCTGTTGTGAATTTTGAGATAACTAATTAGTGTTCATGATTTGTAGATCAAACTGGTAGAACCCAACATTGTGAGTGAGTCCCCCTCCCACAGACGAGCCAGTTTCCTGGCCTTAGCTGTTGTTGTAGAGGGGTGTGCAGATTACATAAAACAAAGGTGAAATATTTATCATTAAAAGTAATCCCTCTGCACATTTTATGAAACTGTCTTTACCAAATATTTAACAGACAGCTTTTCTGAAAAAAAAATCTTTTCTTTTGTGTGTTCAACAAAAATGTTTAGCTGTACATGTATGCATACATTTTCTACTGTTGATATTAAGAAGGTTTAAAAATATTGAGCAGTTATTGAGAGTTTAGCATGTGTGATTTCAAATTTCAGACATCTGCAAGCACTTCTGGAGTGTGTTGTTAAGGGACTCAATGACCAAGATCCGGGAGTACGAAACTCGGCTCTTTTTGCTTTAGGACAGTTCTGCGAGCACTTGCAGGTGACATGCTTCTCCTATTAGTGTATGCTACATGAATTCAATTATGATTGGGCCAAAAAAAATTAATCGATAGTTTCTCAGGCACCGCCGCATCAGGTCAAAAACTGCTGCATTGATCAATTTTATTGACATTTTGAAAAGGGAAATAACTCAATTTTCTATTTTTACAAGTTGAAAAAGAAAATCTAGTTATTCCCCTTTTCATAGATAGACGTTTTTATTAGATGAACAATATACAATGTATTTCTTGTTAATACAGTAGTTTATGATTTAACTTTTAAACAAATGCTTGGAATAACATTATTTAAAGTTGAATACATATTATAATTATTGTATGAGATCAAAAAAAGAGTAAGAATCAGTTGATATCATTTTGGTGAATGACTGACATGAAAAAAAAGGTATAAAACCTGCTTAAAAAAAAAAAGAACCTGCCTGCCGCATTGAATTTTGAAATTTTTGGCCTGAGAAACTATTAATTAATTTTATATGGCCTTGAAGATGAAAGGATTTCAGTCTTGGATCACTGAATTAATACATGTACATGCATATCTTTATAGCCTGAGATTACATCATTTGCATCTGAGTTGATTCCCTTGTTGTTCCAATATCTTAGCAAAGCAACACAAGAAGCAGACAAAAATCCCAGAGGACTAACGAAGTGTTACTATGCTCTGGAAACTTTCTGTGAAAATCTAGGTAAGTGATTAGGTTCTTGGTTAGACAATTCAAATCAAGCCAATTTAAAAAAAAAAAAATAGTGATACAAGTTTTTCCATATTATTAAATAAATGTGACTCATGCACTACAGACTAATACACAATACCTGTGGTAGTTTTCAATTATTCCAATTCTTTGACACACTTTAATGTTAGTGTTTTTGATATGAAGCATTTGGTACCAGACTGAGAAATTTTAAGTGAATTCCCTGTTTGTAGATAAAGATATCCTACCGTACTTGCCTACTCTGATGGAGCACACATTATCAACTCTGAAAACGGCCACAAATACTAGAGCAAAGGAACTAGCAATCAGTGCTATAGGAGCTACTGGTCAGTATGGATCTATAAAACTGGCTTATTTCATTACTTTGTCAACAAAGTGTTATCAGGCTTTATACAATAATTTGAAAAGAGAGAATAAGTATAGTTTAAAATATTGCCCAACACTTCTGCAAAAAAAAGGAGAAAATGTGATGGAAAAGACCTTGATTTAAACCTAAGCCCCTGAACTTGGGACAAATGCTGTACCAACTGAGCTTTCTGGCCACCAGTGATCAGACCTACCTAACTGTTACTTTCCTCTTTCTTAAATATCATTTATCCCTGGCAGGTCTTTCATCTGTCATACTTTTCATGCTTACACTTCACTGAAGATAATTTGACATTTTTAATCAATTGCAGCAAATTCTGCCAAGGAGTTACTAAAACCATACTTTGCTGACATCATAGAGCAGTTTAAACCCTATCTGGTGCCCCATTCAGAGGCTGGGGGCACCTCAGAGGAGGACATTAGAAAGCTACAGATTCAGACCTTGGGTAAGCTTCATTTCGTTAATCAGCACTGGTTATAAGGTAACATCTATAAAATATGCACAGTTTAAACAAAAAATCAACCAGATGCTCATGAACACTCTTCCTGATGGCAATGGATATGTGTGTTGTATTTTTATGTAACTTTTTTTATTAAGATACCCTGAGTGTGATAGCAAGAAGCATTGGATCAGAAACCTTTGCCCCTATTGCAAAAGAATGTGCAGAGTTTGGAATCAACTTGCTCAACACTGTAGATGACCCAGATCTTCGAAGATGTGTGTAAGTAAACCCAATGTGATAAAATTTAAACTAAAACCAGACCCTGATTCTTCAGATGATATTTCCTTGGAATTATTTACCAGTCTTCGAAATAACCCGGGAGTCCGATGCCTGGGACCTGGTAAATTTGCCAGCGGGCATGTAAAAATTCTCAAATTACATGCCCGGAGGGCATGTTTGAATTTTCTTTTGATGTACGATGTTTACTTGCCATTTCTTCCATCGTACCCCATTTATTCGCGTAAACTTGCTATGTTATGTCTTAACATGGATTGCCAGTCTACATTCTACAGTTTAACGTTACATTCTCGGTACGACCTGTCAAATGATTGTGAATCGTAATCATTGAAGTGTTTAATTTAACCTGTTTGTTTTCTCGAAGTTTCTTGCTAAATTACGAGACGTTCATCGATGCCATGTGCAGTGGCACTGCAGTCATGATCCCATTTCTGAAATTCAGTTCAGCTAAACCGACCAACAAACGACCAGAATGCGAGTCAAAAGTTATGAACAAAAACACGTTAGAAAATGGCAGACAAGGCAGGCCATGGTTGATTTACGACTCTGAAAACAATTTGAACTTAAGATTGAGAGAGAGCTTGAGAGAAATTAAAAGCAGAAACAGTGTCCTTAAAGTTAATATAAAAACCTTAATTTTTTTTTGTTGCACAATAATAACTGATAAATGAAAGAATTTTGAGTAGGGCATGTACAAATTTGAATGGGCTGGGTTAAAATGATAGGTATACATGCCCGAAGGGCATGTGCTGAAAAAGAATTGTTGTGAAGACTGATTTACATGTGAATACTGATTTACATGTGAATACAAACAGGTATGGACTATTTGCTGCATTGTCTGTCATCATGAAGAAGGATATTTCACCATACCTGGAGGTCTTGGTCACTTTTATGATGGCATCCCTAAAGTCCACAGAGGGAGTACAGGTCAGAAGATTTTCTTATAGCAGCACTGAAAGGAACTTGACACTTGAGAGTGCCCAGCACATCTTTAATAGTTTCAATAATGAAGTTTCTTGTTACATTGATTTACATACATGTATCTTTTCCTTAGACACACTACAAGGAGGATGAGGATCAGGTTGCTATATTCAATGAGGAAGACCTGTGTGATGAGGAAGACATTGCTGAGGAGGATGAAGACGATGATGATGAAGATCAGAAAATTCAAGGGTACAAAAAGGCTTACACTCTTTATGGATTTGTTTGTGTATAGGCAGTACAAATTTTTAAAGTCCTTCAAAAAGAAAAATTCCAAGTCTTTAAGAATGTCAGTAATGAACATTGAATTTTTAATCAAATTTCAGAATCAGTGTTAAGAATGAGTTTTTGGATGAAAAAGAAGATGCTTGTTGTTCATTGGGAGAACTGGCTGGAAACACGGGGTAGGTCAGCTGAGAGCATCTGTAAAAGGGTCTACACACTAAAAGTACACATCAAAATTGAGCAATTTTCAAAACAACAAAAAACAATTTAAATGTAGATTGAACTTTTCCAGATAAACTTTGCCTATAAAACTGAAAAAGAAGTTTATATCATGTGTATTGAGTCAGAACATTAGGAAGAATTATGTGTACTTTGAGTAATCAGCATGCAATTCATATTGTTATATACACCATATAGTATATACATGCCTCGTATTGTGAGCAGCTGTTGCAAGTTTTATTTTAATATAATGTGATTTACAAGGAAAATTCCTGTATTTATTAGACTTGTTACTTGGATATATAACCAGCCAATTGATGAGCCTGATATTACTGGGCTTGGACCATTCCATTGGCTCATTTTGAAGATTGATTCAGCGATATTTTTAATGCCTTTTTTCTGTGCTACAGGGCAGCATTATTTCCATTCTTGGAGCAGTCATTCAAGGAAGTGTTGGAGATGATTGACTACCCAGCTCCCGGCGTGAAGAAAGCGGCCATTGCTGCTGTGGGACAGATGTGTGTATGTGTACACATGGCTAACCAGGAACTTCAGTCACCAGAGACCCAGACTGCTCTAACTAACATGTTGTCAGCCGTTGTCCTCAAGCTGCTGGCTGTGATGGGAGAGGACATAGACAGTATGGTGGTCATGTCTGCCATTGACACCTTGTATGAAATGTTGGACAAGATCGGACAGCCAGTCATTCAAGTTCAGGGAGTCTCTGATGCTATACTTACACGCATGAAGGAAGTTTTCACTCATAAGGTACTTGTTAACTGAAGTAGAAAATGGTAGAAAAATAGTTGTGAAAGTTGGAGTCAGTTTTATTTTATTGATTATAAATTTTCAGCAGTAATCCGTTTTGTGACAATGTTGATAAACTCTATCAGTTGTCTATAATTCTGTTTGTGTTGTTGATTGAGTTGTCATTAATCTTGTGTTATTCTGTTTGTGTTGTTGATTGAGTTGTCATTAATCTTGTGTTGTTGGTTATTCAGTTGTCAATAATCCTGTTCAAGTTGTTTATTCAGTGATTATTAATCCTGTTTGAGTTGTTGATTCAGTGGTCATTAATCCTGTTTTGTTGTTGATTCAGTTGGCCTGTCAAGATCAGGACACAGAAGAAGATGACGAGGAAGCAGAATTTGATGGAATGTTAATCGAGTCTGCTGGGGATGTTTTACCTGCAATGGCTAAACTGTTAGGTGGACCAGTATTTATGCCTTTCTTCAGCAGTTTCCTAACTGATCTTCAGAAACGACTGGTAACTATACATATCTTTGTCCCCTGTTTTATCAAAAGAAACGTGATTTTTTTTGCTTTTAAGTTAAACTCTGCTATTTAAACTTGCTTGATCTGTTTAAATATATGTATTCTGCCTTTTTAAGTCTCTCAGTATTTTCTGATTATTCCATTTTTAGCTCTTCTGAGCCAAAGGCTCAAAGAGCTAATGCTATGGCCATTTGTGCGGTGTGCGGTGTGCGTAAACTTTTTAGAATATGGGCCATAACTCAAGAACCACTTGGTCAATTATTGTCAAATTTGTCACAGGGTATCCTTGGCCCAAGGGCTCCCTTTTATACTAAAACTGGGGTTGTGACCCTTTAACAAGGGGAGATAATTAGGAAAAAAGAAACAAAAGTACTGGTTGCTAAAAAATCTTCTTCTCAAGAACCACTGGGCAGATTATCACCAAACTTACACAAAAGGATGAGGATATGTTGTAGATTAAAATTTGCACGGGGATTTACCCTGGGGCAAAGGGCGTGGTCTCAAGGTCACTTCAAAGTTGACCAAAAATTACATTTTATTAAAATGCTGATATTTTGCTTACTATAAGGACTAGGATCATCAAATCTTGTCAGTTGGTGCATCTAAGGACCTCATATCATGTTGACTCAAAAGTAGGTCACGGTGACCTACTTTTTGAATTTTGCGGCCATTCTTTTTCAAAATGATTTAGAGGCATATTTTGAACAATTTAAGGCCTATGATCATCAAACTTTGTCAGTTGATGCATCTTGGGTCCTCAAAGTACGTCAACTAAAAAGTAGGTCACCTTGACCTACTTTTTGAATTTTATGACCAATCTTTTTTAAAACAATTAAGGTCATTAATTCGAATACGGGGAGGCTTAGAATCATTAAATCTTGTAAGATGATGCATCTTGGGGCCATAAAACATATTTATTAAAAAGTAGGTCACAGTGACCTACTTTTTGAACTTTGCAGGCATTCGATTTCAAAGCGTTTTAGAGGCATAATTTGGACATTTTAAGTCCTATGATCATAAAACTTTGTAAGTTGATGCATCTTGGGTCCTCAAAAAAGGTCAACTGAAAAGAAGTTAACCGTGACCTACTATTCAAATTATATGACTATAATTAAATATTTCAGGTACTAATTGGCTTAGAATCATCAAACTTTGTCAGTTGATGCATCTTGGGTCTTCGGAGTAGGTCGACTAAAAAGTAGGTCACAGTGACCTACTTTTGAAAATTTATGGCTTTAATTAAATATTTCGGGTACTAATTGGCTTAGAATCATCAAACTTTGTCAGTTGATGCGTCATGGGTCTTCGGAGTAGGTCGACTAAAAAGTAGGTCACCGTGACCTACTTTCGGAAAATTTATGGCTTTAATCAAATATTTTGGGTACTAATTGGCTTAGAATCATTAAACTTTGTCAGTTGATGCGTCTTGGGTCCTCAGAGTACAACAACTGAAAAGTAGGTCACGGTGACCTACTTTTGAAATTTTATGGCTGTATTTAATATTTTCAGGAATTATTTGGCTTAGAATCGTCAAAATTTGTCAGTTGATGCATCTTTGGTCCTCGGAGTAGGTTGACTGAAAAGTAGGTCACTGTGACCTACTTTTGAAAATTTATGGCTGTAATTAAATATTTTGGGTACTAATTGGCTAGAATCATCAAACTTTGTCAGTCGATGTATCTTTGGTCCTCGGAGTACAGCAACTGAAAAGTAGGTCACGGTGACCTACTTTTGAAAATTTATGGCTTTAATTAAATATTACAGGTACTAATTGGCTTAGAATCATCAAACTTTGTCAGTTGATGCATCTTGGGTCCTTGGAGTAAAACAATTGAAAAGTAGGTCACTTTGACCTACTTATAAAATTTTATGATTATAATTTAAAAAAATATTTTAGGTATTAATTGGCTTAGAATCATCAAACTTAGTTGATGGGTCCTCAGAGAATGACAAGTGATAAGTAGGTCACCATGACCAACTCTCAGGTACTAATTGGCTTAGAATCATCTTGGGTTCTCAGAGTGTGAATTGGAATTTCAAGGGTTTATGTAAATATACAGGATACTTCGAGGCTTCAAATAGAAGTGATAGGTTGTACAGTTTATCAGAAGAGCGATTCAAGGCCCATGGGCCTCTTGTTATCTGATACATACTCTATTGATTCAAAGTACATGTAACAATTAAGCAATTTCATTGATTCTTGGAATTTAGAAGTATTTATTCAGCAACTGTTGGAAGTTTAACTAGAGGCATGTACAACGTGAAAAAAAAGAAACAAAATTGTTGAAAGATGTTGTTCAAAGTACATGTATATTATTCAGCCAGCTGGAAATTTATTGGAAACAGCAATTGTTACACAGAGAATTTTTTTTTTGTTTGGGGGGGGGGGGGGGGGGGTCATCTTTAAAATCTGCTCTTTTTAATTTGACTTCAGAATCATGTTTGTTGAAAGTAGGGGATACTAATTTGAACTGTCCATCCATTCATCAGTAATTCTGTCTCAGTGTAACACTAGTTTCTGGATGATATCTCAGAAAGTTATTTAAACTTTGCAATAAGCTTTTATATTTGTTCTTTAAGCATAGATTACAAAAATCCTCTGACAGGGCTTTTGACAACATTGTCTTTCCACATTGCAGAAAGAAACAAGTTCAGTAGCAGAAAGATCATTTTCAATAGGAACCATAGCTGAAATAATCCAAGCCTCAGGCAACGCCACTGTGCCATTCCTACAGAAGTTGTATCCATTGTTCATGAAGTTTGTTAAGGACCCTGATGAGGAGGTCTGTAGCAATGCAGTGTTTGGATTGGGATGCTTATGTTCCAGCTGTGGAGACCACTTAACTGGGTAACTATCATGAAATTGATTACGTAATCCAGAGTTGTATGTCTTTAGCAATACCTTAGCAATTATTAGGATTCACACAAACACCTCAAAGATAATGATATGTACTTAGATTGTTTATGACAAGAAAATCAAAATTGTGTACATCTTGGAAGATAAAGGGCATAGACACTACTTTGAAATTTATATCCTTCAAAATTCAGAATTCCAAGACGTACATGTTGCAAGGGCATTTCAGACTGATATACTGTATGTGTACATAAATTGGGGTATTCAAAATTTAGCACAATCACTGGGTATGGATTTGTTGGCGTAATCATGAATTAGTGCTACACATGTCCATGCTGTGTATTGTTTATATATATGAGATTTATTAGCGGTATTCATAAATTAGCGCATCGTTGTCTGCGCCAAAGATGCTAAAATATGAAGCCCGCTATTTTAAGTAAATGTACAGTATTATTAGTGTTTTAGAAACTTCTTGTATCTGAAAATGTTCAACACTACAAAGGACAAGAGAGGATAGGACCCCTTTTGCTCCTAGTTTAATTAAAAAAACATAAAATGAATATTGATTCTACTTGTTATGAAAGGTCACAGGAAGGTCACAATCTCATTTTCAGCTCACCTGAGGTGAAAGCACTGGTGAGCTTTTCTGATCACCTATTGTCCATCGTCCGTCCATCTGTCTTTAAACTTTTCACATTTTCAACTTCTTCTCTAGAACCACCGTGCCAATTTTAACCAAAGTTGGTACAAAACATCCTTGGATAAAGGGGAGTTTAAATTATTAAAAATGAAGGGCCAAGGCCCCTTACAAGGGGAGATAATCAAGAAAAGACAAAAATAGGGTGGGGTCATGAAAAATCAAGAACCAGTGGTCCAGAAAACTTGTATGGAAACATCCTGGGATAGTGTATATTCTAAATTGTTCAAATTATGGCCCCCGGGGTAGGGTGGGGCCACAATAGAAAATTCAAGTTTTACTTAAAATATATAGGAAAAATCTTTAAAAATCTTCTTCTCAAGAACCACTGGGCCAGAAAAACTGAAACTTATGTGGAAGCATCCTGGGGTAGTGTAGATTCTAAATTATTCAATTCGTGACCCCTTGGGGATAGGTGGGGCCACAATAGGGAATCCAAGTTTTACATTAAAATATGTAGAAAAAATCTTTTAAAATCTTCTTCTCAAGAACCTCTGGGCCAGAAAAGCTGAAACTTACTGTGGAAGCACCCTTGGGTAGTGTAGAATCTAAATTGTTCAAATCTTGACCCACTGGTGTAGGGTGGGGCCACAATAGGGAATCAAAGTTTATATTGAAATATATAGGAAAAAATCCTTAAAAATATTCTTCTCAAGAATCACTGGGCCAGAAAAGCTGAAACTCATGTGGAAGCATCCTGGGGTAGTGTGAATTTTAAATTGTTCAAATCATCAGAATTGTGAAAATTTTATAAAGTGTTCTACTTTGTCACCTTATTGTGACCTTTGTGTATGCTTTGAATCAAAATTAATGCTTGTTTAAAACAAGCTTCATTTAAAGTTTTTAGCTCTACTGGTCAGAGACCAGAAGAGCTGATGCGATAGTAAGGTCTCCTTTGTCTGTCTGTCTGTAAACAATTTTTCAAATGCTACTCCTCCTACAGTTTTGGTCCGATTTCAATATAACTTGGCACACTAGTAGACTACACTAAGATACATGTATATAATATTGTCTATCTGTTTTTGATTTCGATGAACAGTGTTGCTATGGTTACTAAAAATAGAAATTTTTGTGGAATACTTTCAAAGTGCTACTCATCATATAGTTTGGTCTAATTTTAATAAAACATGGCATGCAAGTAGACTACACTGAGATACATTATTGTCTTTATCGTTTTTTGATTTAATTTGATGAATGATGTTGCCATGGTAACTAAAATCTAAATTTCTGTAAAATTCTCAAATAGAATAATGAAACCAAAAAAAATTAACAGAACTGTAGGTCATGTTTACAAACACAGGTGTTTTGTGTAGTGTAACGGAGAATGCTGTTGTCATAGAATATTAAGACTTTTCAGTACTGAAAACTGCAGGCAGGGATAAGCACATCTGTTATAGGTTATTAAAGAAAGAATTGATATATTTTTTAAATGGTTCTATAAATTTGAAATGATTCCCAAAGTGAAGCTTCAAAATTGCTACAGAGGCAACATTCTGATTCCTTACAAGAATTAAGAAACTAGTATTAAGAAACTAGTGGTGTCAGAATTTCTGAAATACATGAAATACATGATATGTTAGCAAGTGACCATTTGAATTATAAGTACATTGTTCAATAAATGTCTTTTGAAGAATGACAATTCTTTTTTAGTCATTATCCAGAAATACTGAAGACTCTGCTGGAAATACTGAACAAAACTTCCAATGTGCGTATACATGACAATGTGTGTGCTGCAACCTGTAGAATGATCACAACCAGTAAAAAATCCTTACCACTCGAACAAGTAAGAGAAAGTCTTCAAGGTGGTAAAAACGTAATTTTTGAAAATTTATTTATCAGCAGATGATGTTTTGAATATCAATGCTGTAGAAATTCATACATCTGTGGTTGATGTACAATTTCCGTTGTCCTTCGATCGGAACTTTTGCTTTGTAGTAGTGCTTAGAAAACTGATGAATGTTCTGTGTACAAGTTCTAGAAATGTGTAACTAGCTGATTTCATTTTAGGTACTCCCAGTTGTTCTTCAGTGTTTGCCACTGAAAGAAGATTTTGAGGAAAACAAGACTGTGTTTGAATGCTTATTTCAGCTGTATGGCAATGGTGAACAGGAGGTATAATCTAACTGATATTTTGTAGAAGCTTACCTGCAAATACTCCAAGTTAAATCAGTTTAAAGTTGCTTGGAATGAAAAATCATTTTCCATTTGCTTTGTGTACAATTAAGTCACAGAAACAGATTAGTATTTTAATAATCTGTTACGTGTAATTATGAATTTATGAAAGTATGATGAACAATTTTTAGCTCACCTCAACAATGTTGGGGGGGGGGGGGGGGGGGGCTTATGTAATACTCTTGCAGTTGGTGTTGGTTAGGGCTCCCAGGTTAAAGCTTTTGGAGCAGATTTCAAGTACATGTATTTCTGTGCCCTCTTTTAATTAGAGATGCATAAATGATGCTTTTAGTATGTCTCATTGTACCAGTCAAGGTTTCAGATGCTGCAATTTCAACTAAGGAATGACAAGGTTAATGTTTTCGGAGCAGGTTAAAGATTTCGTGGCAGATAAAAGTTTTTGGAGTAGGTTTCATTTCCAAGTAACTATAAGCCCTACATTGACCGAACTTGCATGGGATGCAAACTACCAGGCTTGCTCTGGAGACTGGATCTGATCTACGTTTTCTGGATGAGTAACCAGGTTTATGTTTTAGGAGCAGACTCATTCCATTGTAACTTCAAGCCCTACCTGGATGGCTAGACCAAACTTGCATGGATGATGCATCAAGGGATGACCACTCTCAAACTTGCTTCAGGTGCTGGATATGACTTACATTTTCTGGATCAGAAACTGGTTTATAAAGTTTTTAGATAAGTCCATTCCCAAGTAACTGCAAGCACTATCGGACCAAATTTGCATAAATGTTGTATCTTGGGATGAACACTACTAGATTATTAGTTCAGTGTGGGACTCATTGAGGTGAGCCCTGTAATCTCTGATTACCTATGTTGTTATTTTTTTTTAAAAACTTAAATATGTACAATGCCAACAAGAGTTGTTTTATTGCAAAATATGTTTCTTGCGTGACATGACTTTTTATTTTCAGATATTGAAACATATTCCAAAAATATTGACAGTAGTAGCTCAGATTGTTGGCACAGATCAAGTCAAACAAGGTTTGTTTTCATTTGTTTAGCCTGTCTGCTTTACAGACTTGGGACATCTTTTAATTGTTAAAAAACAATACAATGATCATTCTCATTACACTAGAAGCATCAAGTGACTCAGGCTGTTAATATATCTTTACATGCTAGCTAACTAAACTTCAAACAGGTGGCAATATTTCTCTTGGAACATTTAGATTTTGAAAAAGGTTCAATCACTTTCACTTCAAGTGGACAAAACCCCAAAACTTTTAACTATGTGCTAATTATTTCTGCTGCAGACATTATCAGTGACAATATGGTTATTGTAGAGACTCAAGCCCTGCTGATTCACTTTGTAAAGGACCTCCATGCCAAGTTTCCAGCAGAGTTCCAAACAGTACAGGGATCCCTCACCCCAGAACAGACTGGGAGGATACAGAGCTGTTTAGAGTACACTAATGGTTCCTCCTGATCAATGTCTATCAGGCAACATTTAGACTTAATTACATCAAATTTAAAACTTTTTAAGAAGGAGAGAATATTTGTCTAATAAAATTAAGATAATATAAAATTGATATGAAATATCATTAGTGTTTTGTTTGTTAATGAATCACTTGCTTTTATCTATAATCCTGTCAATGATTTCACTAAATTTCAAGGTTGTTCTTCTCTTGCCTTTTAATGGTTGTTACGTCTCTCTCCCAGTTTGAACAAAAAAGAGTGCTTTGTTAAAATTGTTTTGAGGCTTTATTCACATGTGCATGCCTAATATACTTATTCTGGGTTTTTGTTTAGTTTAAGAGTAGCATCATTTATTGTGCAGTGATGAAGATTAAAACACATTTATATTATTTTTGTGATGTACACATGTATGTGTGATGTATACATACATCTGTATGTGAACACCAATCTATAATGTAAAGTCAAATATTTGTATGTAAAACAAATGTATGTATGTAAAACAAAAAGGATGATGGATTAAGCTGAAGGAAATGCCTAGTTATTTGGATGATTGTAAAATCTTAGGTATAAAGGAAATGGTAAACATTTTCTATTCTAGATTAAAAGCTTTAAACCATTTATAAAAGAGTAAAAATATTACATCGAAAACCTTTCTTCAGTATTTTGTTTGCTCTTAAAATCATTTCACAACAGAAACACGATGAAAACAATATAGTATTTTGCTAGAATACGTTCTATTTCCATTAGTGAACTCTTCAAAATTAGAGGCGCATTTGGTCATCTGACTGGGACAGCATGGCATTGCGGATAAAACAAAACATGCTAGTCTCAATCCAATTTTAAATGTTTAATGTATTTGTTATTCCAATTAAAGAATAGAAGAACTAAAAGACATATGTAGGAGAGGAGAACCCTAAATTTATGATCCATTAATAAAAGATACGACATTTCTGAGGCATATGTATTGTATTTACATGTAGATGTACCATACGATAAATAGATACATACGATCAACAATAGATATAAATTGATATCATTGTCATTCCTACTCTTGATGAATATAAAGTCCACAACAATAAAATATTTCATTTGCATTTTCTTGGGAATTGTTCATTGACATTCAGCATATTGTTTACATGTTTATGTAACGTTTGTCCCAGAAATCCCGCAAGATTTGTACATTTTCCGACTTTTTCACAAAAGAGCGCACTAAGAAGTATAACTCTTCCATTGTGGAAATAGAACAAAATATGTTACTTGAATCCACAAATCTGGTTTCTTATGCATTTCTTAATACTGTATGTGTAAGACCTCTGATTTTTTTTCTACAGGACATACATGATTTTTTTAAATGAATTTTTACCAGAGATGTTGTTTGGGTCTTCAATTTGCATTATTGTTTTCTTTTACATAAATATTAGTTTCTTTGGTATGTAATCTTCACTGTTTAAAGGACTGAATGTCAGGTTATCAAGTGACCAATATTTAGTCCATTTATTTGCCAGCTTATATTATTATTTACATCTTATGAGTGTTATGCTGTACACATACCTACAGTTATTTGTCAGAAAGTACATGGTGTATATTGACTAGGATAAGGTTTGATTTTTATTTCCTTACTCTCATCTTTGACTAATTACATCGCTTTCAGCTCAGTTCATCATTTTCATGAACTCATCTAGTGCAATACTTTCTGTATAACTGTAATCAGCATATTAATTTAATGTTGTAATAATGTAATACGAAGTAGTATCTTATTGAATATACCTGACAATTATTTAACATGCATGTAAATGATTAACCTATGATACATACTTTAATATACTGTTGATAAAAATGGGATATTAACAGATAAGTGTTATGAAGATCCTAAATAGAAATTTAGCTAACTAATCTGATTCAACAGATTAATTCCTGGTCTTTTAAGCTAAGTCAACAAAACATTTGATGTAATAGATGAAATTAGCACATGTACCTCATATATGTAATTACTTGTTCAGTTTATTGGTTTTGCATGTGTGAATTGATGTCTAGTCTTTGAAGAGAAATTAGATGTTACCTGCTTTTGAAGCTTAGGGTGTTCATGTTTGTTATTTGATGTTACTTGTTAGGAATTCAAGGGCTGCAGGAAGAATTTTGTGCTTACACTTTATGTATCAGGTCTTGCAATCTGTGGATTACTTGTAAATTAAGGTTACCTGGTCAATAAAACAAGTAATGTACTTCTGATTATCTTAGTGTTCCTTCTTATTGTTGACTAAAGATAAACTTCACATTTGTTGTGTATGTGCTCATCACTGGTGGATTTAGTGTTATCTTTTGATCATTACAAAAACGATATAACATGCATTGAGAAAAGAGGCGTCATCACACGATGAAAGAAGGAAGGGTGTGCGTAACTCAAATGCAAGTATATGATAAAATGCATGGGGTCGAAGTAAAGCTCAATGACAAGCAAATAAGGTTGACCAAAAAAAAAGTTTTTAACCAGAAATTTTACATAATTTGAGTATTGATACAAAAATGTATGTGTTTATAGAAGGGGGTGTAGCTACAACTGTGATGATATTAGTTATTACCTACGATAAGAAGTTTCTAACTTTACTATGGGCTTGTACGCCGTGACTTTCACCTTGAAGTTTGACCTACTTTTGAAAAAGATTAACATCGATGCTAATTTTTGAATGAGAGAAAAATGGGGCGTTCATATTTGACACGACGATGTGCATTACCTGTCACAAGGCCTTTCCGAATGTGCTAAGGTTTTTGTCCTTGTGACCTTGACCATGAAGTTTAACCGACAGTACTTTTCAAAGTTTTGAACATTGGCCATTACCATTGAACGAGGGAAGATAAGGCTTTCCTGTCTTATGAAGATGTCCAGACAATGGTATATAAATAGATGCAGGGAGGTGTCTGCTCTGATCGATGTAGTATGCGAAGTCTTTTAACTTGCGATACATATTCATTATTCACAAATCTGCATCGCCATTAAAACTGAGTAAACTCGGACTCATTATTAAATAAGGAAATGCGTATGATTTTTGTCTTACCCTTGGTTTGGAGATTTACCAAGTTTATATGATATACATTTTCATTTTTTTAAATGAAACTATATAAATCAAAATGAGCATTTATTTTTTTTTTATTTAAACAATTATATACATGTATGTAAATATACAATGATTTGAGTTATTTTTTAGTGAAAGCAAAATGAGTAAGAGCCAATTACTTTAAATTACAATTACTTCGAAGTGATGAAGGAATTCCAAACCTTTTTGTGAAAAATCATATTAATGGTGCTGAAAAAAGGTATATACCATATAACTGCATTATGAATTTTTGATGTACAACCTTGTATACATTATTATTTAAATTATTAGATATTGTTAAAAGAAACCCCACAAAAAACAAAGGACTAATGGTCAAAAAATAATTATCAAGATTTCCTCCCTAAGTCGACCCTGTTTTTGGAGGAAAATTGAGATAAATTTAAGATAATGCTAATTGTTCTTCGAGAAAAAAAAAAGTTTCTCCTCTTATTTCTCTTTGTTGCAGTCAGGAGATGACTCCATTTCAATGGTCTCCTTATTGTCAGAGTTCACCTTATTATCTTCAGCTACTGACTGTGCGTCCTTTTTGAGATTGATAGAATCCTTCACAAGAGAAAGCTTCCTCTTCCTGGTTCTCCGATACCTGAAAATATTGTTGTCCGATTTGAAGACATTTTTTTTAAAAATGATACGAGAGGCTCATACTCTATTAAAAAAAAACAATTTAACCTGCAAGTGATTTCCTACCTTTTTATGATTCTGTAGAACACGTACAACCCAACAAGAGTTAGAATGAAGCAAAAGACACCCAGAATGCCAAAAAACTCTTTTTTGTAGTCCTTTTCAACTTCTTGGACTGCAACAATAAATAAAATAACGTTACCAATTGGAAAAACACTTATGTAGTTTATATATCATTTTTTAATTCTATACCTACCCTCAAAACACCCCTTTCCTTTTACGCCTGGTTTACAGCCCAGTTTACAGGCCCCGGTCACGTGGTGACAGTCACCTGATGCTTGACAAAACGTACTACAGGAACTTTTGCAGTTAGGTCCATAAAACCCAAATTCACAAACTGGAAGTAAACCAATTTACTTGTCGATTTGCGCATTTAGCACAAATATTTATAAGAATGGCATACAGCATTTGAATAGACTGTTATATTGTACTACAGTTTAGCACATTCTAAATATCACCAAAGATGTAGATGTATTTCTATGTCATTTTATATTACCTTTATCACAGGATATATCCTTTATATATGTACCTTTATCACATTTATTTCCATAGTATCCAGATTCACAACCATTTATACAGGAACCATTAACATGAAGACAAGGTTCTCCATCCACACATCTACCACATGTCTCTTTACAGCCCATTCCATACTGATTCTCATCGCACTCTACGGAAAAGTTAATTAATGTACAATTAATACCCCCTTATTAGTGTAGTGTTCCCAGAAATTATTGAGAGTTTTTTTTTAAATAATATAGTTTTTCATTTTTTTAAAATAAACTATTTATAGTTTGAATGAAATATGTGGAGATAACGAACAGTATTCGAGCTTAAAAGTCCATTAAACATTACAAAATAGGAGCCGAGCAAACAGGGAACTCTTAAGACATCAGAGGTGCATGGGATCAGGTGCCATGGAGGAGTGAGCATCCCCTGCCGACCGGTCACACCCTCCGTGTGCTCTTTGTCATGATCGGGAAATAACGGGAAAATCCGTCGACAATTCAGTGTGTAAATAATGGTCTAACAATTAGTATGCAAAAAGTCAGTCAACATTTGACTTAATCTTAATGAAAGATTGTATTTCCTGACAAGGTCATTGTATCGACCATAGAACTTACGAAATGATGACTCTAAACGAGACTGCTGATATTCTTGTTTCATCAACTTGTTTGTCAATAACTTACCTCGTTTTAGACATTGTTTATACGTAGAGCATGCTCTGGCGTATCGAATCAACTGAGAGATATAAACCCCGTATGCAGGTGATAAGGGTATATTGCTGCATAAGTAAGGGAAGTTGACGATTGAAAAATTAGTTTTTGTCAAAGGACAATACTTGCTATGTGCCGTTTTCTTAAATAACTTACCATTTACTTTGTATACCTCCTGTCGATTGCTAATGTTCAAAATGAGTGCTTTTGAAAACAGAAAGCCTATTGTAGATCTGTATTATCAATGAATTGCAAAATTGGTGATACTTCTGAAACACTGAGTATTCCATTGTCTACTTTTGTTTTACGTGTGACAAATATTGAAAAATGGAAAGGAATTTAACAGAGGTAAAGAGCTGGTAGGGTTAAGAAAGTAACCCCATTTTTCTACACTTAGTTTTATTCTTACTGAGCAAATATCCAATCCTTCTTTGATCTGTAAACTTTAGTTTCCTAGGCCTGTTATCTAGTTTCCTTAACGGAATTCGCTTCTTCTTTTTCAATATTTTGTACCACACCATACCAAGTAGATAGTGAAATACTCAGTGTTTCAGAAATATCCCAAGGTTTTACAATCCCTTATTAATACATGTCCTCAGAAGCAGTAATTTTGAACAGAAGTATTTAAAATAAACGGGAGGTTATCCATGAAAATTACATTTTTCCACGATTTTTTTTGGACCGCTATCATAGATATCATGAAACGATTAATGTTATAAATAACCTTTGCATTACATACCTTGATGACAATATTCACCCTTCCATCCTGGATGACACCCAGTGTCACATTTACCGTTTGTTCTGTTACAGCCATTACATGTACTGTTACATGTCTCTAAACAGTTACGTCCAAATGTTCCGTTTTTGCAAGCTGTAGGGCAAAAAAAAGTTTAAAAATACTACTCTTACAGATAATTAGAGTACACGTTAATGCTTAGAAAAATAATCAATACACTAGTAATCTTACTTTTGTCGCAAAATATTCCTCCAAACCCCTCATCACAATCATTCATGCATGTTCCATTAACTGGTTGACATTGTCCTGAGCGAAAACATTTTCCACAAGGCATGCTGCAATTATTTCCGTAGAATCCAAAGTCGCATTCTGGTGAAATGAAAAAAATAACAATATATGGAATATTTTGTATCTATGCCTTGCCTGCTTTGTTTCTTCTGTAGAACGAACCAATGATATTGTATATTTTATCTGATATTAAAAAAAAAAAAAAAACTTGGACATAGTTTGGATGAAAAAAAAAATCACATATATATTTGAAAGAAAACTTAAATCACATGTATTTTATTCGATTGAAAACATCAAAATATTTGAATATCTTTATTTGATAACGTTTTGGAAGTTGACACAGAATACCTTTTCTATTTACCAAAAAGTACTTCTTAAGAAGAAATGTTGACAGTGATGAAACTGATATCGCAAATATACAAAGTTTGTTAGATAATTATCGAGACACTGTTTTTTTTGCCAGGAAACCAGCGATAAGTTTTTCAAAACTTATACCAATATAGATTTATTCTTATTTTAGTAAAGTGTAAATGGTTTATAAAAAAGAATTCAATGATTAAATACTGTATTAATTAAGGGGGGCGACTGGGGTTTTCATTGCACAATACTTCGCGCAGCATTGTAAAATAAAGCGTATTTACTCTTTTAAATCAACTATTTTTATATAATTTATAAAAAATAACAAAATTAGGAAATATCAGGTTAAAAATCTACTTACATTTTTAAATAACTGATTTTTAAACGATTTTTGAAATGATGGGTAGATAGACGTCAAAATAGTGTGTTTATTTAGTAGTTCTTTGAGAGGGGTCATTAATTATGTCATAAAATAACAAGAGGCCCAAGGGCCTTAACGGTCACCTGAGTATAATACAATTTAGAAGTTAAATACACTGATAGATGAAGCATTGTTGCCCTAAAGCAAGAGAAGTAGGAAGATCAGGATCAACAAAATAATTAGTCTAGTATTCAGTATCAACTCATAAATTAAGTTCTAATCTGTCCCCCACTTAACACTATCACCATGCAGACTATTAACAAACTATTAGTGCTTCTGTACTATTTTTAAAACCCATATTAAGACCTCTAGCATTGACCTCTCTTATGGTCTTTGAAGAACTTTTAATAAGATAAGTTATTTTTGTCTCATTTTTATTTATCTATTACTTACAGGTCTACCTGATTATTAAAACTAAGAAAGTACTTTTTTAATTATACGATAAACATTCTTGCATAATTATCTTATTCTATTAACCTTTCAAATACATTATTTACAGTGATTAATTATCAAAGGTGAATGGAAAAGGGGAATAACTTCTCTCAGTAGAATACAAGTTAATAGAGCCCTGCCCAGGACCAGAATGCTTCGACGAATGGTCCAGATGTTTAAAAATCTGGTAGAAATACGCTTACTCATATCATTTAAACTTTTACTCAGTTTGCTTCCGATATGCCCAGAAGCAGAGAAGAATTTCACCGGTACAATGCATTTTCACTACAGATTCAACAAAGCCTTACCCTAACACCAGAACCCAAGACCAAGGGTCAAGAAATTTACAAATTTGGAAGAGTTACCCTCATCATCATAACTATGGACTTCAAAGAATTAACACTTTTCCACTATATTATCAAAAGCCCCCCCCCCCCCTCGTTATGCTAGAACCCCTGACCCTAGGACCACAAGATTTAACAAGAGGCCCAAGGGCCTTAACGGTCACCTTAGTATCATACAACAATTTAGAGAATCCATAGAGTATAAAATGAACTAAAAGGTGAACCTTTGTTGCCCAAAAGCAAGAAAAATAGGGTGATCAGGATCAACAAAATAATTAGTCTAGTATTCATTAACAGTTCATAAATTAGGTTCTAATCTCTTCCCCATTTATCACTCTCACCATAAGTATATTAACAAACTATCAGTGCTTCTGTAATATTTTAATTCCTTGTTGAAATCTCTTACATTGGCCTCTCTTGGTCTTTGATGAACATTTCATAAGACAAGTTATTTTTGTCTGATTTTTATTTATCTACTACTTACAAGTCTATCTGATCATTAAAACTATGAAAGTACTTTTTGTATTATACAATAACAATTCTTGCATAATTCTCCTATTCTATTAACCTTTCAAGTACATTATTTACAGTGATTAATTATCAAAAGTAAATGGCAAAGGGGAATAACTCCTCTCAGTAGAATACAAATTAATAGAGCCCTGGCCAGGACCAGAACACTTGAACAAATGGTCCAGATGTTCAAAAATCTGGTGAAGATACCCTTCCTTATTAAAACTTTTACTCTTTTTGCCTCTGATATGTCCAGGTGCAGAGAAGATTTTTAAAGAAATAATGCATTTTTACTACAGATTCACTATATTCACTTTATTATCAATAGAGCCCCCCCCCCCCCCCCACTGAGAAACGCCAGAGCCTCTCACCCTGGGACCAGAAGTTTGTTCATCATAAGTAATCACTTTGTTTGTCTGCTTAACACTAAGAGCAGACAGGATTATTTAATAGAATTAATACATTTTCACTATATTATCAAGAGCCCCACCCTTACACCAGCACATCTGACCCGGGGGGTCATGAAATTCACTACTCTGGAAGAAGCACTCTTGCTCATCATAACTATACACTTAGCTTCTTTGCTTTTTAACCAGAATATTTTCAAAGAAACTTTGCTTTTTCGCTATATAATCAATAGAGCCCCCCCCCCTTTTCACCAGAACCCTTGATCCTGGGAGCCTGAAATTCACAATTTTGGAAGAGGCATCCTTGCATATCATAACAATGTATTTAGTTTATTTAAATAATACCCAGGGGCAGAGAAGAAGATTCTCAAAGAAATAATTCACCTTCACTATAGGATCTATATAGCCCTACCCTAGCACCAGAACCCCTGTCCCTGGGGCAATGAATTTAACAATTTTGGAAGAGGCATCCTTGCTTATCATAACAATGTATTCAATTTGTTTAAATAATAACCAGGAGTAGAGAAGAAGATTTTCAAAGAAATTTTGCTTTTTCACTATATAATCAATAGAGCCTCCCCCCCCCCCTTTTCACCAGAACCCTTGACCCTGGGGCCATAAATTTCACAAATTTGGTAGAGTCAGCCTATCATAACTATGTATTTAACTTGTTTAAATAATACCCAGGAGTAGAGAAGAAGATTTTCAAAGAAATTTTGTTTTCTCAATATATAATTAATAGAGCCCCCCCCCCCCTTTTCAGCAGAACCCTTGATCCTGAAATGGCCATGAAATTAATAATTTTGGAAGAGGCATCCTTGTGTATCATAACTATGTATTTAATTTGTTTAAATAATACCCAGGGGCAGAGAAGAGGATTTTCAAAGAAATAATGCACTTTCACAATATGATCTATATAGCCCCGCCCTAGCACCAGAACCCCTGACCCTGGGGCAATGAATTTCACAATTTTGGTACAGTCACTCTTGCTAATCATAACTATGTATTCAACTTGTTTAAATAATAACCAGGAGTAAAGAAGAAGATTTTCAAAGAAATTTTGCTTTCTCACCATATAATCAATAGAGCCCCCCCCCCCCCTTTCACCAGAACCCCTGACCCTGGGGCCATGAATTTCACAATTTTGGTAGAGTCACCGTTGCTTATCATAACTATGTGTTCAATTTGTTTCAATAATACCCAGGAGTAGAGAAGAAGATTTTCAAAAAAATAATGCACTTTCACTATATGATCTATATAGCCCTGCCCTAGCACCAGAACCCCTGACCCTGGGGCCATGAATTTCACAATTTTGGTAGAGTCACCGTTGCTTATCATAACTATGTATTCAATATGTTTCAATAATACCCAGGAGTAGAGAAGAAGATTTTCAAAGAAATAATGCACTTTCATTATATGATCTATATAGCCCCGCCCTAGCACCAGAACCCCTGACCCTGGGGCAATGAATTTCACAATTTTGGTAGAGTCACCCTTGCTTATCATAACTATGTATTCAATTTGTTTCAGTAATACCCAGGAGTAGAGAAGAAGATTTTCAAAGAAATAATGCACTTTCACTATATGATCTATATAGCCCTGCCCTAGCACCAGAACCCCTGACCCTGGGGCCATGAATTTCACAATTTTGGTAGAGGGCTCAATGCTTATTACAATCATGCCAACAGTTTGACCCCTTGTTGTCCAGGAGTAAAGAAGAAGATTTTTAAAGATTGCATTAATTTTGGTGGTTTTAGCCCCACCCCTCAGGCCCCAGGGGGGCAGGGACCGTGAAATTCACAAATTTTGTTCCCCTTCACACATAGATGCTATATGCCAAATTTGGCTGAAATTGGTTCAGCGGTTTCAGAGAAGAAGCTGAAAATGTTCAAATGTTAACACACGACGCACAACGCACGACGGACGACGGACGACGCACGACGACGGACGAAAACGGATAGCAATAGGTCACCTGAGTGACTCAGGTGACCTAAAAAGTATAAAATAGACGCTCTTGAAATTTTAAACATAGGAAATTGAGAATCTCACAATCATTTTTTACATTTTTTAAACATAAATCTGTGGTATCTGTCATGTTTTGTAGTACTCCATAAAAACAGAAAAATATCATGAATTTTGACATTCTGAAATGCCCCCTCTGGAAACCAGACGGTAGAATTTTGTGTTTCTTGCATAAAATGTACAAAATAGTATTACTCTTTAAGTATTATAATGTGAGCAAAAAGTAGCATTTGTATAATTTGCCCCGAAGTGCGAAAAATTAGTATTTTCCTGTATAATCCTATAGTAAACGTACCTGTATTTTGAGATGGTCACTAAAAAATAACCGTCTTAGATTTTCACTGAACTTGGAATGTATACTGAAGTCAGCGTGAGGTACATATGGGGTAAAGTGAAAGAGTTTCTCTATAGTAGTATTCACACAATAAAACCACAGTCGGCTCCCTTAAGCTAATTCTTGCAGCTTCTTTGAATTATCTCAGTAAATTACCAACAATAGAAGTCGTGAACAGACGAATGTCACTCATTGTTTGTTTTATAACTACTTTTTTATCTTGTTTAGTGGGGTCTTTCTGAGCAGTCAACAAAATTCATCAAACAGATACCTGTTCAATACAACGATTTCATGATGATAGCATCCTAGTGATTATCTTCAGTGAATTATAGCTGGACCGAAACAATAAGGAAAACAAAGAGTGTCTCAATAATTAACGAAAGAGCCCTTTATGAAACATCTTACCTTCATGACAGAATTCTCCTTTCCATCCAGGATGACATCTATTCCCACACGCACCATTTGTTCTATTACATTCTTTACATGTATCGTTACATTTGTTTATACAATTTTCTCCAAAGTATCCATTTTGGCATGCTTGAGATTCAATAAAATATATTCATTTCATATGAATTTATAAAGGTCAAATTTCAAATTCGGTTTGCAAAGTCTTTACAATTTTTATTTCATTCAATTTATTTTTCATAACACTTTTGTTGCAAAGTCAGATTTATTGGGAAACATTCTTCTGGTTTTTGCGATATCCTTTTTAAGCTATCCTTAAAATAGTAAATTTAAAGCGTTTCAAGTTTTAAAAAATCAGCATTGAATTAGTGTGAATACAATAAAAAATAGGATAATTGGAAAAATGAAAATAATTCAAAATAAATTACAGTACTTTATAATAAATGTAACGAGAGCATTTTGCTTATTTTTCTCAACATTTCACACCTGAAACAATGCTATAGTTAAAAATCGATGAGTTTATTCTTTTATAAATTATCTTTAGTATTTTACTATTTTGGCTTTCGTTATTGCAATCGTTGCAGATAACAAATTTCTTTCAACATGCCATGCTAAGAATATATTAAATTATAAATTACAACGTTGTATTATAAATTTTATTCTGAGAATTTAAAAACAGTTTTAACCTTTCAATATAAAAGTAAAAAAAAAAGGCCTTTAAAAAATATTGTTCTCAAATACTATTACATGTATATATTTAAAGATAACTTAAAAAGGACATGTTGTTTAAAGGAATGATATCACATATACCTGGATAAAGCTCTCTCACGAAGTATTAATTTTTGCTTTTGTTTTTTTTTTTCAAATGTCAACATATTAAAATGGCTTTATTGTTTATATTTTCAGAAATAAATGTATAATCAACACAATGAATTTGATTTGAAAAAGTAGAAAACAGAGGTTTTCTTGTAGCAAAATCCCCAAAACAATGTGAATGTGTAGATTTACGTAACGGGCCTTGCCTTCATGACAGAATTCTCCTTTCCATCCAGGAATACATCCATTCTCACAAATGCCATTTATTCTGTTACACCCTTTACATGTATCGTTACACTTGTTGACACAATTTTCGCCAAAGAATCCATCTGTGCATGCTTAGAAATGAAGAAAAGGATTTTAAAGTATAATTTACGTTTGCAGTAGCAACTTTCTGAAATAAATTATTTGCTAAATTTACTTTTATTCTACATTGCATAAGATGTGTATCTTCATTTCCATATAAATTTCATATTCATCTACTTTTATTGCAGAACTGTCCTTCATATCCCCCAGAACATCCATTCAAACACGTTCCATTTATTGGATGACATTCTTCTGATTTTTGGCAATGTCCACAAGCCGTATTACATTGATCGCCAAAGAATCCATTATCACACTCTGGTAATTGATACATGTATATTGATGTGTCATACAAAACAAACAAAGTATATTAATTCATTGAATATGAAGATAATGAACAGTAATCAAGCTCAAAATACAAATTTACAACAGAGCAAGCACGGACCTCTAAAAGCATTAGAGGTGGCATCAGGTACCACGGAGGAGTAAGCCTCCCCTGACGACCGGTCACACCTGCCATGCGCTCTTTGTCATGATCTGACAAACTACCTATTTTTACGTCTTAGGTTTGACACGATAAGGCGAAAGATAATCGAACCCAGGCCTCCCGATTACAAAGCGAACGTCCCACCACTAGGCTACCGTGGCCGGTTGCATAAGAGTTGTATTTAAATAAATAATGAAAAAAGTAAAATTTTATGTTAATGTTTATGTTAATAAAATCATTTTAAATTAATTTGCATGTTTATCTTAAATGGATTTTGCAAATTACAAATCCCCACTTTATGCCTCATCTAACTGTCCACCCCCCCCCCCCCCCCCCGTAATAGTTTAAACCAATAAGCGTTTAAATTACATCCCTTTTCAAGCAATCCTAATGACCATGTTTATATATGTAATGTCTAAGTTTTATTTCAAATTTTATATATATTTATATTTATATATATTTACATGTTTGTAGCATGTAATGGACTTTTGCGAGAAGCACTGACTTTTACAGTTGACTGTTAACCTGTATCATGTATGGAGGTACAGAATTGATAATAGATGGGATAATATTTTTAGTGGTCATAGGTATGGTGTTAGGGGCACTAACATGTGAAGGCCGGAAGTTAAGGGTAGGGTGGTTGTCGTTTTCTTCAAGGGCAATTTATTTGTGCTTTGAAATAACCCGTCATTTTCGTTTAATTAAATGTTGACCTAAATATTTATATTGTAGAAGAGCTTCCGTACATTGTCCTAGTGTAAAAGTAAGCCGTCAACTGTAAAAGTCAGCGCTCCTCGCAAAAGTCCAATACAAGTATTCATTTTTCATGTTCAAAGGTATACACATAAAAAATGAATCCAGATAAAGTAAATGGAAACGTATTTATGCCATTTGTGACAAAGCGTACCTTGATGGCAGTATACACCCTTCCATCCTGGATGACACCCTGTGTCACATTTACCGTTTGTTCTGTTACAGCCATAACACGTACTGTTACACGTCTCCAGACAGTTTCGTCCAAATGTTCCGTTTTTGCAGGCTGTTGGATATAAGAATTTGTAACCAAATATTTTACTCTCACAAGTGTTTGGAGCAACTGATCATGATCAGAAACAATCATAGATATAATTGACGATTTTTCTTTTTACCTTTATTGCACAAATATCCTTCATAACCTTCATCACAACCATTCATACAAGTCCCATTAATTGATTGACATTGTTCTGAGCTTAAGCAGTTTCCACAAAGCAAGCTACAATCAATTCCATAATATCCATCACTGCATTCTAAAATTAAAAAATATATACATGTTATTAAATAAGCTAAAATAATCCTTTTGAATCCTGCTCGCTGGGTTTTTCAGAAGTCCTTTAAATAAAGTAGCAGACACTTTTGTACATTTTAAAGCCGTATTTCTTTTTTTTTATTTTGTAAACCTCGAGAGTCAATCTTGTATTAAAATACTTTCAGGGACCATTTGCCTCTCATTTAAAGATCTTATTTCCTTTTTTAATTTTTTTTTTCAAGTGCTGGAAAGGCACTTTCTAAAAAGCTTATTTGTTCACAATTTCATAAATTATATGTTAATCAACAAACGTAGTTGAACAAAGATTACTTGAATGAAAAAAAATCGCTGCAACACTTTATAAGTAATGTATTTTATAAAAATACTAAAAGAACCATACCTTCATGACAGAATTCTCCCTGCCATCCAGGATGACATCCATTCTCACAAACACCATTTGTCCTATTACATCCTTTACAGGTTTTGTTACACTTGTGAGCACAATTTTCTCCAAAGTATCCATCTATGCATGCTTAAGGATGAATATAAATGCGGTACATTTTAGTTTGAAATTGCAACACTTTCTTATCAGTTATTTACTAAAAAATCAAAATTCTTGACAATGAACATATCTACATTTCTATGTAATATTTCATATACTTTTATTGCAGAGGTTCCCTTCATATCCACTGGAGCATCCACTTAAACAAGTCCCATTTACAGGGTCACATTCTTCCGATGTTTTACAATGCCCACAAGGCAGATTACAACGCTCTCCAAAAAATCCATCATCACATTCTGAAAATTTTATAAATTTGATATTTCACGTAAATTAATTGTAAAAAAAAGAAAATATGATAAAAAGATACATTTGAATCTTGAATTACAGATTCTGATGAAGGTATAAGTCATTCAAAGCCAGTAATTTTCCTGGCAGTTTTCATTTACCGGAAGGAAAAGCGTGGAGTGTTAAAAACATAGGCTTTCTCGTATAATGTAGTGTAATGAGAAATTCAGCATTTATTAAAAAAAATGTTTTCTGAAAATTAAACTTTACAGATTTATGTAGTGTGTACATGTCAGTAATGAAAAAAAAATCTTCAAGTAAAAAAATGTTTCCTACTCCGAATAATGGGTTATGTGTCTTATATTATTTTAAATTTATAATAAGTTTGGGTAAAAAATTAGAACTTATATACGCAATAATATGTTTTAGAAATTTTTTAAGAAGATACCGATTACGAACGAATTTAATTGGTATCTTTTTCAAAAGGCCTTCAATACATAAATATATCAGAAAAATCAGAATAGCGGGTGATGACGAAATAAATATATTAACACTGATTAGAAAGTCTTACAATTTGAAGAGAAAATTATTGGGACAATGCCTGCTGCCTAATCCATTTATATTAATCAAAATAAAATATGTTCAAGTCAATAAATGTACACGTTTTTTATGTTACCGCTGACATTACATACCTTGATGACAATAATCACCCTTCCAACCTGGATGACACCCAGTGTCACATTTACCGTTTGTTCTGTTACAGCCATAACACGTACTGTTACACGTCTCCAGACAGTTTCGTCCAAAATATCCGACTTCGCAGGCTATAATTAAAAAATATGATTTTGTAACAAAATAACACTCTTATAAGTATTTTGAGCAAATGATTGTAAAAAGAAAAAAACTATAGTAGGTTACTGAAGTATGAGATGCTTAACATTGATGATTGTCTTACATTTGTTGCAAAAATTCCCTTCATACCCCTCATCACAACCGCTAATACATGTCGCGTTAATGGGATGACATTGTTTCGAGTTTAAACAGTTTCCACAAAGCATGCTGCAATTATTTCCATAGAATCCACCGTCACATTCTGCATTTTATAAAAAATGTTATGAACCAAACTCGAAATTTCATTTTGATTTTTTTTTTAATTGCGGAAGTGCTCTAACTTTTTATACACATCTCATTTATTAACTGGCACTTTCCATTTTGATTTTAATAATTTTCACAAATCACAAAACAATTCAAGCCAAATAATCCTGCTTTATCTTCATCGAATGATATGAGGAAGAAGAAAATATGGTTATGGTTATTTAACAACAGTCGCTGCAAATACTATTAATTTAGAAAAAAAATGACAAAAAATGTGCAACAATAATTATCAAGTACAAAACAAAAATGTGTTTTTCTTTTATTTGATTTTTTTTACCTTGATGACAATAATCACCCTTCCAACCTGGATGACACCCTGTGTCACATCTACCGTTTGTTCTGTTACAACCATAACAAGTACTGTTACATGTCTCCAGACAGTTATGTCCAAAAGTCCCACTTTCACAGGCTGTAAGGTAAAACAATAAAAAAAAATTCTAACAAGTTTATGAGCAAATGGATGAAAAAAAACTTATTAAAGTTTTAAAAGGAAGATATTCAACCTTTTTGGTCATCTTACTTTCATTGCAAAAATTCCCTTTATAGCCCTCATCACAGCCATCTATACAAGTCCCATTACTTGATTGACATTGTTCTAATCTAAAACATTTTCCACAAAGCTGGCTGCAATCAATTCCATAAAATCCATTGTCGCATTCTGGAACACATGTTAACAAGACGATACAATACGTCTGTTCTGTCATTTTTTATTGGTTGTTTTAATTGTTTAATTTACGCACAGATCATTGCAATGTAATCTAACATAATCCCGTTTTTCTCTGTAGTCAAAATTTTGGGAAAATATACATTTGTAAAATACATTAATATTTTTGATAGGATTTTTAAAATGTGCATTAATATTACCATCTACACAATTTCAAAGAAAATACCCATTCCAGAAAAAAAATGAGAATAGAAAACTAGAAACAATATCATAAATAGAATCAAAAATTTATACCTTCATGACAGAATGCTCCCTGCCATCCAGGATGACATCCATTCCCACAAACACCATTTGTTCTGTTACACCCTTTACATGTATCGTTACACTTGTTGACACAATTTTTTCCAAAAAATCCTTCTGTGCATGCTGAGAAATTAAATAAAGGGTCTTAAATAGTTAAATAATTAAAATTTTGTGTATTCATACGTTCATTAGTAATGGTTGAAAATCATTTCTTAAGTCCCTACATGAAATGATTGATGTAAAAGTATGTATGGTCGTTCAATAGCTTTCTGACATACTTTTGTTGCAGAACTGTCCTTCATATCCCCCAGAACATCCATTCAAACATGTCCCATTTATTCGATGACATTCCTCTGGTTTCTTGCAATGTCCACAAGCCGTATTACATTGATCACCAAAGAATCCATCATCACATTCTAGAATAATTTAAATGCTTGCATACTTAAATTTTCATGAAAACGTGGACATTATATTTTTCTTTTGTCAATACATATAGGGTTGACGGGTGGTACATGTTGACAGGGGATGCTTACTCCTATAGGCACCTCTGGAACTTCAGGGGTTCGTGTTTTTTGCGTTTTCACAGATTTGAATTGTTTGAATTTTTTTAGGAATCAATCACTGTTCGTTATCTTCCTCTATATTATTATTAAGCATTTCGATGAGTAGAAGTATTTAATAATCTTCTTTATTTCTACACAACTGAACACTTTCCCTTACGATATATTCTTCAATCATTAATTATAGGAGTATTTAAGATTTGTAGTTTTCGTGGGTTATTTTCATTTCAGTCACATTAAGAATAGGGGGCACAAACAGCAAAGCTGTTTCAACATGTCGATCAACAAGAAGAACCCCATAAGAATTAAAAAGAAATATTCAAAATTTTAAATCATAAGAAAGAATATTTTTCTGTAGTTTACTAAAGATATCATTGGTTAACCATAGTAAAGAAATCTGTACTTTGATTGGTATTTTGATTTACTTTGGAATTTTGCTCGAGAAGCTTTTTTTTTTTTTTAGAATTATATCCTTTATATTTAAAAAAAAACATTCAAGCGATGTAATTTTGGAAATGGCATGTGAATATATCAGATAAACTTCCTGTTAATAAAAAGAAAATAGAGATAGAGAAAATAAAATATAAGGATTTGAAAAAAAATAATACGTTTTTACTTTTGTAAAAAAAAACAAAACTTAATTCTCTTTAGCGGAACTCTTAATATAATGTAAATAAAATAGAAGAACCATACCTTCATGACAGAATTCTCCCTGCCATCCAGGATGACATCCATTCTCACAAACACCATTTGTCCTATTACATCCTCTACATGTTTCGTTACAATTGTTGACACAATTTTCGCCGAAGAATCCATCTGTGCATGCTAAACGAAAAATAAAAATAAATGAGTCATTTTGGGGGATATAACACGAATTAATAAATTATTGTAAAAAATCTATGTAAAAGTATTGAATGTGTAAATATTTCTATTAATTCTTATACTTTTGTTGCATATTTGTCCCTCATATCCTGTAGAACAGCCATTTAAACATGTCCCATTAATCGGATGACACCTTTCTTTATTTTTGCAAATTCCACAACCCAAACTACAATTCTGACCAAAGAATCCATCATCACATTCTGGAATAAATTGAATGTTTTATAAAGAGTAAAGAAAATTTTTGTTTACCTACAGATCTTTTGAAAATTTTGGAGATTTTTTTTAATTAAGCTAAACAAAGTTTCTTTTCATCAAAAAAAAAAAGGTAAATGCAGTAAAACACTGAAAATATTAAGTTTCGACTCTCAATTGTGCATCTTAACTTTTAATAACTTTTTCTCCTGAAGCCTCGTGTACATGTACTTGCATTTTCACTTGTGATTGTTTGCAATATTTTTTTAAAAAAATGTGTACATAAAGAATGTGAAGGATCCCGCATGGATCTTAAATTTCAGGCTCCATCTTTCATTAATCGTGATCAACCTTTAATCAATATCTTGTTGTAAACTGTTGAGTATATTTATTTATTTTATGTATTATATTGTCAATTTCCATATATAGTATAAACGTGTTTAAAATTTATGTCCCTAACTGTATGCATATAAAACTACGCCTTCATATTAAGTATATATACAGAACGACTGTATATTTTTAAAATGTTTATCTGCTAGATACCTTGATGACAATATTCACCATTCCATCCTGGATGACACCCTGTGTCACATTTACCGTTTGTTCTGTTACAGCCATAACACGTACTGTTACACGTCTCCAGACAGTTACGTCCAAATGTTCCATATTCACAGACTGAAAGATATATACCACGATTATGTGTTCAAAACGTACTCTAACATGTATTTAGGACAAATTCACATACTTGAAACCAAACATTTTTATATGTAAATAGCAAGACATTTTGTTATCCATGTATGCCGTACTTTCACTGCAAAGTGTCCCCTTATATCCTTCAAAACATCCACTCATACATGTCCCGTTAATGGGATGGCATTGTTCTGAGTTTAAACAATTTCCACAAAGCATGCTGCAATTATTTCCATAGAATCCACCATCACATTCTAGAAAATAGCATTAAAGCGATGCAATAACAATTTCTTCAAGATTCTTGACATCTTAATTGTTTTGGTTTTTTCTAAGAAAGGAAGCAAAAATAATTCACTAATTTATTCTAAAAAGGCTAAGAGTTTTTGTGGAAAAAAATCCAATGAATGAGTTGTAATAAAGAAAGTTGCATCTCATCACAAATCTATCATCAAATTGTTTCCCTCTTTACTCCCCCCCCCTCTCTTTCGGTAAAGCGAAGAGACAGTAAATCTCATTCAACTCCAAGTCTATGTCCGTCTATATGTCTGTCCTTCTATCAGTCTGTGTGTACAAAAAATGTTAACCTTGGTCATTCATTTGAAAGAGAGTTGAAAAGGCTTTCATATGCATATTCCACATGTACAATACTTGTTACAGTATCTTTCCAGATATACTATAAAGTTTGATCCAGTGACCTTGGCCTTGAAGTTTGACCTTATTTTAAAAAACATAACATTGGTTATAACTTTTGAATAAGAGAAGATAGGGCATTAATATTTGACACGTACAATTCTTGTTAAACGACGTTTCCGGACATGATATGATTTTTACTCTGTTACCTTGACCCTGAAGTTTGAGCTAATTTTCAAAAATTTTATGATAGCTGCCAACTTTTAAAGGAGCGAAGATATATCCATGCTCAGTATTTGACACGTATAGTACCTGCGACAAGAGTTCCCAAATTTTCAAGAAAGTTAACATTCTGATTACTTTTGAATGAGATAGGGCATTCATATTTAACATGTGCATTACTTGTGACAGGATCTTTCCAAGTGTACTATGATTTTTTACTCCATTAGCTTGACCTTAAATTTTAATTAATTTTCTAAAATCTTAACTTTGCTGATAACTTTTGAATGAAAGATTATTGGAGATGGAGGGGCTATAGTAACGCGCTTGTGTGTGTGTGTGTGTTAGTTTGTCCTTGTAATTTGCAAAGGGATCGATGTCGAATTCTGTCTTGATGTCTAGATATTTTCTTTGCAATGGGAATGCTCCGCTTTGCGGTGCCCTTGTTTTTTTTTTTTTATATTTTACATGTGTATTACCTATTTCAAGATCTTTCCGAATGTTCTGTTTCTTTTTACCTCTTGACCTTTCCTTTTAAGTTTAACTTCTTTTTTTACATTCAGTGTAAATGATTGATACTACTACGAAAGAGAGAAGAGAGAATTTTTCATATTTAACAAGTACATTACCTATGACTACACCTTTCAGAAAGAACTTTGAAGTTTGGCCTACTTATAAAAATATCTTTGGCCATAAGAACAGTTGTATGTTGCTCCAGAAGATATAGAGCTTTCATATTTTTCATATATGCATTTCTTCTGATTGTATTATGATATTTATCCTCATGATCTTAACGTTTGGAGGAGTTTGGATAAGCTATAGTCTTTGTCACAACTTTCAGTAATTAAGAGAATTATATCTTTTTTGTATGATGCACAGGTAAGAGAGGACACACAAACAAGACAGTTACAATAGGCCATAAACAATAGCATCTGAACTGCTAAGACACCGAGAGCGGGAACCACAATTCTTTGAATTTGTTTGATTTGTAAAGGCATATGTACAAAAAAGAAAATGTATCATTAAGGTAATTGTATTAAAACAAACTTACCCTGCTCGCACCACCCACCCTTGTAACCAGGCGCACATTGCGAACACTGTCCTGATTCTATATGACAATACTGCACGCAGTTTGTTGGACATGACTGAGAACAATCTGATCCATAGTGTGTAGGGTCGGAGCAACCTTATAATAATGTGAGGATATTATTCTTGATAGTACACATAATACCTTGAAACTTTCTTTGGAGAACAATACATAAGATCAATTAAGTTACTTGTCTCAGTATCGGACTATCAGATGATAGATAGTTTTAAGATATTTTTTTATATCGAATATTCTTAAGAAAATAAACAAATATGGAGAGGAACTCTGAACTATACATGTAAATGCAAGAAGATTTAATTGCTTTTTTCTCTCTCTTTTTCTATTTCACGTAAAATCGTACCATAAACCTCGACTTCACAAAGCTCAGAGAAGGCATATTGTGAATATCCAGACGGATAACTTTCACCCGGAAGTCTTTCGTTATGATAGATGACGTATTGTCCATGTACAGGACAGCTTACGTTGGCGACGGCCGGTATCGTCGCCCTGGTGTAGGTTGTATCATGGAAACATAAAGCGCCATCACCTCTGTCTGTTGTATTTGAAATATACACGCGGAATCCTAGAAATCTTGTTGTATAATCATTTGAAGAACCTGAAATTAACATCTTTATTTTAGGGATGTCAATTTTGTCAATAATTCATATTCGAATATTCAGTGAAAGTATTCGAATATATTCGAATATTCGATAAAATAAATAAAATCTGGTATATTTTAAATATGCATCATCCTACTTTCGTGAAAGGTTTAGCCTAAGTATACTTACATTGGAAAAAAAATTGTATGAAGACTTTTGTAGGTGTACAATAAGGAATTCCATTTGATATTTGTCAATGTTTGAAAAAAATAATTGATTAAAATATGTAGAAAAGTATAATTTTAACAAATGATACATATGTATTTATAGTAGCTCCAACTAAGGAACCAGTCGTCTTACAAAAAGAAAGATAGTCGTATACTGTTCAGATTTCAATACGTGTAATTAATTACAATTATCAGCCTAATCAGAGATATGATTATAATCTTTGATACAATGTTTTAAAAATATAAACAAACATTTCCATAGACAATTTTCCTAGGTAATTAACTAATTTCCTGATAATGAATATAAAATTCAGGATTATGTACAATCCGAGATAATCAAGTAATTTACACATTTATTCTGAAATCGAGTCCTTTACAATATTAATTAAAGGCTAATTCTATCGGACATTCATTTGGATGACCAATTAAATTTGTTTTGATAAGTATACTCTTCAAGTCTTTAAGACATCCTTTTGTTGTCCTCGATTCTAGATCCGATCGTATTTTACTAATAAAAACTACGAAAGTTTGTGTATTATACATAAAGCATTATTGACGTATAATTCTTTAATACCTTACTCAAAACAAAATAATTTAATAGATCTATATAAGATAAGAAAGTAGTGAAAGAAATCAGGCAATCGAAATTGATCGCTAGTAAATTAAACAGAGGTAATAAATTCTAGCACTGTTCTAATCAAAATTTATTAAACACAGTACTTCTTTTTATGAAATCTGAAAATAAAACATACACCGAATATTCGAATCTTAAATTCATATTCGAATATCAACTCATCGAATGAATATTCGAATGTTCGAATATTCGTTGACATCCCTACTTTATTTTATTATATGTTAAATGCTTTTTTTTAAATTATCAGTTCGATCTCATTTAAAGACAGCATTTTGCAAATTCTATGGTCGTTATAATTACATTTCGTATTTTCTTTGCAAAATTATCCTTGGTCGTACGTTGACTGATATGTTTTCACACCAATTGTTAGACCTTTGTTTTTTATACTAATTGCTTCCATTACCTGATCAATACAGAGGGCTTACTTTTGGTGTTAAAGGTCGACAAGGAATGTTGTCTATTCATAGACAACTGACCCCACCCCTGATATTTCTAATTTCCGTGTTTTGACCTGTTCAAGATTTGTATTGTTTAGGGAATTTATAAAATTGATCACTGTTCGTTATCCACATTTTTTTTTTTTACCACAATTACTTGGTATTGTTGTTATTTAATTTTTTTATTTAGGAAATTTGAGAATGTTTGATAATGATCTTAGATTAAAATGTGATATCCATTTCTTTAAATGCTGAATTTGCAATAAGAGGAAGTAATGCATTAAATCAAAATAACATTTTGTAAATAAATAGGAACATATATACAAGTAACACTTTTGTAACCCAAATTGTACATGTTGAGCTAGAAATATTCATGGTTTATGAAAAAAGTATACCATTTGATGTACTAAGTGGTTACAGACATATATAATAGACTTTGATGTGTAATATATTATACATCAATTCTATTAAATCTACAGTCATTTTACATACTCCAAAAGACGTTGTCTGTTCTGTAATAAATGACTATGAAGTTTATGCCTCGGACTCCCTCTAGATTAACCCACCACGTGGCAGTTGTTTCCCCATTTCTCGATACACTGCACTGTCCTCCACCATAAGAGAGATCGGATTTTTGTCCATCAACAGCTTTTTGAGAGCCACTGAATGAAGGGTCGTGACTTGTGCTTTGCCATGTAGGTTTATTTAATGCCAAATTTTCTGAAAGAAGAAAAGATTGTATTGTGTTCATAGAAGGAACTTCTATGAATTTAAGCGAAAAGAAGAAAAGAAATATCCATTCGTCATTACTAAGGATATTCCATCCGTAATTGTAAAATAGCTTCAGAGGCAGTGAAATTGAATACATAACAGAAATGTACAGGTTGAATTATATTAAGACATTATTCTCATTTGTAAGAGTGAAATATGTCTTAATTTAATACCTTGACCTTTCCTTGAAGATCTGTCTTCCTCTGTTATTATTGAATATTAAATAAATCATATTATCTTTCTGGTAAAAAGAAACCTTCAATTTCGATTCTATTTCTCTATTGATTTAATGCATCTTTCCACCAAGGCATTTATTAATATTCTTATTACAGGTACTGAGTATTTGATTTTTTTTTTAAAAAATATCCCTCGTCTCCATAGACCTCAATGCAATTTTCGTCGATTAATTACCGCTTACGTAATTACATTTTCGGAAATTTCATTTAATATATATCCTTTTCGACTTAAGAATGCTTACAATTAATATTAGAGTATTACATACATGATCTATTTAAGGATAGATAATTAGGTCGTATTAGGGATGGAAAACCCTAATCAAAATTCAAATTAATGTTTATCATTTTATAGTTCAGTAATCCTGTCAACTTAAAATGCTTTAATTTGTGAGCTAAGTAAATGCATAGTTTGAAATAAATATTATGCTTGTACACAAAGCTGTCAAAAAAAAAAAAAAAAAAAAAAAAAAAAAAAAAAAAAAAAAAAAAAAAAAGAGAGAGAGAGAGAGAGAGAGAGAGAGATTTTGTATCCATGATTGATATTTTTCTTTGTAGTACCCAGTTGCTTCCCATTTTGCACAAATAATAACCCAAAGGACATATGCAACATAGTTTTGAACTTCATTTACATGTATCTTACTTTCTGTAATTTAAGAGTAGCATTAAGTTTTCTATTCTTACGTTGCTACATACCTCATCTAAAACAAATTTTGAGGAAATTTCAGCTAAAATGATATATGTAGAATTTTTTGTATAATTTTTTACTGAAAATTAGCAGGATTTTCATTATTTGTTATCTTTTCAAACCGCTGGTAAGGTCTGCTGATTTTTTGTCTAAGATCTTATGATATTATGATTTTATACTGAATATCCCGAAAAAACAACCAGCAGATGACAATTTTGTAAAGTACGTTTCGTATGTCTTTAATGTAACAAGGTACATGTATATACTAAGTTTTCACAGATTGTTTTTGGAATATTGAGCACCATTCTCGCTCAGGCACTTTCCTCACATCTTTTTATTTGTACATTATAAGCATGCTTTGGGTAAGTTGGGGTCTTCTTTATTTGCCCCAGAATGTTTTATTTTGGTTTGAATCAGGATTGTTCTACAACGACAAAGGCACAGAAACTACATTTTCTTTGAGAAACTACGTTGTGCTTTCTGGGTTTTTTCTGGGTTATGACATGCTGCAATATAATACATGCAATTTTTTTGGAGGGGTATAGTAAATAAGCACATATGGTACTACAAGTAACATCTTTCAGTGCCTTCTGATGAGCAAAAGAGAGTGTCCCAAATGCAAAGCATTTCCTATATAAACGAGGCCGGGGAACAACCCAATTAAAATTCAATCTAAAGCAATCAGGGGAATTTTAGGATGGAATTTGAGGAAATTGGTAAAATCATACAAACAGCTAAAAAATACATGTGGGACATTCTTAAGCAAGAATGGTACTCGATTCAAAAAACCTTCTGTGAAAAATTAGTTCATGAGATGCCTAATAGTATTTTGACTGTAACTCGTGCAAAAAAGGAGCAACTAAGTTCTACAAATTATCAAACATGAACATCAAAACTTAACAAAAATTGCAATATTTTATGCTTTTGTTTACTAACAATGTTTTTAATTTATTTCCAAAATGTGAATTCAAATTGTTCAAAAAAAGGGCATATTATAAGGTTAGAATTTTTTTTAGAGCTGTATATAATGTAACTGTAATTAATCATTATATATATTTATTGTACAATCACTGTAGAAGTAATACCGTTAACATTTTTCAGTTTATCAAGCCACTGCACTTTTGTTGTGAACTCTTACTTTCTATAAAAGGTTTAGTATGATTTCATACATAATTTTCCAGGGCAGTTTTGGCTTAACAATGTTTAATCTATCTTTGATCACGACTGCTTAAAATTCAGCTTTTTTTTTTTTTTTTTTGCATAAATTGTTTTTATTATCTGAGTCTATTAAAAACCGGTGAAGGTGATTTTTTTAAGTTGCATATTAATAATCAGTACTTCATGATCAATTGATTATTTTTGTGTTTATTAAGAAAACTCTATAAATATCTAATGAAAGAAGAAATGCATATTTATATTTAGTTTTTCAAACATGCTCGAACAAGTGAATTCAATCAAAGGCAAAAAGTTTTTTTTTATAATTCAAATAAGGTTTTTTTTTTTTTTTTTAAAAAAATGCTTTAGCTTCTTAGTAATCGCTTCACTTTAAAACATACGCAATTCATTACAAAGTGCGCGGTTTTTGTACCGATATTCAAACAAACACACTATAAAAAGAACAGATCAATCAATGGAGTAATTTTTATCTTATTCTACGACAACAAGAGTATCATCATAATCACCATGCTAATAATATATTTTCCCCGTGATTTTAAAGAAACACACTCTCATCAATTCAAAATAAGGACACATTTAAGAATATCTGGCTCAATTTCACAACCATGAAAGTTAAAAAAAAATATTAAAAATCCAGAAAGGAAATTATTCAACCAGCCATGAATAAATTAGAAAAAAAACAGGAAGGTCCCACTGACCCTTTTACCTATACAAGTTCGTTTGTTGTTCCAAAAAAAAAAAAAAAAAAAGAAAGAAAAGAAACGAACATTTTTAATGTTTCTTACACCACTTCACCAATATAATTTACTTTTTATAGTTGTCTGGAAAATGACAAGTTTATTGTTATCACAAAATTTTAATGTTTGCGTTTGCGTTTGAATAAATTAAGTTTTAAATTCATTCAAACATACCCACTTTTGTTTCTTATATGCATTTTAATTTTTGTCAGGCAGGTGGACAGAGACAAAAGTATAGAAGTTCATGAAAACAAAAATGATGATTGATGAAGCATGATTGGCAATGCATATACATAATATCAACGGCGACCCAGATAGGATAAAAGTAACTGGGGTAAAAACTATAATATTGTTAAACTTTGCGCATATATATAATTTCCCTTAAATTAAATAAAACATTTTGTAGATTCCGTGTAAGAATTGAAATACTGCTAGATAGAGTATGAATTTGAGAAAAACAGAATTCAGAAAATTCCAATAGAAAGAAACAAAAGAATATGCGAAATACGTAATTTACAACTCAAAAAATATGAATTACATTTTCTTATTATCTTTCCCATTGTACATGTATATAGAAAAAAAAAAAAAAAACTTTTTTTTTCATGATGTCTTTAAGCTCAACAACGAACTTATTATTTAACTGATTTGTATGGTTAATGACTGGAATACAAATGACTTATTTTTAAAATTGACCGAATCTATATTTAATTAAAACTTTAAGAAAAAGAGGTGATGTCATAAAATTTAAAGAAACTCAACTAATTAATTTTATGCGTCAGTGAAATACTGATGAGTCCACACACTTTGTATATTATATGCACTTATTCTGCCCATCTGCTGTATCTACATGTAATCGGTAGTTATCTCACGTTGCTTAATGCTTTTTATTTTTTTGTACATGTAATCCTTTTGAACTTTTTCTCTCCTTGCTACCTTCCTTTTATTGTTATACCCTCTGGGCCCTTAATTGGAATAAACTTACCTCATTTTTGGGCGCATATGTACCTACACAATTTTTGTTGCACATAAAAAAGTTTTTTTCCCTCTTAAACAATGTGGCTTAATATTTCCGTATTAACATAGAAAAAATTAATCAATCCCTTGGATTTTTAAGTGTTTTGTGTCGATAGTAATTCATGCAAAGCGCTTGTACAAAAATGTAAAAAAAAAAAATTGTTACATCAGCACAGTCTCGAAGCGAGTTTTAAGTCTGTCAAATGATTTTAAAAATTTTGAAAATATTTTAACTGTTACATATTTTTCTATATAAAATACTCCATTTTTTTATTTAAATTAAATTTATTAATTTATTAAAATATCCAAATACAATACAACATATAAATGAAAAATAAGGAGTTATAAAAGCAAATACGTTGATAAGACAATAAAAAGTAATACAATGTACAAAAATATATCACAACAAGTGTAGAGACCTTTACGCTTCGGTAAGTATCTGTAAATTAAAACAGAATAATAAAAATTTCGTGTGCAAATATCGCACAAAATAGCTCAACAAATCGTGAAACATGATCGTTGGTTTGTTTACTGTTTAATGTCCCTTTCAAGAATTTTTCATTCATATGGAGACGCCACCACTGGCCGGTGGAGAGGTACAAATTTTGACCTATACTCGGCACTTAGGGCCATTGAGCAGGGATCTTTTTCGTGCTAGCACCTACTGCGACACGGGACCTCGGTTTATACGGTTTCATCCGAAGGACCGGTCTCCACGTCCCACAGTGGGATTCGAACCCGCGACGTTAGGATCAACTCCTTACTCCGCGACTCTAGAGCGACCGCTCTAATGCGGGCGACGAAACGTGATCGTAAACACGTGTATTCGTCATTAAATTTCACTAATTTGCAAACATTTTCAAATTCTGAATTAATAGTCAATAATTATTATATACTGAATTATAACAATAAAATTCCCCACGTTTTATCGTCATTATATTGATCGTACATATTCAACTTAATGGTATATTGAAATAATTTATTTATAACATTCCTTTATTTAATTTTGAAATTGCTTTACTTAGTTTATTTATGTAGAATCGGAGCTCTCTCTCTCTTTGCTAGATAATTGTTGAAAAAAGATTTATTGTATTTTTTTTT